AAAAGTGTTTTTCTTGAGTAAAAATGCATACAAAATGTAGAAACCACATACAAAATCTATTTTTTGATTTTGTGCATACCTTTTATTGTACTCTTATAGCACATTAACAACTAACAATTAATTAATTAGGCAATTGCAAGAAAAATGTCACTATTAATCATCTGATTATCTGGTCCAGCGGGTCATGGGTGTGAATGGAGTGGGAGAGGAGTTCCTCCCTGTGTGGAGTTACACAAATTGGGGTCAAAGCGTTTCATGTTGAAATTCAACATTTTTGCAATCATTCCAAAGTCTAAAACGGCAATATAAGTCCGACCACAATACTGGACATCATTTAAATTGAATACGGTAGAATCTTGTAATTATAGCTGATCAAATGAAACCGAAAGTAGATTTGTTTTCATACCTAATTTATCATCATTACCCCCCTTAATGTGCGATCGACTGGATTTTCATGTGCCCATTATCTATCTTCATAGGATCAGCTTCAGATCTAGTGAATCGAAGATCTTAACTTGAGGGAGTTAATTGAACATACTTGGTGAAAACTTACGATAGATCAAGAGGAGGGAAAGCCCCAGAGTTTCAAGATGACAGACATAATTACCTCTCTTGCTTACCACCTTCGTTCGTTCGAATCTTCATCAGCTAGTTATCAAATACTACACTTCGATGGGATGTTATAATTGATATAGGCATATTCCGTACACCTTTCTTTATCTTGATGTGAAATGAGAAGCTATGGTATTGGTTAACACGCCAGAAATGAACATAATATTATTCGAAGCGTATTTCGAAAATTTTGAAACCGCCATTGATGACGTCATTTGTTTGTCAACTTTTGACCAATCAGCGACCGTGTCATCTCAATACAGATTTACATTATAAGCGTATGTCATCTTTGAACCCTGGTGTTTCTCCCCCTCTGGATAGATCGGTCACTGTGAGCACCATTGATAAACCTACTGCGCATTACATCTGCGCATGCTGATGAAGGGGACGGCTCAAGGAAACTTGCTAACTTAGCGAAGGAATTTTGCGAACTTGCGAAGGAAACTAAAGGTTCGTAAATCTAGCGTGTGAACATTCAAGAGAAGATTTTATGCGGAAATTTAGATAAATATACGATCACTAAAATCCTTAGAAGGGAGTATGAAATTAATAAATTATTGTTCAATGTTATGTTCGTTTTATTGCATTTTTGATACGCCCCCCTAGCAACGTGCTTCACGAGATAAACAAATCGAGGGATCGATCAATGTTTTCAAGTTTATCATTGAATCTGAATCACAGGGCTTTAAAAATACCTATATGAAATACCGAAATGAGAAAATGATCGGTAGGAAGGAGGCTCGATTGCGCTGAACGAAATGTTAGATTTCCGGAATTAGCAAAATTATAAATTTGATCAATCACGTATTTTCACGTATAGGGATCAATTTAACCAAGTACCAAGCGGGGATTTTGCATGTGAAACAAACGTGCGTCAGAAAGACTCGGTAGACAATGAATATTTGCGTCAGAGTTGCAAAAATGTGAGTAAAAAACGTAAAAAATTGCGTTAACGCCACCTCTGCCCTGGGCATAGGGAATGTATAAAAAAGATCGAGTCAAATAACAAGTGGGCCCACAAGTAGAGATCTCTTTGCTTGGTATTTGACTGTCACTTGATCTTTTTATTTGGTATTCGACTCAATCTTTTTTACACCATGTTTCCAGGTCTATGCCCCTGCTTCACCCTTGGCAGGAACTTTGGTCATTATAACATGCAATATAACATGGTGTAAATATTTTCGAAACAAATGCGTGATATATACACATATTTTGTACCAAATGCGTGATATAAGCCGCAATCGCGAGCTCTTGATAACAACAAACAAACAGAATTATTAGTACTGGACTTCTCTAAAGCATTTGATACAGTCGCACACGAGTGCCTGCTCCTTAAGTTTAATCACTACGGAATTCGCGGAAACAACTTGAGCTGGCTCAGATCTTGGCTCGTTGGAAGGTCCCAACAGGTAGTACTGGATGGAGAATCTAGTACAAGAACACCAGTGAAATCGGGTGTCCCTCAAGGAACTGTGCTCGGACCGCTCTGCTTCCTTGTCTATATCAATGACATGGGCAGCGACTTATCAACAACAACAAGCCTCAAACTATTTGCAGATGACAGCCTCCTCTTCATGTCTGTCGAGAACCAACAGGATGCACTGACACTCCAGGATAACCTTGACAAACTGGTCTCCTGGGCAAATACATAGCAAATGAAATTCCATCCCTCAAAATGCTATATGTACTGAGTATTCAGAGACGTAAATCACCCATCACACACAAGTACACTATGTTAGGTGAAGAACTAAAATCTGAAAAAAACTAGTTTTTATGTTTGACTTTGTAAATAATTATAAGATGCCTTCATATGTTTCAAATGTTTTTGAACAGTATAAGAACCAGGTAACCCACCAAAGACTTCGTCGTAGCAATGATTTTAAGATCCCATTCAAAGCATCTGCTAAACTTAGAAAGTTTACAGCTTTATCCAGTATTAAATTATGGGATAATTTACCTGATGAACTGAAACAAGCACACTCACGCAACTCATTTAAGTATAAAATTAGAACATTTTTGAATGGGAAAAAGAAAGAATTCACAACCCCAAGATTAAACCTATCCAGAGATAAAGAAATTGTCTTAAATAAAACGAGATGTGATCTCATTTTTAGGCAGCATCTTTTTACACATAACTTCAAAAATATTCCAAATGCCAAATGTAAATGTAGTCACTCTACTGAATCAACCAAACACCTATTGCTCCATTGCCCTCTTTTTAACACTCAAAGACTCAATTTTCACAGAGAACTAGGGGGACTGCCATCCTTTAATTTAAACTCTTTTAATAATAGAAAACAGGAGGACAGGGTAGACTTTCTACTTTTTGCAGATCCTTCTCTTGACACAATTACAAATAAAAAGGCTATTGAATTAACAGCCGAGTTTTTACACTCTATTGTCAAGGAAGTTAAATAGTCCAATATTCATTAATTTATACATATATCTCTGACCTGTCTTCATGTTTTCAAGATTATTTTCATGTTCATAAATATGTTCTATATCTATCATTTTTACATTATGACCTATTTTAACTTATATTGTAACTACTTCAACAGGGCCAATAATGCTTCGGCGTGGGCCCTGTATCTGTTTGTATGATGTATTATGAAATAAAGGAAATATAAAAATTAAAAAAAACACACAAACAAACTGTAGTATCAAAATCTAACAAGGTACTAGGCTTCCTCTGGCGCAACCTCCACCAGTGCCCAGAGAACATTAAAGCCCAGGCATACAAGTCACTAGTACGGCCTAACCTAGAATATGCTAGTGCAGCATGGGATCCTTACCGCCAGAAAGATATCAACATACTGGAACAGGTACAAAGGAGAGCCGCCAGATTTGTTACCAAATGTCACTCTAGGCAACCAGGCTGTGTCACCCAAGCTCTCCAACACCTGCAGTGGGAATCACTACAATCCCATAGGGAGGCTACTAGACTTTCCCTCTTCTACAAAGGAACTCACAACTTAGCAGCCATCACTATACCCACTTACTTCAGCCCTCAAATAAACACAAACACTAGGAAGTTCCATCCATCCAAATTCATCCAACCAGCTGCCAGAACGGATGCATACAAGTTTAGTTACTTTCCAAGGACAATCGTAAAATGGAACACTCTACCCGGTGATATTTTAGACAGTGATAGCCTATCCAGTTTTAAATCTTCTGTCAGCAAGCAGCTTTACAATTAAGCTCGGTTGTATTTTAGCAATAGGTCTATGGTACATTCTTAAAAATTTGTTTTTGTTTATACAAATGATTTTTGAATATGGCCAATTTTCTACGAACGGGAGCATCGACCTTGGGGAAGATGCCTCCTTAAGTGGAGAAGTGTTGCATGATTTCAGTGTACATTTTAATATGAGTTGTAAACCATATATCTATTTTTTAAATGTTAAGGTTCAAATTGTATTCTATTCAAATTATATCACTGTTAAACAATATAGGGGAAATGGTCCTATCACCGCACAGGTACCCTGGAAAACTGCTGACAATTTCAAATATGATAACTTCAACTTACTTTGAGAATAATGAGACGAAAGATTAACCTTTCTTCTAAAATTTAAGTAGTGTTTGACATTTCTCAATCTCCGAACGCTAGCACTTTAAGACCCCTTAGACTCGCATGTGTGGTGGTCCTAATTATCGCACAGTCATCCTAATTATCGCACAGTTGTGTTTCAGATGTCATTTCAAGGTTCCTATATACATTTCTCTGTTTAAAACAGATACATGCATTTGCTATAATCATTTTTCTATCAGTTTTAGTGTAAAATATCAACGAAATATACATTATACACTTACTTTTCTGTCTTTATTTGGAGGGGGGTCAAACTTTGTCAGATGAATTTCACTTCTTGCGCAATAGGATTTATGACAATAACGGAAGTAAACAATTCTTAAAAAATGAAGAGATATTTCTAGATATATGAAAAAATCATGAAGATTGGGAGTAATGGTGTTGAACTGTTTCTCGTAACACTGGTTTAAAATATGGCGGGTGCATGTTTTAGCTATTTAGAGCAATCGTGCGATAATTAGGACCGTGCGATAATTAGGACCATTTCCCCTATCTGCTTTAAATGGGCTTATAAGCCTTTTGCGGATTATTGATGTAGATGTAGATAAAGACCGAATGGAATGTGTTCGCTTTTTTTCGCCGTTCGGTATTTTACTGTGTCGGCATTTCACAAAAAATGATTTTTAAAAATATCAACAAAATGCGTGATTTGCGTGATATTTGATCATACAAGCTAAATTGATGCATGATTTCTATTTTTCCAGCAAATGCGTGACAATGCGTGAGGGTTGACAGGGCAGGCATAACGTCCCTAAATTTTGTTTCTTATCTAGACTAAATTTTTTTTTTAAATTTTACTCACCATGGCAAAACCTGACAACAATGCTGACGTCCTACTTGCAGCTTTGAGTTTGGCTCTGGCGAGGTACAATCTGCGCCAAGATAGCGCTTGAAGGGTATGAGTGTTGGACATTTCTTTCACATAAGTTTTCGTAAGCCACTCCGAATATGAATTTTGCATATCGTTCAGAATGTCCTAGTATTTCTTTTCATTGGCGTGTTGTTTTCTATGTAGTTAAACACATTTTAGCCTATAATAACCTCAAATATATGAGAAAAATTCCTAAAGAATTATTTCAAAATGAAAATATTTTTGAGAATTTGGCTACTTCCGGTTGCGATACGTCGCCAAAAAAGAATTATATGGTATATTACTTTTACCCCCTATTTATTACTAAAATTCAAATGTTTCCGTTTATGATGACATTATCAAAAGTAAATTATAACTAATTATTACACAATGTCGATATAGTTTGTATTTCATCTCAAGAGTTTGACATTTAGATAGGCCTTGCTCATTTCCGGTTTCAAAGTTCGATACGCCTCTTTTCAATATTTTTCTTTATTTCACACTTATTTGGACGTTGCTGTGCATCTAGACATCTCAACAAACTGCCCTGACATACTGCATAATAAGGTACTATTTTTGGATATTCTTTTGTGTTTTATTGATTGCTTGTTGTTGTTGCTCGAGTGATAGAATTTGAATAGAATATAAAAACCTTAAGGTACAGCTGGATTACTCGAGTCTCTAGCCAATACTTGGCTAGAGGGGATTTCATCTGGAATACTGTGAACTCTATTTAAAAATAGCTGGCCGGGGTGTCATAAATTTATTGAATATTTTAAAAATTGCCAGATAAATAAATCATTAATCAAACCGGACCCAGCTCGGCTCCTTGATGAGATATGACATGATTTCATCAGGATTTCGTCTAAAATTAAAACAAAATGGCTCCAAGAAAAATGGCGATGCTCGAAAACTGGACGAAATGTCGTTAACGTCTGACATTAGTCACTGGCTGTAAATTCTAAGTTAGCAATCCAGAAGATGTGAACTAATACACTGATCACTTTATGTGTGTTTTGGAATTTTTGGTGAGGTAATAAGACCAAAACTCCCAATTCAAATTGTGATGTGGAAAAATGGCGGACATATGATTTCAAATTTTATGATTACGACATGACCAGTTGTTCATGCAGAAATATATCTGTACTGGAAGGCCACGATACAGTGGCCTTAGAAGAAGGCAACAGCTGGAAAGTAACATTTTGGTAAAAAATTGCTATACCTGCACATGTTATTTTCTGGTACAAAATAAAGTATGAAGGCATGTATCAATTTCCTTGCTTTTTTCAGGAAAGTATCATTACATTGTCTTCTTTTAGAATATCACAGGAGCTTACTCACGTCGAGAGCTACCATGTTAGATTTTGAAAGTAGAGCTCTCCATCGTGAGGATCTCCAGCCTGAAGAATTGTGACATCTAAATTTGATCAGCGCCAGTCAGCGGCTTACTGTTTGTCTCAAACTGTAGCCTACATATGGGCTCATATGTGTCTACTTTCCCCGTGCATATAGGATCGCGGATGTGCTTCTATGGCGATCAGGAGTTCTAATCGTTTTTTGTTCGATACCCATTTTCAATATGGCGGTTAAACGGAAATATTATCGACGCATGCGCAACTTGGGAAACGTCAAGCCGCCATGTTGAATATACCTGGCCAAAACTTTTGACACGACCAATAAAATGAAGTCCTGATCGATACATAGGGCAGTGAGACGTTCTATAGTTGAGCTGAATGAAACATGGCGATGTAGGATACATTTTCAGGTATATAATGTGCAACATGAGTAAGCTGAATTCCCTGGAATTTTCTTTGAAGTCGGGATTCTTAAGCTGTTGATTCTAGCGATAGAGAGCTATACTTTCAAAATCTAAGTAGCTCTCGACGGGAGTAAACAGGAGCTACCATTGACCTGTTTCCAGGTTTACTAAAAGTAGACAGTGTAATGATACTTTCCTGAAAAAAGCAAGGAAATACACACATGCCTTCATACTTAATTATGTACCAGAAAATAACATGTGCAGGTATAGCAATTTTTTACCAAAATGTTACTTTCCAGCTGAACCTTAACATTTAAAAATAGATCTATGGTTTACAACTCATTTTAAAATTGAAAGGAACCTTCCTGGTTGTAAAAATACCAGCCATGGTTATCGCATCCTACGACCCCTTTAGATTGTGGTCGTACGCGCGTATATTTGGTCAGTCAATGTTTTTACAAAGTTGGAGAAAATACTACGCATTGCACACCTAAATGACCTACCTCGATACATTCCTTAGTATTTTAGAATTCTTTCTATGTTGTTAGATCGCCAATTGTATGGGTTTATTGGCAGAACGAAGAGAGTTTTTACATCGGAAATATATCAGCAATTTTCAAAATGTCGGAAGGGGAATTCCCCAGGGATTTCCCTTATGACTGGTGCATGCCGGGAACTGAATGGAGGAATTTGACGGTTGAAATAAGTTTAATATTACATGCAAATATTGCTATCAAAAACGAAAACCTCTTCGTTCTGCCGATAAACCCACACAATTGTGGATTCAACTACACGAAAAGAATGCTAAAATACCTGAAGGAATCTATTGAAATAGGTATCTTAAGTGTGAGAAGCGTAGAAAATTCCCCCATGTTGTAATCGAACAGACAAAAGAATAAGACGTTCGCAAGACTAGAACGTAGAGATAGTCTTGGAACGAGATAACAGCCATGGCTGTTCGATAGGATATGCTACGATTTGGCGTTGCTGTTGTCTAGTTATAAAAAGGTCGGGTAAAGAATATGTCAAAGTCGTTTGATCTCGTCCCAGAAGCAATATTTTGTCATTTCCGTCGCCTAAAACTCCTTAATTTACCTGTTAATGCCAGCAAGCTTATTTCGATTTCTGTCTGGACACACAGCCATCTTGCGATGCTGTAGATGCCAATTACGACCAATTACATTAAAATTTCGAATGATATAGGGTTTTAGTGATCCCAGAAGATTCAGATGATTGCTGGTTAATCCTAAATGTAGCTAGAATCTACGAAAAGCAATTCAGTTTGATAAATCACAAAACTGAAGTTCAAGCATTTCCATGTCACAAATAAGAAATATTATCTCAGACCACATTTAAACTATAAATTAGCTCGATTTGTGCCAAGCACATCTAATGACATTATTTTATCTTTAGTTTGAGATATTAAACCATTTATGTCTACATATAATCAAAACTTCCAGTTGCTATTTACTATTCTGTCTTCCTTTTAAATCAGATAAAACACACTGACAAGCGATAATCTAAGACCAATTAACAATCAAACTTAGAGCTTCTTCATAATTTCAGTTTTCTGATACCCACCTATTAATCTCTTTACTTGGAGTATTCGACTCAATTTTTATATATTTTTCTGGGCCATTGAATCACATGATCATTCATTTACTTTTATTGCATGGATTTTGGATCTAATTTGTGATTTATATTCTTTAGGTGTCATTAAAAATGGCGTCCCCACTAGAAGACTCAGACGAGCACACATTGTTTGAAACTGCACCAGAAGTAAAAAACACCAATGGCATCAAAAGTACAATTGAGGATGAAATGAATAGTTCTATGAAGACACTGAGTGATATAAAACTTTCAAGTGTGAATAGCCTGGATGCAGAACTTGAATGTGATGACTTAAAAGTAACAGTTGATTCACCTGAAAAACTTGTAACTAATATGGAATCTTATACCACATTCCTTGTCAGCACCATAACAACACGGAGCGAGTATGATAGCCCAGAATATTCTGTCAGGAGACGCTATAATGATTTTCTCTGGCTGCGTCAACGCTTAGAAAGCTCCTCACCTATATACTTGATTCCTCCTCTGCCAGAAAAACACAGTTTAAAACGTTTTGATCGGTTCAGCCCAGAATTCATCAAAACACGAGAGAAAGCATTGAACAAGTTTATGCAGCGACTGAGTAAACATCCTGTGTTATCGTACAGCAAGTTTATACAGGGATTCATCACACTTAAACCTTATGAATTCACAGCTTTCAAAAAAGAAGGAGGTGGAATTTTCTCTCGCGTATCAGAGTCAATACATACTACTAGCGCCGTTTATATGTTAAAATCTCGACCACCTGAATACACTATGATGTATGAATATATAAACACTCTAGGTGAGAAACTAGGTAATCTGGAACGGATATCCCAACGTGTTTATAAGGAGGCCTCAGATCTTGCTCATTCATTTGATGAATGGGGTCCAGTTTTTAAACTTTGGTCAAATTCAGAAGAGAAATTAAACCAGGCTTTATCCAGCATTGCTACTGCAACTGAAAAATGCAACACGGCTTTGACTGAAGTCGTAGATGGAACAGATCTTCAACTTACTCAACCACTAAAGGAATACATCCTATACGTGGATGCAGTTCGCGATGTCCTAAAACGCCGTGATGCGATTCAGGCGGAATGCCAACTCACCATTGAGGATTCAAATCGCAAGAAAGATGAAAAAGAACATGTCAAGATTTCAGATCAGACGTATTCCCTCGGAGCTTTCCTTGGGCGAAACCCAGAGGAAGTCAAACAAGAGAAACAAATAAAGCTCCAGCAGCAAGTGGAAGATCTAGAGAAACAAGTAGAACTGATGGGTGACAGACTCACATGTGCAAATGCAGACTTAAAATCAGAAATGGATCGCTGGCACATGAATAAACGACGTGACTTTAAGGAAATGTTCATAGAAATGGCAGACCGTCAGATAAACTATTATGACAACTGCTTAGCGGCATGGGAAGCAGCGATCCCTCAAATACAGAAAACTGACAGTTTTGAAGAAGGAGATGGCGATGAGTAATATATCTCTCATTATTGAAGCAAAAAGTGCTGTAACTATGTACATGTATGTACATTATGTACATGTATATACTTTGATATTGAATATGATATGCTATTCCTACATGTTTGAAAACCTAAGAGAAATGAGTATTCCCCAAATTTTGTACACATCAAAAATGAATTAAATTTCAATAATGTTCAGAATAGACTCATATGCTGCAAAAATATGACAATATTGGAATATTTAAAAAGAAAGCATCTGTTGTTTAGGAAAAGAAGGTAGGAACATTTTGTAGCTACAAAATATTCCACATTTGCAAAATTTTACAGCATCAAAATGTACCAGGGTTACAATATTCCAGATAGGAATGCCATGCAATATAAGACATTACATTTGAATGGTAAGAGCGAGTTACTTGAAGAGTAAAATTACTTGAATAAGTACTCAAGTCATAACTAGAAGTGCAATTAAAATTTCGTATCTTTCCCTCATTTACGAGAAAACAGTATATCAACATTTTTATTAGAAAATGAATGTTAATCTAATGTATTGCTTAAAAGTTAGAATTTTAATGCTCGAAAATTTTGAATTTTAATGCTTGATATAATATTTTTAAAGTTATCATATCTGCATTAGAAGTAGTTACCTTGTTTTACATCCTTTAATATGATATAAGGGGATGTTTTCAATGTCAATTATGTCACCTTTTGTTATTCACCAGAATGTAACATTGTAGTGTTATGGTATCATGCTATAAGAAATAACACAAATTGCTTGAGTTCTTGCACAGGGTCTGAGTACTCTAAACCGAGCACTTTTCATGGCTCCAAATATTTTTACTGAACAAATGGTTTACTGGTTAACAATTTTTTCTGATAAACTGTTTGTGGTACATTATCATTTGTCTTGGATGAGTCAAATTTACACTAAATGAAGAAAAATAAATTTATGGGAGATTTAAGATGAAAGGCTTGATCCAAACATTGAAGAAGGATCAATAACGAGACCCTGTCCACATCTTACACAGAATATATTTTATTTACAAATACATGTACATGTAATTGAAGGGTCAATTTAGAGGTTTAAGAATAAGTTGTATATGAACATGTAGAACTATGGTCCTCTATGAAAGTTCTCTCTTTTGTAGTATTTACCCAATTAAAGTTGAAGGTATAAAGTAAAAGGAAATTATTTTTAATTAAGTTCCTGAAAAAAATTAAATGAAAGAGGGACAGTAATCCCTGGGGGGGGGGGGTCATAATTTTACAACTACACAAACACCCAACTTAACCTCACAATAACTATAATATGAAATTGAGACCCTATCCACAGTATATACAGAATATTTTATTTATAAATACATGTAATTAAAGGGTCATTATCTGTAATTCTGATCCCTCATTACATCTTTCCCAAAAAAACTGCCATAATGGTTTGTAAAAAGTTGTTATTCAAGGAGGGATTTGATATGTGGGATATCACAAGGATGATATCAATATTTCCTGTGGAATGCAATGACTGAGGGGAAATATCAATATTATCCTAGGAATATTTTCCTTATATCATCCTAACTGGTGAATAATATCTTTATACCAAGGTCAAGAGCAATATCTGCCTCAAAAATCCTCCATTGAATGTGAAAACAATAAAAGAATCTTGGAAATATTTACATAACATGTATTTCATGGAACATTATGTAATTGATGAAACATAGAATATTGGAGTAAATGTTATTGTTCCTTTCAGTTTGAGAGTACCATATAAACCATGAGTTATTGTCCCTGTTTTGTCCTGACTGGATTCATGACTACTGCTTGAATCAATGAATTTTCACTTCTTGATCTTTGATTGATTTTTGATTAGTTTAGCCAAGGGAAAAATCAAGACCCGGTGATTTCAGCGGGAAGTGGCATTTCGTTCAGTGGATGAGCTGCGCGCGCACGCAGAGGGCAAGTACTGCACGAACCGATAAATTCCCGGGTATTGTAACGCCCTTGGTTTAGCCATGTTTATATTTGTAACAAGTCTTAGTCATGTTCTAAATTGTAAACATCTGGCCTACACCTGTTGGTACTGATACACCTGATGTCTGTGGCAGGTTTTCATGTTAATTGTTTGGAAATTAGTAATTAATAGATGGCGTGAAAGTAAAATGAATGAAATGAAGTCTTAGGATTATTTCCTTGTGAATAATATATATACCTGGCACTGATATCGGGTTGGTATGCATTCTCAGTATCGTTCCGCTAATCCCAATATCATTTGATTATCTTGATCCCAAATATGTCATTTATCATTTAACAGCTTAAGGATTTAAGCCCCAGTGCATTGTAGACTGATTATCATCTCAAGGTGTTGTTTCAAAGTTTAGTATACAACGCTAAGTGGAATCCGAATGAATTATGAATCAGCTAACAATGCATTGAGTTTTGGCCTTAAATTCTTTTCACATTGCAATATATCACCCAAAAGATACTAAATCAGTCAAGTCAAGTTTGCAAAGTATCAAGTATCATAACTGTAGGGTTAAGTTGTCATTTTGACAACCATTCAACAAGTGACCTTGGTTGGGTTGTTGGTTATATAATGTTATGCAGTTATATCAAGTAGCATAGTCGGATTGACTGGAATCTGACACACCTTGCCTAGCTTTGTGTGGATTGCTATTATAGCATGCATTTTACCATGGTTAGAGAAAGGTATATGAAAATGACATATTTCGGATCAGGATATCAAAATGATATTGGGATTAAAAGGATGATATTGGGATTAGAAGGATGATATTACGATGATACGCATACCAACCCGATAGTAATATTCAATTTGTAATTGTTATGGGCAAGCAATTTTTCCACGGCTTGATATTATGAGAGATGACTGTTTTACATCAAAGTCTATTGATAGTAATTTCCAGCTTATTGTGAGTTACAAACTTTTATGTTCAGAATTACAGACACTAGCCTAATGTAACTTTACTTGTGAATATATTGCAGTTGGGTTATGGAGAATAAATAATGGTAATTTACACAATGAAGTGCATTCATATTTTCAAAAGTTCTTGTTTGCCTTACATGTATATAGAGTTTATTTTTGGGAGGGAAGGAATACGAATTTTATTCCGTGGGAAAATATGACAATGGCAAAGGAAAATATTATATAGACCGTGGGCGACACTGGCCGAGTGTCAATATGATATTTCCCAAGGCCAATATCACATTTTCTTGAGGGAAAATTCATATTCCATCACGACCATCAATAACCTATTTATTCTATAATATTTTTTCTGAAACTTATTTTGCATGTCGTCGCCCAATGATGGTGACATAAAATGATACAATTTAATCTATGACATTTTCAGCTTTTATTAACACATTTTGAAATAGAAGTAATATATAATACCAAAATGATCATAATAGTAATAACACAATATTTAGTCTCATGAAATCTGATAGTTCTGATAAGAGATCTGATACGTAATTTTTGGCTTATACGGGATCTGATACGGGATTTTGGCTGATCGGTATCTGATACGGGATTTTGGCTGATACGGGATCTGATACGGGGTATTTTGAATATCAGTTTTATTCCCGGTTTATTTCCCAGGGAAAACATGTTATTATGGAATAATCACTATTATTCCATGGTTGCAAGGATATAGACCGAATATCACATGAAGATATATTTGATATGTGGATCAAGGTGTCATATTTTAGCAAAAAATCCCAAATCCATCGATGGTCTCAAAAGTGATTTTCGATGGTTTCGATTTTTACCAATTTTCTTTTTAGTAATTCTGTAAAATGATTTTTCAAAGTTTCATTTTTTATATTTGATTGTTTAATGTTTGTTGAGTAATAATCCACTCATGAAATTATATTTTTTCCAAAACCATAGGATATTGATGAAAATGAGAAAATGAAATGAAAAGGGGCAACAAAGACTGCATCTTTCAAAAACTTTGTCACGTTTCATAATGTTTTTTTGCCTAATATTGACCGGATAGCTCAGAAAAAATAAAAAGTTTAGAATTTTCTCTCTACACTCCTTGTTGCCCCTATAAAGAAAAAAATTGCCATGCTTTTCAAGACTATTGCTTGCAACATTTTACACTCCGTTTTGCCACCACTTCAAACAAACTGACAAATTCGATGATCAAATCAATTTATAAAGGTCATTCAAAAATACGGAAATTATTGGATTATATTCGGAAGAACACTTTAGTGACTATTAACCAAGCGAAATATATTGACCAATCTCGAGTATCAATTGTACTTATTGTCATATTGTACACGGGAAATCCATATCCATTTCCGAGTCAATGACGTGTAAATTCCATGAAGTACTACTTTTCCAAAAGATTGAGAGGGAGGTTTAATTAGCTACGCGGTTTTAAGAGAACTTGCTCGAACGTTCACATGTAGAGTTCTACAATTATCAGGATTAGTTCTCACCTTTCCGATCGAGTACGGAAAATTAGGTCCCCGGAAAAATCAGTAGGGGGACAGTAGTTCCTGGGGCAATATCCCGTTTACGAGCATTCGTTCATTCAAGAGGTTTACCGTACAGCCGTAGACTATGATATATTTTAAAGTTTCCTTTGTATAAGGGTATTGAGTCAAATGATTTGGATTGTAGGGGATTTATTGAATTTTCAACTTTATGGATCTGTTCATATGTTAATCTACAATAACCTTTCCATATATTGTGTTTTTGTAAATATTTTTTCACATGCATGGTTAGCATTTTGGTGTAGGAAAATTAAGGTTTGCTATATTTTCTGGCTATTTATCCACTTTACAGAAAATGGTAGTTTATAAATTCACATTCTGGCAGTAGGTTACATTGCTGAAGTGATGCTTTTTCACCGAGAATTCAAAATTATTGAGTTGGTTGTGTTTCCAAGCTTTCAAGGAGTACCTACGTTGTTTTCACATTGCAGATCTGTATAGAAGAGATGCCGTCTTCGGTTACACTTGCTACTGCGACCGTTCGGTTTGCTACTGTGATCGTACGGTTTATCTGCGGTCGGTAACATTTCTACTGTCGCCATACTACGATTGTCGGACGCATGGTCAACCTAGGCGGTCATATGGCCGCGGTGGGCGTAGTTTTTCTTTACAAAGCCAAGGTTAACGCAAGCAGCCACAGGGGAGCCTTACGGCGACCCTATGGAACTCAACCTAACAAGATTGGCAACGGTTATGCTAGTCAGCACCAGCACCAGTTAGATGCTCGCGATAACAATTATTCAATTATTTATAATGTCCATATTCTTGATTGTTTAAGAATATTCTCTGATGAAATTCCATTAGTAAAGTCAATATTATATTGCTTGGTAATACACTGATTTACATGTGGTTTAATTCAGTCTACCACGTGATTTATGTTTTCAAGAGCGAATGAAGAGGTTCTTTACTTATATTTTCACGAGAACGCAAGGAAGACTGGCTCCCAGGATCGAAACGCGATATTTTCCAACAATGAAAACGTCGAAATGTCGTTTTTTCTGAAATTATAACTGACTATAAATTCAAAATAAACAGTTCAAAAGATTTGAACCAGAGACATGTGTTTGATATGTCTCTGTTTGAACTAATATCTCGATCATTTCTTGTGAGTTTTGGAATTTTTCGTTAAGAAACATGACCAAAATTCACGGTTCAAATGTTGAAGTGAACAAAATGGCGGCTGTTTGAATTCGAATTTTGTATCATGACACTGTGCCCATATATGGGACAGAATTTCGATGTTGCACCCTGGGAGGCAATCCTCCTTGCGAGAACGCAAACATCTCAAGGACCCCCTCTAGACCATCATCTCGATACTCATCACAACTCTTTGTTTCTTTTATACTGTATACAGTCTGGGGATGACTGAGAGGAAATGAGATGTCATAACATGGTTTATCATGATGTTAGATCATAGTTCTCTGTAAGAATTTGGTCGCTTGGTTAATTCGTGCACGCGTTTCCCTGGTAAATTTTTTCGAACTACATGTCAGAAAATCTGACGTTGGCGACAAAATGGTAGTACCGAGATTGACGGCCAAACACACGATGACCAAGTGTTAACAGTTCAAAATTGTCCCAGACGTGTTTTTCAAGCGATTTAGACGTGTTTTTTGGAAAACTAGAGAGGTAGATTGATAAATTTGGTTATGAAATTGCTGTCACTTATATTTTGCCTGAAAATCACTAGCCTGCCTTGTATTCAATGAATACATCGATTCATAAAGAAAGTACTCACAATATGTGCGAAAACCACAAATTAAAAGAGCTTAAATAAGTAGCAATTGACCAAATAATTTTTTATGGATTAAACTATTTGGACGTGTCCAAAATATCCCTTCTCCATCGTTAACTCTGTTACGCGGTAAACACTATACAAAAATATGCCATATTCCGCAACGAATATGGCATATTCACTTGCGGTGTATGACCGATTCACATGCGGTAAATGACATATACACTAACCAATAAGAACGTGATACGGAAGTACGCAATTGTCAATTCACCAAAATCACGTAATAAACTAACCCAATCAATCCAGGATTCATATATTAGTACTCGGCGCACTAACAATATTGGTAATCCAGCGTAGATTTACATTTAGAGTCGATTCTCGCAACCAATCAAACCAAGACTTTCTGTATCCTGTTTTCACCTGCGGAATATGTCATATTCACCTGCTGTATATGGCATATTCCGCAAGTGAGTATGACATAATCTGCAGGTGAGTATCGGGTATTCACTGAAATCAATGTATCGTATATTCACTGCGGAATATCGCATACTCACCTGCGGAATATGCCATATACCGCAGGTGAGTATGGCATATTCACCCATATCACAAATACCGCGCAACCATGAATGTATGCCATATTCCGCGTAACAAACTCCACTTTCTACATTTACAGTCATTTATGGCAATTTTAAGATGAAGATAGTTAAAATATGAACACGATCTTTAGAGTAGTGAATATTATTCCACGTTGTTGAATGGATAGTCTGTTTAAACTTGATTAAATAACACTAAATGCAAATTAATTAAACTTAATTAAAGAGGTTCTATACCATAAGATAACACATTTAAGACCCCTCTGGACCTTTTTGCATATATTGAGCTTAACCACATATTCACCCATCTACTTAGAAGTCACAAATCTCCCGCTTTCAGTGTTTATTTTGCGATTGTGCTGACCGATCTAATTATTTTCACGGAAATTAATTCAATCTGAAGTTTAAATATACCGGGAAAATCCCCCTGTTATCTGATTGGCCGTTGAATTTGTTTATCATGAACCTGATTGGCTGCTTGGTTCAAGGCTCGTTTGGGCGCTTGTGCGACTCAACGGAAATTCCCCTCGCTAGCCGAGGAATCGATTGTGTTTAATTCTGGAGGTTGGTTGTTCTGTTGATTTTTCAATATTTCGGCAATAATATACTCATAGGATCTGAAGATATATCCATAGTTTGTGAGATATTATATAAGCAATAACAAAGGGACATCATTGATTGTCTGGTCGAGGAACCCATGGTTTAATGCATCTATAAATAACACTAAATCCAAATTTAGTACATATTTCTGGCATTTTTGGTATATGATTGCGAGTACTATGAAGTATGATGGAATGATCGCCAAAATAGATACGTTGGTATGAAGAAGAACATCTTAGGTAGAAGTCAAGAAATGTTAGTTCGTAAAATGTAGAATATTCTTACCTTTTTGCTTCATTCTAGCGAATGTCGATATTAGTAAAGTAAAATTCCATGTTCTTACAAAACACGTTTTGAAAAAAAACACGTCCGGAAAAATTTCCATTGTTAAGAGAGCACCGTGAAACAGAAATCATGATGATAAAAGCCAGATAGCAGCTAGTCAAGTTACAGAAATGTTTAATGATCACCTACTATAGAAGTTGCCCCCCTAACCATTAAAGATAGAACCAATAGATAGAAGAAAAGTTTTTTGGAGATCGCACCCATCTGACTGAAAGCTGGCTACGCCCATGTATAGTATTATAATCGTTTTATTTTATACTTAATTTAGAACAGGGCCATTGGTTTCTAAGCATTAATTATGCATATGTTTATCACGAAGTAAAATTGGAAATGAGATGCAATTAACAATATTTGATCAATCAAAGTAATTATTAATCGTTTTAAGTAGCATCCACCTACATGAAAAATAAATAGATAGATACCCAAAGACACAAAGCCTGCTACGTTACTTAGTAGGCTAAAACAGGATAGCTAAATCACACCGGAATAGCCTGACAACGGTAAAGTCAGATACCGTTGTCACAAATGGCGGACATAACCGTCGCTTCAACTGATTAATCACTTTGTCCTCATTTCATGGGATTTTATCGTCGCTAATTCTGTGCATGTATTAAGCTCTTGTGATGATGTTTCATATGAAATCCCAATGTCGATCAAATTGGGTCGGGAATCGCTACAATATAGCGTCTTCGATATCGTCAATGACAACAGAATCTGAATTTGAGTAATTTAGAAAGACAACGGCATATGGTAATTACAGTGTCCGTTTTCCCATATCTCATTTTGATCGGTTAAATTTTCATTTTCATTTGAAAATTAAAGACTTTATTTCGATGGTAGAACATTATTAACTATACAATGAGTATTAAGACACTTTGATTGATTGTTGTTTCAAAGGAATTAAGTCTAGGTGCTCTATTAAACATACAGTTCATGAAAATCTAATTGAAGCGACGGTTATGTCCACCATTTGTGACAACGGTATCTGACTTTGCCGTTGTCAGGCTATTCCGATGAGTTTTGTTTTAGACTGCCCCAAAGTTGCTGCCATGATCATGACTTATGGAGTTTCAAATCTCAAGGCATGCAATTATGTAACACAATTCTGATTGGGTAGTTGGACAGGATACAGCTGATCGACCTATTCTCATTATTCTAATATAATTCGTACATAGGATTATAGGCTATGGATAAAACTCAAAGGTTGTAGAGAAGAAGCTCTCTTTCAACATCAAAAATTATTTGACAGGGTAGTTGATAGCAAACGTATCATTTAAACAGACTGATTAGTTATATAATGGAATGCAAATTGATGTTAGTTGGATTATTGTTTTTGGAAATATTACCATTAATAACAGGCGAAATATACAAAATGTTTGAGGGTGTATTTGAAGGTACCCCGAGTACAAGCAAAGCCGGCATAACTACGCCTGACGAGTGTATTGTCTCGTGTCAGTTTGATGACACTTGCCGAGCAGTGACACATCATGGGGACACACTGCAATGTGATTTTCATAACGCAACTTCGTGTTTACTTGGGACGCTTAATGCGTTAAGCATCTACAATTACAAAGGTAAGTCGTTTTCCAGACGAGGAAATGTATACCTGTACTGTGACATTGTTAGGCTACAAGAGTGCAAAATTGCAATTTGAAGGTGTTTGTTACTGCTGTTTCTTGTTAATCATGTGGTTTCTTCTAATATAACTCTAAAACTCGAGTACCAAAAAACTGGATTTTGAGCCATTTTAGCCGAGTCGTCAGAACTTTCCCCATTGATTGAAATTACGATTGCCCAACTTCGTGAGCACTATTCGTCTGCTCATTGGAGATCGCGGGGATAATTTTGGGCATACTTCTCCAAATTAGGTTTTAAAATAACCTCTGAGGATAACTGCACCCTCTCGCTTTGACCCCAGCATCAGTGTTACTTGTAGCTTTTTGCCATATACCTTTTCAGTTTAACCATGGGCATGTTTTCTAGTATCTTTAATTTACATCTCTTTTCAAGGTTATTGCAGAGGATAACTTAAAGCCGCTTTACTTTGAAATTATGAAAATGGGCAAGTGATCTAGGATTGGCTGTAAAGGGAAGGAAACACTCTTGGCCTATCTGCTGTATTTACTTTGCAAATGCTGCCGGAAATAACAAAGAGGGGATAATTCATATTAATTCTTCCTTTCACTCGAGTCTGGTTTCATTGTCGAGTTGATTTATTCACCAATCATTGGTCATATATGTTGTAGGCCTACGTTCTCTCAGTACGTGTATGATTAACGTTTATGGTACGTTCACACCAACGGCGCTTTGATGGCGCTTTAAAGCGGCTTGTAAAGCGGCACCAAAGCGTGACAAAGCTTAATTAAAGCGTCGGGGTCGTAATAGGTCGTAGAAAAGCTCGGGAGTAAAGCGGGATATTCGGCAAGAGCGCTAAAAAATTTAAACTGTTTAAGCGTTCGCACCAACGGCGCTTTGATGGCGCTTTAAAGCGGATTGTAAAGCGGCACCAAAGCGTAACAAAGCTTGATTAAAGCGTCGGGATCGTAATAGGTCGTAGAAAAGTTCGGAGTAAAGCGGGATATTCGGCAAGAGCGCCAAAAAATGTTAAACTGTTTAAAAATTTTGGGCGCTCTGTTACGAATTGATTGAAGCGCCGAGAGCGTATCAAAGCTTAACAAACCGTAACAAAGCTCAACAAAGCTTGACTCAAAGCGTAGGAAAGCTTAACACAGCTTGGTTCAAAGCGGGGACCCCAGTCTATTCACGGTCTGTTACCACTTGACACGCTTCGTTAAGATGTCTCAAGATTTGCTACGATCTGGCATGAAGATCTGACACGAGGTCAGACGCTTTCATCAATATCTGACACTCTTTGTTACACTTTCCTGAGGGACTCTCAAGCTTTCCAACAAATTGAGACGCTTTAATCAAGGATTGAAACGCTTTGCTAGGCTTTGTTACGCTTGAAAGTTTTCACACGCTATATCACGCCGTGCGACAAACGTCATGTCTTCTTCAGATAGGTCATGCTCTGGTCCATCTGGAATTTCTGGATCTCGTTGTTCTGCCATCGTGTTCTCGAGTCAAAGATGCAATGGTTTTATGGATCTACTGCATCTTTATATAGTCATTGGATCAAAAGCGGCATGGAATCGGCAATCTCGACATTTTCCAATGCGTGACAGAGCTTAACAGAGCGTAACAATGCACAACAGAGTTTTGCAATCGTATCAGAGCCTGATTTAAAGCGTCATAATCGCATCAAAGCGTAATAATGCTTATCAAAGCTTTTCAAAGCGTGATTTCAAGCGTAACAAAGCCTGATCAAAGCGGGATCAAAGCGTGAGGAACCTTTTAGAGCTATGTTAAGCTTTCCTACGCTTTGGATCAAGTTTTTCTGAGCTTTGTTACGGTTTGTTAAGCTTTGATACGCTCTCGGCGCTTAATCGATTCGTAACAGAGCGCTCAAAATTTTTTAAGAGTTTAAAATTTTTTGGCGCTCTTGCCGAATATTCCGTTTTACTCTGAGCTTTTCTACGACCTATTACGACCCCGACGCTTTAATCAAACTTTGTTACGCTTTGGTGCCGCTTTACAAGCCGCTTTAAAGCGCCATCAAAGCGCCGTTGGTATGAAGAAAAATGACAAAAATGACGGCGCTTTGCTCGCCGATTTAAAGCGTGGCATTCGCCGTTGGTGTGAACGTACCTTTAGGTATGCGTCGCCGCAATCGGACATTATTGACATAATATGTTGATACCCAATAAACGATTCTTTTCTAAAAGATTCTATAAGATGATAGAATAGGCTTTCTTTATGAACTTGCTTTTACCGATTTCTTCATTCTTTCATGTAAGAATGTACGTGTCATCTCAACCTACCGCACTTTAATTTGCTCTGTGAAACCCAATCCCTATACAATTGATTATTATTGATTTGCTTGGAAGAACTGTCAGCCCAACTATCCACGGCGCGGCGAGTCAGTCGCGCCCCTCTCTAGACCAATAAAATAAAGGCAAATTATTCTATCGGTCTATATAGGGGTGGGGGAGCGACTGACCCCCGTGCAACTATCTGCAAAACCATGTCATTATATTTCACAATCCCAACAAAACGCGACGTTCTAAGATTTGGGAAAGTTCACAGTATGCGTCATTTCATCTTCGTTTTTCACATTTAGCGCCAGTGATATAACATTGCTTCTACTTTCAGATGACCCGGCATGCTCATTCCCTTATCTTGGCTGTTACAATGACGGTCGAAGTCGGGATCTTTCTAGGCACATGGGTTATTTCTCAGCGACACATGCTACCCCTTTAACATTGCACCTCTGTTTTGGATTGTGTATTGCACAAGGTAATTGAATTTAGGATTGTATACATACATACATGTATGGTTGGGGCTGATTTTATGTTAGTCTCAGGTTGGGGTAATAATAAGAATAATCGTAAATAGTTGGACTATCTAAGTTTATATCGTTGGATACGTGTCGAAGAACCGAGAATATCTGAGTAACTCTAAAACATGAATCTCTGCTTCTATAGCGGACTATTTAAACAGTTATTGTTGAATCGTTTTCTTGTTCTAGGTTACAAATATATGGGACTTCAAGGCGAAGGATGTTTTTGTGGTAATGATTATGGTTCACGCGGTAAGGGCGATGAATCACACTGTAACAAGCCATGCCCTGGTGATCCAAATACGATGTGTGGAGGCCATTGGAAAAATTCTATATATAGAATAACTGAATAAACTGCATGTGTACACTCAATATTTCAAGTTTTATCAAATTACTACTTGTAGTATACGTTAAAATGCGATGTCTCGAAAACGGTGAACTGGATAGTATCCACGGCCCGATGATATATTCCATGACATGATGAGCTCAAGCAGTTCCTTTGAATGGAATGCGTTCTTTGCAAAGAAAGTAACAATTGCAATCTAAATGGGAGTTTGCAAGAATAAGCTTACTAAAGTGTAGTTCTAAACCTAGTCTGGGCCTTATTTTTTATCTGACATATCTCGTGGCCCGCCCTAGCTGATAGTGAGGATTTGCAACCAATGAAAGCATAGCACGGAAGTTAAACCCAATCACGGCAACAAGAACATTCAGACAAGGCATTAACATGACAAAATGTCACCACCTAAAACAATTTGGTCAATTTAAAGCAAGTTGGAAAATACCTTTTGACCTTAAGAAGAACTTCTGAGAACATGTAGATGATTTTGAAAAAAAAATTAGTCAATTTGAAGCAAGTTGAAAAAAGACCTTTTTGACCTTGAGAAGGTCATTGAAGGTCAAAGGTCAAATCTAAAGTCAGATTTGAATTTCTGAGAACATGTAGATGATTTTGAAAAAAAATTTAGTCAATTTGAAGCAAGTTGAAAAAAGACCTTTTTTGACCTTGAGAAGGTCATTGAAGGTCAAATGTCAAATCTAAAGTCATATTTGAATTTCTGAGAACATGTAGATGATTTTGAAAAAAAAATTTAGTCAATTTGAAGCAAGATGAAAAAATACCTTTTTGACCTTTTTTGACATTGAGAAGGTCATTGAAGGTCAAATGTCAAATCTAAAGTCAGATTTGAATTTCTGAGAACATGTAGATGATTTTGAAAAAAAATTTAGTCAATTTGAAGCAACTTGAAAAAAGACCTTTTTGACCTTTTTTGACTTTGAGAAGGTCATTGAAGGTCAAATGTCAAATCTTAAGTCAAATCTAAAGTCATATTTGAATTTCTGAGAACACGTAGATGATTTTGAAAAATCTTTTTAGTCAATTTGAAGCAAGTTGAAAACAGACCTTTTTTGACCTTGAGAAGGTCATTGAAGGTCAAATGTCAAATATTAAGTCAAATCTTAAGTCAGATTTGAATTTCTGAGAACACGTAGATGATTTTGAAAAAAAAATTTAGTCAATTTGAAGCAAGTTGAAAACAGACCTTTTTGACCTTGAGAAGGTCATTGAAGGTCAAATGTCAAATCTAAAGTCAGATTTGAAGGTCAAATGTCAAATCTAAAGTCAGATTTGAATTTCTGAGAACATGTAGATGATTTTGAAAAAAAATTTAGTCAATGTGAAGCAAGTTGAAAAAAGACCTTTTTGACCTTGAGAAGGTCATTGAAGGTCAAATGTCAAATCTAAAGTCAGATTTGAACTTCTGAGAACATGTAGATGATTTAGAAAAAAATTGAAGTCAGTCTAAACAGTATTTGTTAAGTTATAGGAAGTTGTAAGAAATTGTTACAGACGCCGGACGCCAACCGCCAGACGCCGGACGCCAACCACCAACCGCCGGACGCCGTCGCAAAAAACGGAGACCATAACAATATGTCACCACTTTTGGTGGTGACATAAAAAACGGAGACCATAACAATATGTCACCACTTTTGGTGGTGACATAATTAATAAATGAAAGCCGTGGTATTGGGTTTAACTTGTTGAACTAACTAAAGTGTTGACTGAACGAGTAACCAAAGGCACTATTTATTTCATAAGAGTATTATTAACATTGAATTCACATAGTCACCCTTGGTATACGCAGCTAACGAAAATTGACCGGTACGGGTCAAAAGCTGGACCGGTACGGGTTAACGGTTTTATTTGAATTTAAAATAGCCATAACTTGCTCAATATTGACTTCCTCGTGTCTAATTTGAAATATATGATGCCTCCCGATGCTTTTAAGTACCCCAATTTTTTACAGATTTTTAAACGGACCAAAACTCTCTAAATGCGCATTTATGCTCTTTTCTCTCGAGAACGACTGTCTCATTTTCACGATAACTTTTATTTAGTACTTCTAACATATAAGATATATTTTTCCCCATCAATGTATGATGTAAATGACATGCTATTTACATCTTGTGAGTTTCAATAACGCGCGTTTGATTTTATAAAAAATGCCAAACTTTGTGACAAAGAATTTCATCCTGCTTGTAGCGAGAAGACGGACCGGTTCGGGGCAATCTGCTTGCAGCGAGAAGACGGACCGGTTCGGGGCAATAGCTGATGAAATTCTTTGTCACAAAGTTTGGCATTTTTTATCAAATCAAACGCGCGTCATTGAAACCCACAAGATGTAAATAGCATGTCATTTACATCATACCTTGATGGGGAAAAATAGATCTTATATGTTAGAAGTACTAAATAAAAGTTATCGTGAAAATGAGACAGTCGTTTCTCGAGAGAAAAGAGCATAAATGCGCATTTAGAGAGTTTTGGTCCGTTTAAAAATCTGTAAAAAATTGGGGTACTTAAAAGCATCGGGAGGCATCATATATTTCAAATTAGACACGAGGAAGTCAATATTGAGCAAGTTATGGCTGTTTTAAATTCAAATAAAACCGTTAACCCGTACCGGTCCAGCTTTTGACCCGTACCGGTCAATTTTCGTTAGCTGCGTATACCAAGGGTGATATATAGATATCAAGGGTGATAGTATAACATACACACAAACACACAGTATACAATTAAACGTAATATTTAAGATGAATTGAACATATATATTGAACACACAGTATACAATACAATAAGAGGTCATATTTGTTATCAATTAAACATTACACACTCACAGTCTACAATTAGAGGTAGTAAGATCAATTGACATTTACATTAAACACACAAACACAGTAGTATACAATTAAACGTGATATTTAAGATGAATTGAACGTATATATTGAACACACACACACACACAGTATACAATAAGAGGTGTATACATTGCACACAAACAGTCTACAATTAGAGGTGGTAAGATCAATTGAACATGTACATTGCACATACACAGTATACAATGAAAGGTGGTATTTAAGATCAATTTCACATAAACACTGAACGTCCACATGGTATATCTTTAGAGGTGGTATCTAAGATCAATCAAACATATATATTCAATGAGTATCTAATGATCAGGCCCTAATAGGAACAAGGCCCATATAAAAATGACTGCATTGGTTAGACTAAAATCAGTAGACAATGACTACCATCTTTCTGTTGGCCTAGTCCATATATGGATCTGATCATTTACATAAAATATATGTATGATAGTTGCATTAAAGTCAATTTACTGTAAATACAAATACTATACATTTTAGAACATTTAAACATTTTAAACCAGATACATAGTTTATCACTATGTCTCTGTTTAAACTTATTGTATATATCAGCTGATATGTACAACAAATATTGCATATTGTATAATATTCCCATACAGGGAATGTAAAAAGCATTCTATCAACTTAACTAACCATGAATTCCCTACCCCAATAATATGTTGTTGGATTTTAAAATACATGGATATTCTTATTGGCAAAAGTTTATTCCCCTATGATAAAGAGCGTTGTATATTTTGACAAACTCTTTTTACTTCTGTGTATAATATAACTGTTACAGTTTCTATACAATGTATATGTGTATAAATGGAATAAATTTATTTTAACATACTTTTATTTATATATCATTGTTATAAAAATAATTTGATATGTAAAATACAGATATACAAACAATAGGATTGCATATTGAAACAGGAATGTAATATGTAATTGTAGACTCAAATATCAAAGAGTTGAACAAATAGTGTTCCATTAATAAAAGAAACATTTCACATGAACTCACTCATGTACCATTTGAATAAAGTACATGTAACACTTAGTATTGGTCGATATATTATCAACCTACTGATATTGGAAATAAATTGACCTAAATTGTTAATACAATTACTATAGTATTAACTTAGTGGTATACAGATATCAAGCACAAAAATAAACTGTGATCATCAAACATGAATGTTTCTTATCCTCCAATTATTACTTTGAGGACTTGACAGGGATTTTGCACAAAATAATCACAGAATACATCAATGCATAAAAAGTATATGTAGATTAATTTCTCTGAAGTATACACCCCTAATCCAAAACATCATCTTGCAGTAAACAGTACTGAACAGTGCAGTTCGAGGACTGCACTGTACAGTGGTGTAAAGTGCTATTCTAACATCATCTGTTATGAACAGCGTAGTACAGTACTGTTTTAGAAAACAGCAATGTACAGTTCTGTTTTTACAGCGCTGTCCAGCACTGTTTCATAAACAGCAATGTTTGATGCAGTTTGAGATTGGCAGTTTGAACATTATTATGCACTATGAAATGAATAGAAAACTAAAAAGTAGAAGAGTATTTGAATGGATAGTAAGTTTTTAAGTAAGTCATTTACAAATCTTTAAGAATTTCTAACTACTGATTGAAAAATGAATTTTCATTATCATATGAAAATTTTGGTTATTTCTGTCTCATTTTTGAGACACCCTGTAGATGTGATTGTTTTCCCCAACAGGCATGAATCGATTTCCCAGTAAGGGATTGAGCAGAAATTTATATTAAAATATATCCATATAAAAATAATATCATCAGATTTCCTTCATATAATCAGGGTTTCATCAGAACTTCAGACAACAGAAAAAAACAAAAAAAACAAGGACAATAATTGAAATTTTTTATAACTTTAAGATGGGCAATTTTGCAAAAAAATATCGTTCAACTTTGTTGTCTGTTTCCAAATGAAACCCCTCATATGTATATCATGTAAAGTACATGTACTGCATATTTTCAAATTATTGAATGTAAATGCTGAACAGAAAAATGACGGAAAAAAGTAGTTCCAAAGAATTTCCCAAAAATGCAGTTCCAGAAGTGGGGCATGGATAATTTGGACTATTTACGCAGAATTCATCCTCATCTCCACCGGCAACAATTTTTGTATGATTGACATATGCGTCGTTAAATGTTCTCATCCAGGTGGCACCACTCAACATCAAGGAATTCTCTGTCACGAATCTCTCAATGTCCCACAAGCATCTGAAATTGTAAAAGCACAGTGTACACATTGTTCTATTCTGCCATGTAGATTTCTACATGTACACTCCCCTCCATAAGTTTGGCAACCTTTTTTCCCCCATTGAACTACGTGTTAAAGCCTCTTTACCTTTGAATTTTTATTTACTTAACCTGCGATAAAAATACTTATATTATTGATGGAAACGTAATTTGACTTTAATTCCAATACATGTACCTCCAAATTTTCTCAATTTTTTTCCGCAATTACAATAGGTCGAAAATTGATGATAAATTTGATGAACTTTTGAAAATCGACATTCCCATGTTAACCAATGGGAAATGGTAGGTTTACCGCAAGTCATATGACAGAATATCCATCCATCTGAGTCCTTGCAAAAAATACGAGTTAGGCAGGCAATTGAATTTGCTAACTTTATTTAACCAAAAATTGATATGTTTCTTCAGGTTCAACAAAGTTATAGGGCTTTAAAGTCAAAATTGTTTTTCAAAAAACCTCTTCCATTGAAATAACACAGGAGGCGAAAAATTATTTTCAAAAATAATTTTGAAGCGTTGTAATTTTAATATTCATCAAATAAACTAAACACTTAGTGTTCAAAAAAGTTAAACAATTCAATTTTCTATATAAAAATATTTTTTGCTGAATCTTTTACTGAAAAGATATCCTGATTTCTGATTTGCCCCGGACCCTCCATTTCCCATTGGATTACATGGGAATGACGATTTTCAAAAATTCATCAAATTTATCATCAATTTTCGACCTATTGTAATTGAGGAAAAAAATTGAGAAAATTTGGAGGTATTGGAAATAAGTCAAGTTACGTTTCCATTAATATTATAAGTTATTTCATCGCCGGTTAAGTAAATAAAAATTCAAACGTAAAGGGGCTTTAACACGTAGTTCAATGGGGGAAAAAGGTTGCCAAACTTATGGAGGGGAGTGTAGGTATCTGAACAAAGTGGCTCATTTTCTCAAATTATGTTTTTTTTATATTCTTAATAATGTATTTTATCATTCATGCCCTTATTGAAAACAAACTACAATATATACATGTATAAGTCATAGATAAAAGCATTTCGATCACTATGGTAGACATCATTAAATATTCATGTCACTGGACAAAAATGATTATTTAGAACATGGGCTTTCAAGAGACATGTTTAAAATAACAGTATAAAACAAAACAAGCCACAGGGTGAACAGAATCGCACCCTTGAACAGAATACACTTTTCAGGATGGAAAATTCAAAATGGCCACCTTAACATTTACCTAGACTGCCTAAAAACTAATCAGTTCTAAACTTTCCATAGAAACATCTCTAAAATTTTTGGATGAATCCATGAAACCTGTTTTTTTCTACAATAAGATATACTGATGTATTACAAAATATGTGAAAATTGGAAAGATTGACCGTTTAGTTATTTCTAAAAAATGCTTTAATTTAACATTGCTCTCAATGGGAAATTCTTTTTTATTATTTTTTAAAACAAGCCTTCACAGTCACGATTTTAGGACGAAAAATCCAAAATGGCCGCCTTAACATTCACCAAGAATGCCGAAAAACTAATCATTTCTAAACCTTTATAGGTAGAAACATCCCTGAGAATTTCAAATGAATCCCTCAAACGGTTTGGCTGGAAACCTGTAGACAAGCCTTGACAGACAAGATTTTAGGACGGAAAATCCATAATGGCCGTCTTAACATTTATCCAGAATGTCGAAAAACTAATCAGTTCTAAACTTTCATAGGTAGAAACATCCCTGAGAATTTCAAATGAATCCCTCGAACAGTTTGGCTGAAAACCTGTAGACAAGATTATTCGGGACGCCCACCCAACCCGCTCGGCTAACTGATTACAATATAGCACCTTAGGGTGCGATAAAAAGACTAATGTCAGAAATATTATTGTTGATTTCATTCACTAGATTCTAATTATTGAAGATTATGATTATAACTAAAGCCAAGTTGTGTCAATCATGAAGATTTATCTCTTGTTTCAATTATCAGATACTTCTGTTTGCAGAACACATTAAAACCAAGGACAGATGAAAATAAGTCCACTGAATTTATTTAAGCTCACTTCAAGTTTCACATGAACATGCAAATTACCTTCCAGCTAATCTTTCAGGGCAGTTTCCAGCATAACTTCCCCAGATAGACGTGTTCAGGGCACCTTGTTGCTTGTAGAGGAGATAGTAGTAAGTGTGTGGCAACTGATCTGGGGGCATGGGGCCATTGTATGAAACCATTACTTCTCCATTGGAGACATTACCTTATATAAAAAATATTTACATAAATCAGTTTGAACCAGTGAGAATTCTTCCTCATTTCTAATAACGCAGATGTGAATAGGCAGTTAATAGTTTCACCACCAGGTGGCTCGTTCTGGTAAGACAGCATGGCGGGTATAGTAGAAAGTTCCCTTTAACTGAAATTACATCTGTTTTAGTGGTTCAATTTTCATATCAACCTTATGTATCTAATCTCTATCTTATGTTCCAGTCACTAAGGGGGAAATTAGATCCCTTTGTCATGAAACAGGGTCATGAGTGATCAATTAATATAACATTGAATATGTTCTAAATTTTAAACTCATAACTTTGGAGGTTCTATAGCACATGAATTAGTTATCAAAGACGTCATGACTCGAATTTGAGGATTTTCCAACGCAAAGGTTGATTCAAAATTCTCCAATCACAGATGTGTGTCAAATTTTCAACAGTAAATATGGGAATGAAGTTTCCTGTCCCAGTGGTGTGGGCAGAAATACTATGCATGTGATACATGTACAGTAATATACCTGCCCTAGGAAAAATTCAAAAATATTTTTTAGGATTTTGTCTTCATAAAAATAAAGTTGTGTGGGGAAAATCCAATGTATACGAGCTAAATGTACATAGAAGCTCTATCTTATAAAAACAATCTGAATTAGAAAAACAGATTATCCCTTGGCAATGCAATATATTGGCATCAGGATATTCTCAATATCCTCAATTGGCTAAAAGATAATTCCTAAATGGAGGTCCTTACCCATAGGTATGTTCATGACAATCATGTGAAGCAGAGGGTGTGATTTGTTGCCAACTTGGGCTGCTGGGACATCTGGGTCAATCATCACCAGGGAATAGTGGATGCCTGAAATCAAATTAAACAAATTGTACAAGGTGAATTATTATACAAAGTGTACACTATTTTCATATTGCTGATTTTGAAATATGTATGGAATAATCAAAATATTTATATGTAATATCATGGGCTTTCAATCTAGTTGAAAGCCCATGGTAATATTTAGTACCAAAAATTAAATATGTATGGAATATTGAGTTCCAGAAATGGAACAGAATATTCTACAACCTGTAATGAGTTATTCTGCTAATCCAATCAGGTCATTTACCTGGAATATTAACAGCTATAAAGGTTTGTATGTTTGAATGGAGTCCTTTGATGAACTTCTGGTTCAACTCAGTTCACCCAAAGTAAAATATGAAAAGTAATATATTTATCAAAAACCTCAATTGAAAACAAACTGCCACATCTATTCAACTCATTATTTCATTAATTCAATTAACAGTATAGAAACACCACTTCATATATAAGACAATAGCTATATGGACTTACTGCAATTGTCTCATCAAATCTTTTAGACAATTGTGCCAAAGTCATAAACCTTGATTTTATCAACGCACAACTATTGTATTCAATGACTGTTTTGTTCTATATTTGATGACTTTTATGAATTTTATTGAAATCATAATATAAATTGCCACAACATATAGTGTTCAAGTAGCATGATCATCCTATTTTCAATTTACAAAGAATATGAGTGGGCAGAATGATAGCTATTTGTTGACACAGGTGATTATTGGTAGAAAAACAAATTGCGACCAACTTTCTGAAAAATTGTCACACTTTTACATTACTTTGTTCAAAAGTTTTCAAAACTTCACTGGCATTTTATTACTGGTAAGCAATTACCAAAGAATAAAAATTTGTGACAGATTTTGATGTCAAACACTGACAGCAAAAACAATGTAAAACATCAGAGATAAAAACAGGTGCTACTAATATGTCATCCCTTCTTTGACGACAAATGAAAATAGACCTAATCTAAATAACATAAAAAGATAGCTCTTTTTCAGATAATCTGTTTAGGATCTGAAGGAAACATCGATGACCTTTTGAAAGATCAATTTTGAGGTGATTTCCACTGGCATCGAGTTGGCATCTACGTATTGCCATCATCTATCAAAGAAGTATTGATCTAATATTTATGTCTTTACATACATTTCAACATCAAATCATATGGTATCATTGAAGTGGTTCAGTTTCTTTGCCCTAAGGTGCCCAAAACTCTTTGGTGCCCATAGGATTATTTAGCTCACATGAGTAAGCTATTTTTATCATTCATATATTCTACTCTTTTGCAGTCTGAGTGAACTAAATTATCTACCCAAAACCTGAAAGTCAACAAATATTTTCAAAATTATAATCAGATATACTTTCAATTAATGAATTTTTTGCCTTCCAAATGATAAGCTATACCTACAGACCTGGAGGCTAGAGCTTCCTTATTGGTTCATAACCCAGTGACTCATAGTATTATTACATATACTTCCTGGTCACCCTGAAGTCCAGAGGTGAGCAGTTCCAATCATTATGCTCTGAGGTGGGCAAATTGATTTGCTGATAAAACCTTAATAACCCAAGAAGTAGCTGCCACTATGGCCAGATGGCCTTTAATGGGAGTTTGAAGATGAACTGAATACCAGGCACTTCTGGAGGCAGCAATTTCAGTACATGTATATGCTGATATGTAGTGTAATTAATATTTAGAGAGTATCGATGGGGCATAGTGTGACACTTTAAAAGGGGTATTTCCTGATAAAGTTTACTCAACTGTCATTTGTTTTGTGAAAATAGCTAAAAATATTTTACTGAATATAAATAACAATTCACTTTGTATGCATATCAGGATGTGAGGTTTATTCTTCTGTCTTTTAATAAGTACAATAACAACAGGAATCATGTCCCTCCAAAAAATTAACTCAACAAATTATATTCGAAGTGCGATAACATAAAAATCAGAGGAAAATACATGAAACAAATTTAAGAGACACAAGATAATATCCTTTATTTTCATAAAATTCAAAATAACTCAGTATTTCAATTTAGCTCAACATCAAATGGCCAAAAATGAGAAAACTGGTGTGAATGATTTTTTTAATTATTGTGTGTATGACCTTCCGTCACGATATATTTGTTTGTTGGACAATTCACAAAGCTGATGAAACCCTCAAATATTATTTCATTTTGATGTCATATATTATTTCTCGAGAGTTAAAACAAAAGAAAAGAAAAGTTTGTGCTATGCATAAACAACATATATACTCAATACACTGTTAAAATATCAAGGAAATCCAATTAGCCAAACAGTTTCATAGAAATTCATCGAAAACAAACAAGGGGAGAGAAATAATTTGAATAGGTAAATGTGTCATGGATTAGTATAAAAGGTGTTCCATCTGCCTTGGTGGATTATCTGAATCACAAATCCGAGGAGGCATGGAAGGAAGGCACATCATCGCAGCACTTGTGTGCTTCACCATCATTCAAACTGTCATTTCAAATGAAGGTAAGCTACAGTTTTCACTTCTTGCATAAATCTGTTTATACAAGTATAAGGTTCAATCATGAATGTTTCAAATTAGTTCACATTATTTGCTGTGCAATTCATTCTTCACTTTTTTACAATCAGATCTTAATGGAATTCTGAGCGATAGGAATAACAAAGTATTGCTTCAGGGACGAGATCATATTTAAGCAGACATCTGATAAATTCATAAAAATATTGTTTTGATCAATAAAATCATCAATTATAATAAAACTGTAAGAGTGCTCGCGAACGTCAGTGTAGAAATATTTCAATTATTTCAAATTTTGCAGTGGATTCGATTTTAAATGCTTCTAAATGATCTTCAAATGCTTAATATGATTATTCTATGATAATTCTATTTGTATTGTTTCCACTTTCCCGGTTTATAAAAAGAACATTATCAACATATATTCGACTCAAAAGTTCATTTCCAGTTCATCTTAATAAAGATGAGCTGAAAGTTGTAGTGAACAACTTCCAATACTCATTCTAAATTTGGGTTTTCAAAGTTCAATAGATGACTTTGAATGGACCTTCATACATAGTTCGAAAATAGAATCATCAGAGAAGGTTTTAAACCATGAAATCGACTCTAAAGCCAGAAGAAAATTATTTTGAACCAATTTTCAATTTCAAGAGATTTTTAATTTTCTATTTTCATTTTTTGAATTGATTTAATAAATCATTCCTGTATGTTATATTCAAATTTTTGATTAGGTTAGAGACTTAATGAAATTAAACAGTTATTGTCAAGAACTCTTAAGCATGAATATAACAGGATTCTCAAATCATTTTGAAGCGTAACTTCTCAATTTGTTACAAATTACACAAGTGTTTATTTATTATTTTGGAGAATTTAAACATTTTCCTCATTCTTGCACTTTGAATCTTAATAATTCCACCCACTGATTGCATATCACAGATCTTTTGGGAGATATAACATTTGAGCTAATTATGAGGAATATATTGGTTGGTCAATTGCATGTTGCTTACAATTTTGTCACCCCCTATATATCTCATTCTACCTTTAAGCTTATTTTGGAATAATTTTTGGAACAATATGAAACAAATGTCTCATGTTTAATTCTAGACTATGGATACCTTTTTAGAACTAGATATAGTAGTGTAACTTATGAAGGAAGTCACTGAGCCATCAAAAAAGGAATTCTCAGAAGATGTTGCAAAATAAGCGGAGAGATCCTTTTTCTAAATCACTCAATCCTTTGCTGACCATATAAGATATGGTCTAAATTGATAGATTAAAAGCCCTACTTATTTATTAGCTTATAGTCATAGGACATACTTAGACCAATTAACAGTTTGTGATATCTTCACTTTTTTCTACAAAAAGGTCTACAAGAGAAAGGGATGACAAAAAAAAGAGCAGCAGAATTCCTAACTTGTGCAAGAAGAGCGAGGGGTCCACTGGAGCCGGCCAATGAATGGCTAGAAGAGCTTGATGATGAAATCCAAGAAATTGCTGAATGGTTCAGCTTTGCCAAAAGTGACGACATTAAGAAATACCTAGCTCAGAACCGTATGAGAATGTCCACGGTACATAAGTCTGTGACTAAAATGCGAGAGAAGACTGCAGCAACACCTCCTATGTCTGTTGCACCTGCTGAAAGACTGCGGCCTTGAAGAGCACTCAAATGATGCCTTACATTGAATCTTATTGTATTGAATAATAAAGCAATTACTGGATGATACATAAGTTACTGAAAATATATCTGTTTGTTTGTGTTTTTCTTTGTTCTGTGGTGAGAATCCTTGAGGAAAGATTTTTTGTGTACATGTATTAAATCATGGTTAAAAATATTACGATTTATTTTTCTTATGACCACAGTCTCTCCCCATTTGGCGCTTGTGCTTATATGATGTTGTATATGGATTTATTTATAACTAAATTTTAAAGGTCACATGTATTTTTTAATAAGTGATATTTAACACCAATCCATAGCATTCATGTTTATCACATGTTTTTCAAAAAAGAATGAAGAAAATTGGTTGATAAATAAGCGAGAAATGTTCAGAGAAAAACGCTAGTGATCTCCGGAGCATTAAAGCGAGTAGGCGCTGCACCCACTTGAGATTTTGAAAATAACCACGCACCCACCAGAGTATTCATTTGCACCCACTTGAAAATGAGCGAAATTGACATACCATTGTATTGACCAAAATTTGGTCTAAATTATGAAAATAAAAATTTTGCATCCACTTGAAATAAAATCCTGGGGAGATCATAGAATGCATCAGTAATATTTAAAACACAATATATTTTTCTTTCTAACCTAGTTAGACAATCATCATTGGGTTATTTTTTATGTTTAGCTAAGATTTAGAAAAATGACATCACAATGAATAATATTTTGCACTCTTAGTGGAATATTTAATGATTTAAAAATTTCAACTTTTAGTTGAAAAATTTGAATATTTGGGATAACTTTTTATTTTACAACAAAATTATTTTTCAAAAATCTCCTGAATAACTTTTAAATTCAGGAAAAATAGAAAATGAATGATATATTTTTTTAACAATTCCGAGGACCACATTTCTAGTTGCAATTTTGCATGCAAATTTTGAGGATGATCTTTGACTATAAACTGATATGAAATTTGGCTAAATTATAATATTATTCAATGAAAAAAATCAAGACAATTTATACGCACATCGAGTCAGTAGGGATAATGAAATAATTATAGCACACAGCCAGCACAATCAAAGATTCTTTTTTGAGATGTACATAATTTGTATAATTAATCTTAAAATGAATCAATGACTATACAATGAATTATGGGAAAATAAAATCCCATGAAGTAATGTTGCATACCCTTTTAAAAATACAATATTCAAAATTGACAATGATTATGAACAACATCCATGATCAAAACAATTTTGAAAAATCTTACCAATAAAATCAGAAGGATTTGGTCCAAGTTTTCTCATTTTGAGGTCATAGGTACGTGAGGAACCACCCGTCCTAACTTCAGCAGCATTTGTGATGCCATCTCCAATCGGGTCAAGTTTAAAGCTACGTAACCTAAAACAATAATGATTCAAATCTGTTATACTCTAAGAGCGAGGAGGAAAATTCTTAATAAATGGAGTATAGTTGGTTTGGCAGCATTTTCAGTTAGAAGGAAGTCTTGGATGAAAATTCTACCTAGGTGATAGCTTCACAGAGTGGTACATAATTCTTTTTTTTCAGGGGTTAGCCCCCCACCCCCCAAAAACACCCCACCCCGGGAAAATAATTTTTTCATTCTCGATTACTTTAGATATCTTGATGTTTGTAAGTTACATACATATACATTATATATATGAATCTTTTGCATAATAAATAATGCCAATCACTCATACAGAATTTGAATAATAGTACAAAGTATGTACCCCAGGGGGCAAATTCGTGACCCATTTCTTACTTTTTAGAGCCTTACTTTTCAATCAGACACTGGAAGACATTGGAAAAATTCATGAGAAGTGCTTAGTAGCAGGGTTATAAGCCCTGAAAGGTTCAAACTAATTGAATCAGTAGGAGCCGAGAAAAAAATGTTGATTTTTTGAAAATTTTGACATTTTTGAGATGGGTATTTTTGGGTATGACTATAGCTGATGCCTATGGTTTCTATATCTATCCCTCTTTGATTATAAATATGGTTTTGAAGTATTGAACTAAGATGTAAAAGATAATTAAAATGGGTTTTAAGGAAGTTTAAAGTTTGAAACAAGTTCAAAATTCGAAGAATTGTACAATATCAGGTCTGAATTTACGAATTTTAGGTAAGACCTTGGGTGAGCCTTAGATTTTTTACATCTGTCCCACTTTGATGATATTTATAGTTTTGTAGTGTGGAACTTAGATGTACAAAATAATTAAGATGGTTTTTAAGAAGGTTTAAGGGTTTTAATAAGTTCAAAATTTGAAAAATTGTACAATATCAGGTCTGAATTTGTGAATTTCAGGTAAGACCTTGGATTAGCCTTATATTTTTTACATATGCCCCTCTTTGATGATATTTATGGTTTTGTAGTGTGAAACTAATAAGTAAAAAATAATTTAGATGGATTTGAAGAAGGTTAAAGGTTTTTATTAAGTCCAAAATTTGAAGAATTGTACAATATCAGGTCTGAATTTATGAATTTCAGGTATGACCTTGGACGACCCTTATGTTTTTTACATCTTTCCCTTTTTGATGCTATTCATGGTTTTATAGTGTGGAACTAAGATGTAAAATATAATTAAGATGAATTTTTAGAAGGTTTAAGGGTTTTAACAAGTTCAAAATTTGAAGAATTGTACAATATCAGGTCTGAATTTACGAATTTCAGGTAAGACCTTGGATGAGCCTTATATTTTTACATCTGTCACTCTTTGATGATATGTATTGTTTTTGTAGTGTTGAACTAAGATGGTAAAAAATGATTTAGATGGTTTTGAAGAAGGTTAAAGGATTTTAATGAGTCCAAAATTTGAAGAATTGTACAATATCAGGTCTGAATTTATGAATTTCAGGTATGACCTTGGACGACCCTTATGTTTTTTACATCTTTCCCTTTTTGATGCTATTCATGGTTTTATAGTGTGGAACTAAGATGTAAAATATAATTAAGATGAATTTTTAGAAGCTTTAAGGATTTTAACAAGTTCAAAATTTGAAGAATTGTACAATATCAGGTCTGAATTTACGAATTTCAGGTAAGACCTTGGATGAGCCTTATATTTTTACATTTGTCACTCTTTGATGATATGTATTGTTTTTGTAGTGTGGAACTAAGATGGTAAAAAATGATTTAGATGGTTTTGAAGAGTGATTAAGGATTTTAATGAGTCCAAAATTTGAAGAATTGTATAATATCAGGTTTGAATTTTCGAATTTCTGGTATGAGCTTGGACGACCCTTTTGTTTTTTACATCTGTCCCTCTTTGATGATATTCATGGTTTTATGGTATGGAATTTAGATGTTCAAAATAGTTTAGATGGTTTTTGAGAAGGTTTTAGGATTCTAACAAGTTCAAAATTTGAAGAATTGCACAATATCAGGTCTGAATTTACAAATTTTAGGTGAGACCATCGATGAGCCTTGTATTTTTTACACCTGTCCCTCTTTGATGATATGTATGGTTTTGAAGTGTGGAACTAAGTTGTAAAAAATAATTCAGATGCATTTTAAGAAGGTTTAAGGATTTTAACAATTTGAAGAATTGTACAATATCAGGTCTGCAATTAATGAATTTCAAGTATAACCTTGGTTGGCCCATATGCTTTTTCCACCTATCCCTTTTTCATGATATATTTGGTAGTGTGGAAATATGTTAAACATAAGATGGGTTTTAAAGAAGCTTAACGTTTTAAACAAGTTCAAAATCTTGGCGTATTGTACAATATCAGATCTAAAATTAAGAATTTAAAGTATAACCTTGCTTGGCCCATATATTTTTAACATCTATCTCTTTTTGATGATATGGTTTAGTAGTGTGGAGCTAATATGTAAAACATAATTAAGATAAGTTTTAAACAAGTTTAAGGTTTTAAACAAGTTCAAATGTTGATGAATTGTACAATATCAGAGCTGATATTAATGAATTTTAGGTATTACCTTCTTGGACGAGCCTTATGTTTTTTACATCTATGGTTTAGTAGTGTTGAACTAAGATGTTAAACATAATTTATACAGGTTTTAAAGAAGTTTAAGGTTTTAAACAAGTTAAACATTTGAAGAATTGTACAATAACAGGTCTGGAATTTATTAATTTTAGGTATAACTGTGGATGGCACTTATTCCTTTTTTACATCTATCCCTCTATGATGATATAACATATGGCTGGTAATATATAGTAGTGTGGAACTAAGAGGTAAAACATAATTTAGATGGGTTTCAAGGAGGTTTATGGTTTTAAACCTGTTCAATACTTGACAAACTGTACAATATCATATCTGACATTAACGAATTCCAGGTATAAACAGTGTCTCTATGATAATATATATGGTTTAGTAGTATGGAACTAAGATGTAAAACAAAATTTAGATGGGTTTTAAGGATGTTTAAATCAGAATCAGATCTATGGGGGTGACAAAATTACAAGCAACATGTACAATTCACCTACCAATCTATTCCTTACAATCTCAAATACAATATCTCTAAAAAGATTCACGATATGCTAAAAATTGATGAAGTTATAATGGATTCAAAGTGCAAAAATGGGTGAAAAATGTTTAAATTCTCCCAAAATAATAAGAATGGTAACCATTTTTATGGAAAAATAATACATTATTGTAGAAATCTTTAGTTTTCCTGAAATAAAGTGTGCACTTTGGGGATAATTAGCAAATAGACATGAAAAGAAATGATATAAGCCAGAAATATTCAAAAATTTAAACATTTTTTGTTTGGCTGCTTGCTAGATCTGATTCTCTCTTTAAGGTTTGAAAGAGGTTCATAACTTGACAAATTGTACAATATTAGGCCTGAAATTCTTAAATTCTTTGATGATTTACATGGTTTTGTAGTGTGGAACTAAAATGTAAAACAAAATCTTGGAATTTGGGGTTTTAAGGAGGTTTTTATTTATTTTTACTTATTGCTTATTGCTACTTCAGACTAGGGTTAAACTTCCTTAAAACCCCAAATTCCTAAATTATATTTTACATTTTAGTCCTATTATACAGAACCATGTAAATCATCAAAGAGGTTTAGAATGAAAAGAACATGAGGATCATTCAAAGCTTTATCTGAAATTTGTTAATTTCAGACCTGATATTGTACAATTTGTCAAGTTTTGAACCTCTTTAGAACCTAAAACTTCCTTATAACCCATCTAAATTATGTTTTACATCTTAGTTCCATACTACAAAACCATATATGTTATCATAGAGAGATATATGTAAAAAACATAAGGCTCATCCAATGCTATACCTGGAATTTGTTTATTTTAGATCTGATATTATACAATTTGTCAAGTTTTGAACTTGTTTAAAACCTTAAACCTCCTTAAAACCCATTTTAATTATGTTTTACCTCTTAGTTCCACACTACTAAACCATATATATCATCAAAAAGGGGTAGATGTTAAAAACATAAGGGCCAACAAAGGTTATACTTGAAATCTGTTAATTTCAGATCTGATATTGTACAATTCGCCAAGATTTTGAACTTGTTTAAAACATTAAGTTTTTTAAAACCCATCCAAATTATGTTATACATATTATTTCTACACTACTAAACCAAATATATCATGAAAAAAAGGGATAGGTGTAAAAAATATAAGAACCAACCAAGGTTATACTTGAAATGTGTTAATTGCATACCTAATATTGTACAATTCTTCAAACTTTGAACTTGTGAAAATCCTTAAACCTACTTAAAATCCATCTTAACTGTTTTTTATATCTTAGTTCCACACTACAAAACAATACATATCATCAAAGAGGGACAGATATAAAAAACATTAGGGTCATCCAAGGTCATACCTTAAATTCGTAAATTCAGACCTGATTTTGTACGATTCTTCAAATTTTGAACTCATTTAAATCCTTAAACCTTTTTCAAATCCATCTAAGTTATTTTCACATATTAGTTTCACACTACAAAACCATACATATCATCAAAAAGTGACAGATGTAAAAAATATAAGTCTCATCCAAGGTTATACCTGAACTTCATAAATTCAGACCTGATATTGTACAATTCTTCAAATTTTGGACTTATTTTAAAACTTTAAACTTCCTTAAAACTCTTTTAATTATGTTTTACATCTTAGTTCTACACTTCAAAACCATATCTAACATCAAAGAGGGATGGATCTAGAAACTATAGGCATCAGCTATAGTCATACACAAAATCACCCCTCTCAAAAATGTCAAAATTTTCAAAAAATCAACAATTTTTTCTCGGCTCCTACTGGTTCTATTAGTTTGAATCTTTCAGGGCTTATAGGCCTGCTACTGGGCACTTGACATGAATTTTCCCAATGTCATCCAGTGTCTGATTGAAAAGTGAGGCTCTGAAAAGTAAGAAAATGGGTCCCGAATTTGCCCCCTGGGGTACATACTTTGTCATATTAATCAAATTCTGTAGGAGTGATTGGCATTATTTATCTTGCAAATGATTCATATATATAATGTCTATGTATGTAACTTACAAATATCAAGATATCTAAAGTTATTGAGAATGAAAAAATTATTTTCCCGGGGTAGGGTGTTTTTGGGGGGTGGGGGGCTAACCCCTGAAAAAAAAGAATTATGTACCACTCTGTGAAGCTATCACCTAGGTAGAATTTTCATCCCAGACCTCCCCCTAACTGAAAATGCTGCCAAACCAACTATACTCCATTTATTAAGAATTTCCCTCCTCGCTCTTAGAGTATTAAGGATTCAGAGAGTTAAGGGGAGTTGGATTTTGGTTATACTAACTGGTCTTTTAAGTTAAGAATTCAAAACATGCTATTAACATGACAAGGCATTAACATGCGAAATATCACCATTTGCCATTTGTTACAGGCATCTGATGCAGCCCACCAAACACCAGATGGCAAACTTTGTCCAAAAGAAAGTTAGTGATTATAAAAATATGTCCCCACTTGTGGTGGTGATGGTGGTGGTGATATAAAAAGACTGACAGAGACCAACAGAAAGGCTGACCTGCCTATGTTTCTTTTTAGGTCGAACCCCATCAGATTTTGGAAAAGATTAACCTAGACCATTGGAAACTGGGCTAAAGTCCTGTGAGAATTTGGCAAAAAACTGAAGGTCTTTTCTCTTGTTGGAAATATCACGAAGTGTTAAAATCACTGTTAACTAATATCATAACATATCATGTCATATCATAACATACCATTCCTCACTAAAAAGCAAGTTCATTTTTTAGGAGAAAAAACATTATATACTACAGCAAAACTTAACTTATCCAATTCCAAATGCCGGTGTTCACATTTCAAGGTTTCATTAAATTCATAAACAATGGGTCAATGGGAGATAACAAATTTGAGACTGAGGAAAATTGTTCACATACAGAGGTGTTCAGTTGAGAGGTTTATAGATATACAAGTTTCACTGTACACACTTACGGGTAGTTATAGTCATTGCAGCAACTGGTGAAAGCAATTGGCTCAGATGTAAAGCTGATATCCACACGCACATCAAGTGACATATCTGGCTTCAGAAATGGTCGGTTCTGGGCAATTGCACCTAAAACAAGGCATTAACATAAAAAGAGAGTCATAGAACCAAATGTTGCTTGTTAAAATATGAGGGCTTTTGTGTTTTAAATAATCTGCCGGACATGATTTTTAACACAAACAGGAGTACAGGTACATGTCAAAAATGGCTTAAAATTGCGAAATAGGATCAATTTTTCTTTGTGTCTGTGCAACAAACTTAGTTACGACCTCTCCAAAATGACTACAAATCATAATGGCTCCAGTGTCAATCGTTGCCAGATTTTGAAAATACAATCACATTTTACTTATGGTACAGTTACCCTGCGTGCAGAGTCTAGTTAAACTACACTCTGCCTAGTAGAGACCATATTACAGTTTAGTAGCCCAGCCCCCACGACAGGTACCGGTGACAGTTTGGGTAAATCACTTTTGACCTACACGCTGACCTTCCACCAATTAGCGAGCTTGAAGAAACATATGCCAAATGCGTTCTAATTAAATATGCGCATGTCATTGGTCAATTCAGGGCTCAACGATGACGTCAGAAGGAATGACCATATAAAGAACATCGGTCAAATTTGGCCGACGAACACTGATTGGCGCGGTGAGTTCCCAGGTTTATTTTAGTTTGAAAGAGTGAAGACGAAGCTCTCTTTTAAGAAGTGAAGTCAAACGACTGCAAAGGGTAGGTACAGTGTGCATTGTTTAAAAAACAACAAAAATAGGAAATTTAAAATCAAATATATACAATTCAACAATCTCCCTTCGGGTTTTCATGGTTTAGAGAGCACTAATCCCACGAGGACTATGGAGTTTCAGAACATCAGGACTTTCAGATTTGGCCTAAAAATTTCAGAGCCCTATAAGGATATGGATCTAAATCATAATGGTATAAAATTGGCATGAAATTGTACAAATTTTTGAAATTGTACATTTTTTTTGAAAGCGATTTTTTATATAATGTATGGTAACATTTTAAACAAGGCATTAACATGACAAAATGTCACCACCTAGTTGCTCACAATATTATGAGTTCAAACTTAATATAAGTCAGATTTGAATTTCTGAGAACTTGTAAAGTCAAATTTGAACTTCTGAAAAGATGTAGATGATTTTGAAAAAAAAATTTGGTCAATTTGAAGCAAGTTGAAAACAGACCTTTTTGACCTTTTTTGACATTGAGAAGGTCATTAAAGGTCAAATGTCAAATCTAAAGTCAGATTTGAATTTCTGAGAACATGTAGATGATTTTGAAAAAAAAATTAGTCAATTTGAAGCAAGTTGATAAAAGACCTTTTTGACCTTTTTTGACCTTGAGAAGGTCAAATGTCAAATATAAAGTCAAATCTAAAGTCATATTTGAATTTCTGAGAACATGTAGAATGTAGATGATTTTGAAAAAAAATTTAGTCAATTTGAAGCAAGATGAAAAAATACCTTTTTGACCTTTTTTGACATTGAGAAGGTCATTGAAGGTCAAATGTCAAATCTAAAGTCAGATTTGAATTTCTGAGAACATGTAGATGATTTTGAAATTTTTTTTTAGTCAATTTGAAGCAAGTTGAAAACAGACCTTTTTTGACCTTGAGAAGGTCAAATGTCAAATCTAAAGTCAGATTTGAATTTCTGAGAACATGTAGATGATTTTAAAAAAATTTTTAGTCAATTTGAAGCAAGTTGAAAAAAGACATTTTTGACCTTTTTTGACTTTGAGAAGGTCATTGAAGGTCAAATGTCAAATCTTAAGTCAAATCTAAAGTCAGATTTGAATTTCTGAGAACACGAAGATGATTTTGAAAAATTTTTTTAGTCAATTTGAAGCAAGTTGAAAACAGACCTTTTTGACCTTGAGAAGGTCATTGAAGGTCAAATGTCAAATCTTAAGTCAAATCTTAAGTCAGATTTGAATTTCTGAGAACACGTAGATGATTTTGAAAAAAAAATTTAGTCAATTTGAAGCAAGTTGAAAACAGACCTTTTTTGACCTTGAGAAGGTCATTGAAGGTCAAATGTCAAATCTAAAGTCAGATTTGAATTTCTGAGAACATGTAGATGATTTTGAAAAAAACATTTAGTCAATTTGAAGCAAGTTGAAAAAAGACCTTTTTGACCTTTTTTGACTTTGAGAAGGTCATTGAAGGTCAAATGTCAAATCTAAAGTCAGATTTGAATTTCTGAGAACACGTAGATGATTTTGAAAATTTTTTTTAGTCAATTTGAAGCAAGTTGAAAACAGACCTTTTTTGACCTTGAGAAGGTCAAATGTCAAATCTAAAGTCAGATTTGAATTTCTGAGAACATGTAGATGATTTTAAAAAAAATTTTAGTCAATTTGAAGCAAGTTGAAAAAAGACCTTTTTGACCTTTTTTGACTTTGAGAAGGTCATTGAAGGTCAAATGTCAAATCTTAAGTCAAATCTAAAGTCAGATTTGAATTTCTGAGAACACGAAGATGATTTTGAAAATTTTTTTTAGTCAATTTGAAGCAAGTTCAAAACAGACCTTTTTGACCTTGAGAAGGTCATTGAAGGTCAAATGTCAAATCTTAAGTCAAATCTTAAGTCAGATTTGAATTTCTGAGAACACGTAGATGATTTTGAAAAAAAAATTTAGTCAATTTGAAGCAAGTTGAAAACAGACCTTTTTTGACCTTGAGAAGGTCATTGAAGGTCAAATGTCAAATCTAAAGTCAGATTTGAATTTCTGAGAACATGTAGATGATTTTGAAAAAAACATTTAGTCAATTTGAAGCAAGTTGAAAAAAGACCTTTTTGACCTTTTTTGACTTTGAGAAGGTCATTGAAGGTCAAATGTCAAATCTAAAGTCAGATTTGAATTTCTGAGAACACGTAGATGATTTTGAAAATTTTTTTTAGTCAATTTGAAGCAAGTTGAAAACAGACCTTTTTGACCTTTTTTGACCTTGAGAAGGTCAAATGTCAAATCTTAAGTCAAATCTTAAGTCAGATTTGAATTTCTGAGAACACGTAGATGATTTTGAAAAAAAATTTTAGTCAATTTGAAGCAAGTTGAAAACAGACCTTTTTGACCTTTTTTGACCTTGAGAAGGTCATTGAAGGTCAAATGTCAAATCTAAAGTCAGATTTGAAGGTCAAATGTCAAATCTAAAGTCAGATTTGAATTTCTGAGAACATGTAGATGATTTTGAAAAAAAATTTAGTCAATATGAAGCAAGTTGAAAACAGACCTTTTTTGACCTTGAGAAGGTCATTGAAGGTCAAATGTCAAATCTAAAGTCAGATTTGAATTTCTGAGAACATGTAGATGATTCTGAAAAAAAAATTTAGTCAATTTGAAGCAAGTTGAAAAAAGACCTTTTTGACCTTTTTTGACTTTGAGAAGGTCATTGAAGGTCAAATGTCAAATCTAAAGTCAGATTTGAATTTCTGAGAACACGTAGATGATTTTGAAAATTTTTTTTAGTCAATTTGAAGCAAGTTGAAAACAGACCTTTTTGACCTTTTTTGACCTTGAGAAGGTCAAATGTCAAATCTTAAGTCAAATCTTAAGTCAGATTTGAATTTCTGAGAACACGTAGATGATTTTGAAAAAGAAATTTAGTCAATTTGAAGCAAGTTGAAAACAGACCTTTTTGACCTTTTTTGACCTTGAGAAGGTCATTGAAGGTCAAATGTCAAATCTAAAGTCAGATTTGAAGGTCAAATGTCAAATCTAAAGTCAGATTTGAATTTCTGAGAACATGTAGATGATTTTGAAAAAAAATTTAGTCAATGTGAAGCAAGTTGAAAAAAGACCTTTTTGACCTTGAGAAGGTCATTGAAGGTCAAATGTCAAATCTAAAGTCAGATTTGAACTTCTGAGAACATGTAGATGATTTAGAAAAAAATTGAAGTCAGTCTAAACAGTATTTGTTAAGTTATAGGAAGTTGTAAGAAATTGTTACAGACGCCGGACGCCAACCGCCGGACGCCGGACGCCAACCACCAACCGCCGGACGCCGTCACAAAAAAAACGGAGACCATAACAATATGTCACCACTTTTGGTGGTGACATAAAAACCAACAATGACAATAGTTTTGTGATAATAACTTCATTTAAAAGTATTTATATCGGGTCGTGTAGACCCCTGTAACTTGATTTATAGCAAAAACATTGGCATTTGCATGTTGGTGATGCTGCGCCTTTTTAAAAGATCTATCTAAGAAGCCCATCAGTTCAAAAAAATTCTAGAAGACCAAATAGTGACTGTTTGAAAGTGACTTTAAATGCCAAATGATGCCAATTTATGAAAAATACAGTTAAAGCATATATAATATGTTTTACTCACGTTCTTGTATAAAAGGCACACAGTTCTCGATGTAGAAGGCACCAGTAACTGAGTATGGATCATTGCGGGCTTTCATCCAATTTAAAGCTATGGGCCCTTTGAAAATAATAAGAAAAACAAATAATGCAGAAATAACCTTTATAAATTAAAAGCAGGCAGCAATGTTTTTAAAACAGAAATATTTGAAAATCACCAATTTATATAAAGTGAAATTGTAACAGTGACATTGATAGCCTATATGAGTTATGATTTACTGGGTACATATATTTTATATTTATTTATTTCAGTTAATAATAATTACATTTCAGTTAATATGTAGTACGCATATACAGTTGAACAAGTTTGACAATTTACTGGATTTGTCTTTTACCTTGTAGTCCGTGTTCAGTAATGAAGTTACTGATATTCATAGGAATCATTGAAGCAGCTATCTTTTCCGCCCAGCCTGGACCTAGACTCATATTGCCAGCATTTTGTTTTAACAAAATAAATGCATATACATTCTCCTTGCTAGTTGGATTCATAGGCCCATGGTACTTTTTTATAACCTGTTGAAAATATTAAATATTTTTTGGGAATTCAAAATGTTTTAATATTTGAGTGCCCAGAAAAAAGAAACAAAATTGGGTTAAGCTGAAACTGACGCAAGTACTTTTCAGGATTATCTGATTTTGAAAGACTATAGATGATATAACCTCACTGTCTTTATTATATGCAAAACCATAGATCTAGGTGTGGCTTGAACAATTTCCATATAGTACCTCTGCTGTGCTCATATTGCTCTCCTTGATGTTAATAAAGATGCCATGGCGAATTCCATTACTGGTATCTATGACCAAAAGCGTGAAGTAATCATCAGCATTACTTGTCCAACTCATATCTGGCAGAATCCGTAGTGACCATGGGTTATGGGTGGTGTTGAGAATGGGGTCGATTTCAAAACTTGTGGTGTTCTCCGTTACATATAGGTGGTCACATCCCATATACTGTCCTAGAAAATAACAGTTTCATGTCAAGGTCAAGAAACATGTGATGAAGCGATGCTGACATTTCCTTTAAGCTTACAGGTATATATATTTGTTTCCCTTATATTTTGTATAAATTCTACATATTTTGTTCAATGTGGTTAAAGCCTTTTTTTCTTATGATTATCATGGATACTAATGTTCCAATTTGTACGAATGTTCAAATAAAAGCAATCTTCTCTCATTGTATTTAGAAGAACAAAGGGCAGTTTTGTACATAAGTTAATGAAATGGATTATTCCCATTAACTTGCAGATGTGCAGTTTAAAATACTTATTAAAGCACCATTTAAAGAATATATATGTGTGTGATATATTAGCACATTAATCGAGTATACCTACATGTAAATGTACAGACATCTCTGTTCTTTTAATAACAAGCAAATTTATTTTTTCTCTTTAATATCAAAATAGTACATTACCAGGTGGAGAGACATAGGCGGCATCTATGTAGCGATCCAAGGCCATAGGATCAAAAGTCCCCTTTGTAAACATTTTATCAGCAAGAGACAATCTATTGGGATCTGCGTCATTATTCAAACATCCGATTTCTTGACGTTTTTCCTCTGGGCATAGCGTGAAGTAACTTCTCCCGTACCAAAACCAGTCATCATTTTGGGCAATGGTTCGAATTTCATTTAAACATGCGTCAAGATCTGATGCACGGTTTGTTTTACTGCATGGTGACACTTGCCCATAGCAAACTGAAATTAAATGTATTATCATTGCTTTGTCATTTTGTTTCTAACTAATTTCATATTTCTAAACTTTGTAAGGGCTGCATAGGTATGATTTAAATTGCCTTTTAAATGTTTGTTAGAATCAGATCTTTTGTTATCAGCCTAATTGGATTTAGATCTTTAGGTATCAAATTTATAAGGATTGGGCCCCACTTAGTTTTCAAGGAACTTGGGACATTGGTTCAGACAAATGGTTTTAGGTAAGGACCATTCTGTTTTTTAAACATCAAACCACTTGGCTTCAAACATATGGGATTTGAACCATTGGGTTTCAGACTATTGGATTTGGGTGATATTGGATTTCAAAGATTTTTGACTGACTCATATTAGTCTTAAAAGACAAAGAGATTTAGATTGTTTAGACTACTACTTGTACTTTAATTTCAAAATACATGTAATAGTTCAATCAGATTTGGATGATACTGTTTGGTTTCAAACTAATGGGATTTGGACCATACCATTGAGTTACAAACTAATGGGATTTGGACCATACCATTGAGTTACAAACTAATGGGATTTGGACCATACCATTGAGTTACAAACTAATGGGATTTGGACCATGCCACTGGGTTTCAAACTATTGGCATCTGGACTTTATCATCAGGATTCAAACTAATGGGATTTGAATCAAATGTTCCAAACTATGGGATTTGGACCATATAGCGTATGGATCAAACTAATGGATTTGGGCCATTGGGTTTCAAACTCATGGATTTTGGGTTAAAATTATGGGATTTGGACCATAAGGTTTTCAACTAATGGGATTCGGACCACTGTGTTTCAAACTATAGGATTTTGATCATAGATTTCTATCAAAGCATTTGTGTTTCAAACTGGCATTTTGACCATTGTGTTTCAAACTAATGGGATTTTGACAATTGCGTTTCAAACTAACAGAATTTGGCCATTGTGTTTCAAACTAATGGGATTTTAACCATTTTGTTTAAAAATAAAGGAATTTGACCATTGACCATTGATTTCAAACTACTGTACAGTAATAATATTTAAAGCATACGGTTTCAAACTGATGGGATTTTGACCATTTTGTTTCAAACTAATGGGATTTGACCATCTTGTTTCAAACTAAAGGAATTTTGACCATTGATTTCAAACTACAGTAATAAGATTTAATGCATACAGTTTCAAACTAATGGGATTTGACCATTGTGTTTCAAACTGATGGGATTTTGACCATTGTGTTTCAAACTAATGGGATTTGACCATTCTGTTCCAAACTAAAGGAATTTTGACCATTGATTTCAAACTACAGTAATAAGATTTAAAGCAAAGGATTTCAAATTAATGGGATTTTGACCATTGTGTTTCAAACTAATGGGATTTTGACCATTTTGTTTCAAACTAAAGGAATTTTGACCATTGATTTCAAACTACAGTAATAAGATTTAAAGCAAAGGATTTCAAATTAATGGGATTTTGACCATTGTGTTTCAAATTAATGGGATTTTGACCATAGTGTTTCAAACTAATGGGATTTTGACCATTGTGTTTCAAATTAATGGGATTTTGACCATTGTGTTTCAAAATAATGGGATTTTGACCATTTGTTTCAAACTAAAGGAATTTTGACCATTGATTTCAAACTACAGTAATAAGATTTAAAGCAAAGGGTTTCAAATTAATGGGATTTTGACCATTGTGTTTCAAACTAATGGGATTTGATCATTGTGTTTCAAACTGATGGGATTTTGTTTCAAACTAAAGGAATTTTGACCATTGATTTCAAACTACAGTAATAAGATTTAAAGCAAAGGGTTTCAAATTAATGGGATTTTGACCTCTGTGTTTCAAACTAATGGGATTTTGACCATTTTTTCAAACTAAAGGAATTTTGACCATTGATTTCAAACTACAGTAATAAGATTTAAAGCAAAGGGTTTCAAATTAATGGGATTTTGACCTCTGTGTTTCAAACTAATGGGATTTTGACCATTTGTTTCAAACTAAAGGAATTTTGACTATTGATTTCAAACTACAGTAATAAGATTTAAAGCAAAGGGTTTCAAATTAATGGGATTTTGACCATTGTGTTTCAAACTAATGGGATTTGACCATTGTGTTTCAAACTGATGGGATTTTGTTTCAAACTAAAGGAATTTTGACCATTGATTTCAAACTACAGTAATAAGATTTAAAGCAAAGGGTTTCAAATTAATGGGATTTTGGCCATTGTGTTTCAAACTGATGGGATTAGCTATGTACAGATGCCAACCACTAACTGCTGCTACAAAAAAGTATTTAGTGACATAAAAACAGGTTGAATTGTAAAGATGGCAGCAACAATGAACAAGGCATTAGCATGACAAAATGTCACCATCTTTTTGCTTAAAATATTATGAGATCAATCTTAGACAGATTAACATTTGTACATCAGAAAAGATGTTATTACTAGAGACCAAGAAGTAATAAGTATTGAACACAATGTAATTAGTAAATTTCAGAAAAGATGTTAGGTACTAGAGACCAAGAAGTAAATGTTGTAATAAGTATTGAACACAATGTATTAGTAAATTTCAGAAAGGGAACCATCCAAATTTAGAATTTTTATTTGAATATGAACTGATGATAAAGGAAAATGTAATATTGTTTTTGCTGTTGCTAATTCTGGTTATGTTATTTGTAATTGGTTTTATATGGAAATAAAAATAGATAAAAAATAAAATAAAATTTGTACCTGATTTGAAAAAAAATTGATCTTTTTTGAACTTGAGAAGGTAATTGAAGGTCAAATCTCAAGTCAGATTTGAACTTCTGATAACTTGTAGATGATTTGAAAAAAATTGGTCAATTTGAAGCAAGTTGAAAAATACCTTTTTGACCTTTTTTGACCTTGAAAAGGTCAAATCTATCAACAGATTTGAACTAGCTGGAAACATGTAGATGATTTTGAAAAAAATTGAAGTTAGTCTAGTAAATAGTATTTGTTAAGTTATTGGAAATTGTAAGAATTTGTTACAGATGCTGATCGCCGATCACCAATCGTCGATCGCCATCCGGCGTTAAAAAAAATTGGAGGCCATAACAATATGTCGCCACTTTTTGGTGGTGAAAAACAATATGTCACCACTTTTTGGTGGTGACTTAATAAAAATGGGGAAACTGCTACGCTATCAATATGTCTTCAATGTGCAAAACACAGGCAGATCCCCTCAGGGGCGTAGCCAGGATTTCGCCCCAAGGGGGGTTCTATTTTTCCTCAGCCGGGGGTTTGTTTCATAACGAAAGGGAGCAGTGTGCAGCACTAGTGCAGTAGAATTGTTTCCATAATGTAAATGTAATGTAATGAGACTGTAAACTGTAAATATCCTGTCTAATCCTGTCATTCTCACATTTTTTGAAAATTGGCTATAATGCTAAACATCACTGACATTACTGCTGGGTCTTCATGACCTGAATAGATCTCTATCATAATGTGTGGCTGTTCTTTACTTAGTGAGTTACAAAGCGTTATTATGCAATGGTCAATAACTTACCATGAATTATTGCAGCGGATATAATTAAAATTGTCGAAAACATGCTGGAGACTACGCCCTGCTTGAGCTCAATATTGAAATCTCAAAGTTACACAACTAATTCTAATGATTCATAATTTCGTTTATTTGGAAAGTTTGCGTTTTACAATATACTCAGGTAAACTCACGCCTGCGCAGCTGAAACTTCCTGCTTAGTCGGCACGAATTTAACGTGTAAATTTTATATTATTTATCCAAGATTTGCTCAAAATGCGAATGATAAATCGCATCAAACATTACTCACTGCCTTGTGTGGTATATATTCTATCGATTCTTGGTGAGACAATCGGTCTTGGCGATGTACTACACGCGGTGAACTGCGGCGGAGGGAGCCATACCGACATTTTAGGAATAAACTATCAAGAAGATGATGACCCTAGCAGGGAAGGAACAACTTCAGACTATGGGAAGAGTTTGGTTATTCAGAGATCTCCAACACCTGACATGATACTCTACCAAACTGAAAGATATCACCATAGTGATTTCAGTTATGAGTTCCCTGCGCCTAAAGATGGAGATTATGTCTTAGTGCTGAAGTTCTGTGAGGTGTGGTTCACCGCAAATAATCAAAAAGTAAGTGAAGTGTGAAACAGCAATACCTTATCCCGTACCAGGACTATAGTCCTGTAACGAGCGCATTCTTTTGCCTAGTACGATTACAACTTGGGAGAATTATCTACGCCCCTTACACCTACTTCAATAGATTCCTTGGTATTTTAGCATTCTTTTCGTGTAGTTGAATCCACTATTGTTTGGGTATATCGGCAGAATGGGAACATTTTTCTTTTTCATCGAGAGATATTCCATCACTTTCCAAGATGGCGGTTGGATTTAAAAGGGGATTCCCCGTTTGACTGACCCGCAAGTTGCCCGGATGTACCAATAAATGGAAGAATTTGACGGTTGAAATGAGTTAGATATTACTCGCAAATATTGCGATCAAAAAGGAAATTTTCTTTGTTCTGCCGAAAAACCCAGACAATTGTGGATTCAACTTCACGAAAAGAATGCTAAAATACCAAGGAATCTATTGAAAAAGGTATCTTAAGTGTAAGAAGCGTAGAGAATTCTCCCATGTTGTAATCGTATGGGCAAAAGAATAAGATGTTCGCAGGACTATAGTCCTGGCACGGGATAAGCAATACCCATTTATTTGTTGTGGAGCTCGTAGGCTCCGTAATATAGTGCTGATACAAAATAATAAAGGCCGAATAATAAAGGGTGCATTTTCAAACTAAACAGAGTGCTCCTACCAAAATGAATTTGCCTACATACCCCTGAGACTCTTATCTGATAGATAGAATGCACAAATAAAACAAAAGTTTTGCTATTATAGGTAAAAAGTTCTCTTAAAATTTTTAGTGATTTTACCTGTTAATTCTGTCATTGGTCCACCATTTTTGCGGAAGTTGCACTGAAACTCAAACTCCATGAAATGAAACGAAATCATGAGAAAAAACCATGGCACACATCGTGTGCATGCACAGCAAAATTTAAACCAATCAGATTATTTTGCGTACATGAATTATTTGCTTCTGAGCACTCTTTAATGCTAACCATGACAAACAAACCTGGCGGAGATTACCCTTACTTCATTTTAGCGAAATTTCAGCTCAAACTCGTGACAAATACATTATGCCTACACTGGTATGAAGCCTTGGAGACACTCATATTGTCCAGTGGATTAAAGGTTATGCAAATTAATTTACTACATCAGTCATCAGGGATATCAGGGCTCTCGCTAGGCCACAGTCTTATCAACTCCCGCCACAGCCTATTCAACTTTTTATGATCACAACACAACCTATTCAAGTTTAATTTAGTGAAGAATTTCAGTCAAGAAAAAATGCTAATAGTGAATTTCTTACATCAAAACGGTCCAATTTATTAAATGAATCAGACAAATGTTGAAAGCCTACGTGTGGTTCACTATGCACCATTTTTCCAAACGTGCAGAAATTCATACTAAATTGTTCTTTCTTTTTTCAATTCATAATATGGAATCCTAAACAGATAAACAAAACATATATCAATATCATGAAGAATGTACCACTTGATTGTGCAAATTCATGAAGTTTAAATAAAAAGAGAACAATAGGCAACATTTTGAAAACAAGAATAAAAGATAACGGCCATAGCCCCTTAAACTGTGAGTCTTATATGATGACATTTATATTGATTGACATTGCAACTGGCCTCACCATTGCTAAGATGGCACAAAATAGGTGATGCACTTTTGTTAAAATAATTGAATAAATATAGGTCCTCTAAATACACCCCCCTCCCCCTATGTGTTAGGCTCACTTGCTCGCATATAAATCACTTTGTCACTTTGTTCATGTGTCACTGTCATATCAGTACCACATCCTAATAATTTTGTAGTGAGAGCCCTGAATTTCCCTCAATATTAGAAACACCTACTGGCTTGGGAAAGCCATTTTCCCTCTTCATAAAAGCCAACCCCCTTGGAAATATGCTTTTTCCCTCTTAATAAACACCAATGGGCATTTATTTACCCTGCGTGCAGAGTCTAGTTAAACTACACTCTGCCTAGTAGAGACCATATTACAGTTTAGTAGTCCCGCCCCCACGACGGGTACCGGTGACAGTTTGGGTAATAAATCACTTCTGACCTACGCGCTGACCTTTCTTCCACTAATCAGCGAGCTTGAAGAAACATACGCCAAATGCGTTCTAATTAAATATGCGCATGTCATTGGTCAATTCCGGGCTCAACGATGACGTCAGAAGGAATGACCATATATAGAACGTCGGTCAAATTTGGCCGACGACCACTGATTGGCGCGGTGAGTTCACAGGTTTATTTTAGTTTGAAAGAGTGAAGACGAAGCTCTCTTTAAGAAGTGAAGTCAAACGAATGCAAAGGGTAGCATTTATTGTGAGTTCTTTCAAATTTACACCACGTGCAAAATAAATGCCAGATGGGCCCATTTGCGACAAACTCTGGTATGGAAATGGTTAAATACATGTTTTTCAATAATTTCTCATGGACACAGGAATTTCACTATGAATTTCAAATGTAATTTTAGGCTCGAACTGCTATTTCAATAACGCCGTCCAAGTATTGCAAAAACGTAATGAAAAATCCATGGACCCGGAAATAAAAAGTGATTGCGTTTTGTGGACGCATTGCAAGCCATACTCATACAATCAACTTTGGATGAATGATTTGATAAAGATCTTACCTTCAGTCTCTTTATTTCGTCAGAATCCAATAAATAATTGAAGAAAATTCTATTTCTAAAAGAAATAAAATTTTCTTTCGAAATTTCCTTCCCGGAAGTTGATTTCTGATCGAAATAGTACGAGGCATGTGATAGGACAAAAATTTATACAATACTCGATTTCCGAGCAGTAATCAGTATGAGTCCTACGATTGGCCGGTAGCTTAAGACCTGATTCAAACCATTTTCAATTGGTCAAGTGTGATCACGTGATCATTATTTGAGACTGCATATGCGCAAGAAACTGAACTAAAAAGTTGAACCTCGCGCAGATTGCCCCTAAACTAAACATGCTAAAGCAAAATCAATAGCAAATTGTTTCGAAATTCGCAAGGAAAAGGTGTTTTAAATGGGAGAATATAAGTTATGATGGTATCTGTATCATTCAATGACATACTAGACTTGCAAGAACGCTGATTCAGACCGATAAATAGCAAAAGCAGTGGTACAAAATTTCATCAATTTATTTCATCCAGTGTAAAAACGTGACTTTTGAATTCCCGGGAACATTTTTTCAAGGGACGCAGTTTTTTGAAGGGAGACGCATTTTTTGAAAATCATTACGTCCAAGGGACGCAATTTTGGACAAGCCTACTGAAAACACTGCTCGAAGCAAAAACTCTCGATTAGTTTGGTAATTCCATATTAATCAGAGTGAAATTATATACCACCCCATTTTCATTAGTTTAAAGTACAATCAGTTAATTATTGAGATAACAGATATTTGATTGTGAATTGGGTCAATGATGCTATGCATGGGTTTCATTAGCAGCAGGCAACAGGCGATTTTCACCGATTGTTTTCACAAAATCGCCTGTTGTTTTTAGGGACTTTTCAACTTTTCTATGTTTTATGATTTCCATTAATTTTGCCTGTTCTTTTCTTTTATTAGCCTGTTGTGAGAAATTCTAGTGAAACCCCTGCTATGTGAAAATTTGAAATTAAAGGTGAAACAAAGGACAAAAAATGAAATCTAGGGAGTGACATTTTCAAAAAATTGTTAATCACCATATTTTTGGCCCATAATTCCTTCTATTTTCTCATGTCATGTCTATAAATCTCAAAAGTACATATTCTGTCTCAAAACGCCAACAGTTTTTATAATTTTATATTTATTTTTCTTTGTTAGTCCATAAAAGCATTGTTTGTCTGATATCCTTGAAATACCAAGAGTTCTATCTTTATTCCACGATTGCTATAGGGGGTAGGGTGTCTATATAGAGCTTTGATAAGTAATAGTATTTTTGACTCTCTGGCTAAGGAGTGCTTCAAGTCAGGATTTTGTTAGTTCTAGACATTTCTGAGTCAGATATCCTGAACAGAGGTGAAGTCAAGAGAGGAAGGTAGACACAAGATTATACTACATGTACAGTCAAACAGGTTCAACTTTTGCCAAGGGGTTCGCCTTCTCAGCATTTAGATAATTTTTATAACGGTAAGGATAGAAGATCTTCCAATTCAAATATTCAATAAAGTGAGCAATAAACATGAAGATTTACAAGGTTTGTCTTATTAGGTAGGGAGATGAGCATTATATATTCTACAACCTCTGCTATCTCAGGATGAGTCAACACTAGGGTGGATCACTTTTTCCAAAGATGATTTTCAACATAGTATCGAACTGGCGTCAGAAAATGCAGTGGGGGGGGGTCTAAACATTGACAGATTGAGCTGAAATTTTTTTATTATAAGTTTAGGGCATATTAGTGATTATTTACTTTAAAGAGGCACTATGTCATAGGATAGTACAACCAAGACCCCTCTGGACCTTTTTGCATATTGAGTTTCACAACATATTCACCTACCACTAACAAAAGAAGAAGTCTCAAATCCCCGCTTTCAGTGTTGATTTTGTGATTGTGCTGGCCGGTCTAATTATTTTCGCGGCAATTAATTCAATCTGAAGTTTGAATATACCGGGAAAATCCTCCTGTTATATGATTGGTCGTTGAATTTTTTTTATCATGATCCTAATTGGCTGCCTGGTTCAAGGAGCCTGTGGGCGCTTGTGTGACTCAACAGGGATCCCCCTCACTAGCTGAGTAATCGATTGTGTTTAATTCTGGAGGTTGGTTGTTCTGTTGATTATTTCAGTATTTTGGCAATAATATACCCAAAAGTTATTCTCAAGATATATCCATGGTATGTGAGATATTATATGAGGAATAACAATAGGACATCGTTGATTATCTGAGGGAGAAACCTATGGTATAATGCATCTTTAAAGGGGCAATAAGGCTTGTAGCGAGAAAATAGGAAAATTTTAACTTTTTCTGAGCTATCAAGGCAACAGTTGGCTTAACATCTTCTTCGACATACCTATTTTCTTAAAATGTATGGATAAACTATCAATTTCAGCATTAAAAAGTGTAAATTCAGTTCAAAGCTTTAAAAAGGGGACGTCCACTTTTATATTTTTAAGATCCACCATGTTTCAAGAGGAATATAATTAAGGAATAAATAATGATAGGCCATTCAATATGGTGAAATTCAGCACGAGTTGGACAGAATGTTGTACAAAGCACGAACCGAAGGTGAGTGCATTTGTACTAACATTCTGTCCAACGAGTGCTGAATTTCACCATATTGAATGGCCTATCATTATTTATTCCGATTCAAACATAAAAATTAGTAAAAGCCGTGTCTGTGGAACGGGCATGAAGGAAGAATACGCATGCTGTCAAGATTCTGAAGTTGGCCGGAAAAATTTTAGAATTTGTTTGGGCTGTTCTATTTTACTCCCCATTTTAGATTTTATACGGTGTATGCAAACATGTTACAGTAGTAATTTAAATAGTTACAGTAGTTACGGAGGGAGTAAAAAAGAACAGCTATCCCCGGACAGAGCCCCAGATGTGCAGCTGAGATGTGACGTCACTCAAAACAATGCAAATTGCAGATTGAATAGAGCATGGTCGTGCATCTATGGAGAATTAGAGAACATTCTATATTGGCTATGCTGCATTCTGATTGGTTGAGAAATTCGAATAGAGCACGGTCATGTTTGAATCTGAAATAATGATTATCTAGGGGGTTTCTTTGTAGAAAATAAAAATAGATGTTAGTCTTGATGGAATATCCAAACTTAAATATATTTTGATACTGATCCATGATCATTGAATGGCCCTTCTGCACTACTTGTTGCACCTTTAAATTAGCCCTAAGATCTGAGAAAAGTTGAAAAAATGATCTACCCTAGTCGACACCCAGGCAAAGAGAAACCAATAAATCAGAATGGGAGGTTATTGTTATATGAGATATTGGTTATTATACAGGGTGGTCAAAAAAATGGAAACCCTGCATTTTCCTCATATCTTTGTCATTTTAGAAAATTACTCCCTGATATTTGGCACATTTGTACATCATTCAATTTCCTACCAGCATACTATATTTCATGACCATCAGATTGATAGTCACAATGTTACAGCCCTTTGAACAAGATGCCCCAGTGTGGCCACTATCACGCTGTTGGCAAACCTGAACAGGTTGTCAATGATCTGACTACATTTCTTAGCAGGTATGGCCTGAATGACAAAGATGATCTCCTTTTTTAGGTCTGCAGTTGTCCTGAAGTCATTCTCATACACTCTTTTTCAGTGTATCACCACAGGTTGAAGTTAAATAGGGACATTTTGGATGATGGGTGCAGGTTTGCCGAAAGTGCAAAAGTGGCCACTGGGGCATGTTGTTTAAAGTGCTGTAACATTGTGACTATCAATTAGATGGTCATGAAATATGGTATGCTAGTCGAAAATTGAATGGTGTACAAATGTGCCAAATATCTGGGAATAATATCCTAAAATGACAAAGATTTGAGGAAAATGGTGACAGGGTTTCCATTTTTTTGACCACCCTGTAATACCCTTTTGTCATTTGGCTACTATTAGTTTATGGTATTTTGTTCTTTACTAATTAGACTGCATAAAAATTTCTGTATTGCCACACTATTTATTACTTCTCTACCTTCTCTTAAAACCCTTTGAATTAAGTTAAGTTTGAGATTTGTTTGCATAAATTAGACTATGCATACTTTGTATGCCATTAAAAATATTCCTTTTTTCTCTGATGTGAGTTTAAAAACATGGCAGCAATGACTTTCTTTACGGATGCATATAAATGTACATACATTGTACAACTCATATTAATATTGCATGTTACAAGTGTAACCTTAGATGATACTAATAAGAGAAAGGCAGTAATTACATGGTCACATACTATTAATACTAATACTGTGGTTTATCCACCTGCTATGAATGTTTCTATTGTTGCAATACCTCAAACATGTTTTACTTGAAATGATCCCGAGGGAAGCAATACAAAACACGCATTTGAGAATTTGAACATTTCACACATTTAAAAGACATTTACCTCCTGTTTCCTCCTGTTTTTTAAAAGAAGTTTCCTGTTTTCTCCTGTTTTTTAAATTTGATATTTAAAATGAGAAGCTGTGGTGTGGTGGTTTCCCCCTCAATTTTGTTCAAGTGAGGAAAATATACTTTTAAAAAATCTGGGCCTTCCCTTAAAAAGTTTAGGTCAAAGTCAGTAACTAGACCCTCAATATATGTATAATGTTTTATGTTAACCGTTAAATGATGTTTTTTATTCTAAATTTTATTTAACATATGTTTCCAGGTATTTGATGTGCAGTTGAATGAGCAGAACATTATAAAAAATCTGGATATTTACTCCAAAGTTGGACGTGGTGTCGCCCATGATGAATACATTCCATTCAAAATAAAAAATAATAAAATTACAATTAGCGGGAAATCATCTCCTATCAAAGCTGGATCTATTCCTATACATTTAATAAAGGTAAGTAGTAAACTGTCACTAGATAAATACACTCTCTGTCAGTAAAAGCAATCTAATCTGAACTCCACTTGTACCAGACAGAAGTGGTTGGAAGATTCACACAGGTGGTCAACAATGTATCTATAGGTAGTCCGTATTATATTACAAAAAGGGACAGGGAGAAAGTGTTCATATTGAGGGGTGTTTTGATTACCAAAGTGTTTAGATCTTTATGTTTTGCTATATTCATCTAAAATTACCACAAAACACAAAGGGATTTCATAAGCAGCAAGTAATTTACCAACAGACTCTCTTGGTACGAGCTTGCTTTTGCATCTAAAATTTCTAGTTTAACGGATGAATAGTTTCCTGCTTCCTATACTAATGACAAGGTTTTTTGCAAGTCTCCCCTAAGGATACATTGGTTAACACCAAAATTTGACTGGGTTAATATTTAATCTACTTGCCAGCCAATATGTTGATTTTGTTTGAAACTGAACATACACTGTACATGTGTAGGGGAAACTGACCGATCCTATTTATCTTCCTTACATAGTTTTAAATTATGCTGGGTGACCAATATGTAATCACAAGTTCCAAAAACAGCAATTGAAAATACAAAGACTGATCTGTCCATATTGTCACATGAATACCATTTGTGGTTGATGATAACAAATCATGTTGATGAATATATTTTTTTGTTTTGTTTTCTAGGGGGCTCAAGACAATCCCAAGCTGAATGCATTCTATGTTATGAAAGGAAGCATAGCTGGTACGTAGTAAGCATCTTGGTTTTATTGGATTATTGGTTTGATTTAAATTCTAACCATGTTTTCATTGATGCGTATTGATGAAAAGCTGGAGTCAATAGAATTCAAATTATGATCTGATATCAATTTTCCATTTTTTTCTGGTATTACATATGATAAAAATGCCAAATGACTTCTTGTAAATTGCCCTTGTCTAAACTTTTGCACTACATGTATTTAACATCTTTAAGTATGGCATAATGTTATTTTGTTATTTTGATGCAATTTCTCGTAAAATAAGGATGAATAAATTTTCATTGATGCTTCTTTAATATTTATTGTCTCTGTAACAGTATTTGGTACTAATAGGTTATGTTGATTAATTTCACTCCTTGTTATATTCTTAAACAATGTCAGATATTGTGTCATTAATGATTATTTAAGCAGGTGTTTCTAAGCATAATTTCCTTCAAAAATGTGCATTAAATTTCTAATTTTCTGAGATTTTTATATAACTTAGAATGTTAACTACATGTACATGTATGTATCTTATTAGACACTAGCCTTGCCCAAGTCGGTATTTTTTTACTTATCTGATCTTGAATTATTACCGCCTTGTACAATCCAATACATCTCCGCTGTTATTATGCTGAAATATTCAACGGTTTCGAGATTTTCATAATACCTACGCCATCAGGGGTATCGCGAAACCTTATTGATTGACAGATATCGCGTGGACACGACGTGTGACTTCAGGCTGAATGACCAATCAAAACGTTATCAGGCGGAGCTGCATAAACAAAACAAACTTCCCATCGACGACTTGAAATTCAATGATCTGATCGAGTGTTTCTTCGTAATACAATATATTATGTAATTAAATGTACATTGGAAGGTAAGAGTCATCAATAACTTAAATCATGCGATTCAATGTTGATTTAAAACTGATTTCGCGATGAAAATGCACGAAGACCTAGATCTTGTCCAATGTAGCGGGTCATGTTGTCGTCGATCTGTGATTGAATCTCAGCCTACATGTTCAGCGATCGTTTCAACGTTTATTGTTGAAATCTTCTCACCTTTGGTTATCCGATCGATAACCCGGCATCCACTAAACTCTCATTGATATTTATCTGATAAAATATTGGTATTTTCATGATGAATTCGTGCTCAGATTCCTGCAAGATTTGTTCGAGAAAAGTCCCGGTGAAAAGTGTACTTGTTTTTGACCTTGCATAATAATGAGCTAACGCTACAGGGCCGTCGTTGATTGGTCAGATTTTACCGACATCAACAAACTGTCGGTAAAGCACGTGGCTTTCTCTTCGGTACAAGGCGGTCATAATAGAAATCAAGATAAGTAAAAGAGACCGACTTGAGCAAGGCTAATTAGACACCAGAGTTTGTGTTTTTATTCTTTCTTTCTTCTTTCTTCCTCCAACCCAATTTTCATCATGTTCCTTGCAATCAAAGCTTATTCCGAAAGGCAAATCTTTTTATTGTACCTAAAAAAAGGTACAACATTGTCATCAGCTTGGCGGGCAGGCGGCGGGCGGGCGGCGTCTCACTTTCTTGTCATCACAATTCCAGGAAAACCATGTGACAGATTTATTTTGATTACTCTAACCATTTTGAGATATTTTGACTTTAAATATTACAATGTGTTAAAAAAAGGTTATTTTTCATCTAGCTTCCTGTTTAGATTCTATGACATTTAATTTTTTTTTGGAAAATCAATATGATGATAAATAAAAAATATGAATTGAAAAATACTAGATACCGAAATTAAGATTCAGATAAAATTACTGATTGCCTACAAGAGAGGATGACCTCTTAATATATAGAGATTATCCTATATGAGGTTCAGGATATTGGGATTATCCCGAGGCCAATATAATATATCTACCCGAGGGCCGTAGGTCCCGAGGGTAGATATATTATATTGGCCAAGGGATAATCCAAATATCCTGAGCCGACTATAGGATGATCTGTTTATCCCATACCAATCACATTGTTCAATTGGCCAAAGTTCAGAAACTTTGCAACCAACCGTGGAATTATTTTAAAATAATCACGTCCAGTTTTGTATTTTTGTCCATAGCCGGATTTTCCTGTTCAAATCTTTGATTATTAACGGGGCATACTGCTCCTTCCCTTCTTTAAAGCATCAAACAGATCGCGATTGTCAAACAGACTGCGTTTTGCTCCATTATCGTTTACAGTATGCGAACGTTACAAAAAAGAACCAATACGGGAACAGCGATTATGACGTAGCGGGCAGATATACTATATCTGCCCGCTCGGAGCGGGACGTAAAGCTATATCTGCCCGCTGATGAAAATATAAGTTTTTACAAACCGGCTTTATGTACCCGTAACACGTCCAAGTATGGGATAAAAGGCTTTATTCTATATTTATTTTATTAGCCTTTTGCCATCAGAAAGTATTTTGACCCATTTTTGTGATATGGTTTCTGGAATGTAGATCAAAACCAAATTTATTAATTTTTAAATCTAGGTCGAATTTGCGGGTGTTCCTTATTTTTGCGATTCTGACATGATACTTTCATAATAATCTTTGAAATTAGGTATTCTGATAGTCATTAGTATGCCTTTTGGTGTCAGGTATTCTGACACAGTTTTGAGATCCAAAAGGTGTCCAAAAAGTAGGTCAAACAAAACACTCTCGCAAATCAAAGAGATCTGAAATCAGAATTGAAATCTGGCTTAGATTCTATGACCTTTTGAAATCTTGAAACACCAATATGATGATATTCCAATGTTAAATCAATTGAATTGAAAACTTACAAAAGAATTGTCTAAATGTCTATATTCTAGCTATCTCAACCTATTCAGAATGACTTGGCTTAAAAGTCTGAAATCTTATTTTGAACTTGTTCAATTCACTTTATTCCTTCCCAAATCCACTCGATTCTTTCCTATTTTGCATTTTAAAACATTTTATATTGCAGATGTTCCTAAGCTCCCTGAGATTGCCCAGGAGAAAGAAACCCAGGAAGAAGAGGAAGAAGATGAAGAAGATCAACCTACGAAACCAAAAGAGAAACCTCGAACAGTTAAAACATCTGGGCCTAAAGCGGCTGATCCATATGCAGCAGATGACACCAGTAGCATGTTGTTACCTGTAATCGCAGCAGTTGGGGCATTTATACCCTTGCTCTTCTGTCTTTGTAAATTGTAATTCTGTGCTGTGAGATTATTCTCATGATGGCCTACAGTATGGTTACTTAAGTTGTAACTTTGATGTAACTATTTTTACTTCTAAGGGGAATTTTTGTACTTATGTTGATTACTATAGTTACTTCTGTAGTATTGTAACTACTTAAACATCAATGGTAACTAGTGTAACTTCTATGGTTAATTTGATTTCCATTTAGATAATAATTTTCACCTATTATTAGTAAAGTGATTTATTTTGATAGAAATCCATTATTTTTATTTTCAAAATATTAAAGCAGAATTTAGTTTACTTATTATGTCAATATATTGACCATCGGTCCCCAAACTAGGCCAATTGGTTTTTGAATAGTGACTCAGTGCATGGTTATTTAAAAAATAAAATATTTTGTCCAGGTAACTTAATAATTAAGTTGAAAAAACAAGTAGCAAATTATAATTTTGAATGATTATTTTGATGGTAACCATTTATAGAAAGTAATACATTTAATATGAAAAATGCAAGGCCATCAAGAGTTACAAAATATAGAAAATTTGGTTACACTCTACAGCTCTCCCCTGGAAGATTTCCTCGATTGTCTAAGGACTCTAATATAAATCGGTTAAAATGTTCTAGTTTTCTAAGACTGTTGGAGGTGGCATTGTATTTTACAAAAAAAACATAACAGGGATAGCTACAACATTATCAGCCTTCGTGTGGAAGGTTTTCCTCTCAGCAAAATAATATTCCAAATTTTGTAATTTTTATTTTACCAGGTTTTGTATTTTACTCTTTATATTCCTTCTTACTTGTATTAGTTCTTATATTTTTCAATTTAAAATAATTTAAGGAATAGAGAAATATGATTCTGGTTGTGCTGTTCATCCCAAATCGTTTATAGACAGTGTCTAATATCATTGGTAAATATGACAAGTTCCTTTTTTGAAATGATAGCAACCAGAACCATATTTTTCTTAACCTAATGCCTCGTTTACGTTTGATTCACGGCAGCTGTACCGCAGCTTCCCAAAATCGAGAGAAATATGCAGCAGTCATAGTGCAAATGTGACTGAGGCTTTAATAGCATTTCTACCATTTTATGAATGTATTTTGTTTGTATAAATGTTTAATGTTTCACTGTATTACATTTATGGACATCTGGCAATCTTGCCAGCTTTAAAAATTATGAATAGGAATAGAAATATTAAAGGTGTAACAATGTGTTCATTAGAAGTCTCTTTGATCCTTCTTCACTGGATTAAAACATGTAGATTTTTTATACAGAATTTCAGAAACATCCATTTAATTGAAACATATTGGAGGCCACTAATAAAGGTGCTACCTATCTAGAAATCCTCATGGAATCATTATAATGATTATTACATTCATACTTTAATGTTGTTTTAATGTTTTGTGCCTTCCAGATTGTGTTATTTTAACTTAACACATGTCAATGTTTATTTAGCAGTCGGAAAATGAGATATCTCACCAATATAGACTTTCCCAACAAAGACTGTTGATGAGAGAACTTGATTAAAACACATGTTATTGAAAAATGCAAAATCAGATGTAAAAATCCAGTGAAAATGTCCAAATTTCTTGGAAAGTGCAAGACCACGTGTGCAAATCCACTGAAATAGTTCAAACTTAAAATGTTATTTGAAATGAGAATGAATGTAGGTTGGGGAGAGACATGCTTCATAATATGTGATAATTAGAAGATAGGATGTTTTTGCAGGAAAGCACTGATAGTTTTGTAGCTTGTAAGCACAGAAGAAATCCATAAATTAAAATTGAAATATATTATGAATGTTTTTAAACAATAATCGGGGTAATTTTCTGTAGTAAGACAAATGGGAAAATAGGGATACAGTAAAACCTGTCTAATCTGAATGCCACTAGGGGCCTGCCAAGTGTTCTGATTGGCAGGTGTTCACATTTTTAGGTTTTTATGTCACCTCATGTTTGTGGTGTTTGGCATCTGTAACAAATGACAGGTAGTGTCATTTTGCATGTTAATGTCTTGTTTGAACATAGTTATTTAATGCAGATTAAAATGGGACCAAAAAAGACTCGTGTTTACGTAGATAGAGTTGTTCATGTCACATATATCAATAAACAGTAAAACCTGTCAACACCTCTGCAAGTGGAACACTGTCCACAATCCCATTAACTTTAGGTTAAAGGGACCTCTGGTAGTTGAACACCTCCCTTCTCGAGTAGTCTAGTTCATTTACACAGGTTTTACTGTATTAAATGCAATGTTGCTATAAAGTTTTATTACGTTAAATACATATTGTTATTTTTTAGGTGTAGTCAAAATAACTTGATCTTCTCATTTTAATTTCTTGCTTAAAATAATTTATGAATGATGTAAAAATATTTCATTGGCGCTATGGAGTACAAACAAAAACAGGTTGGGTGTTAATGAAATTAAATTGTAAATAAATATTTGTATATATTGTCCAAAGTGAAAGATTTTTAATTTAAGATATCGAAGTAGTCCAATTGTCATAGAATATCCGAGGGTTTCCTAAAGATAGGCTCGAGTTTCTTTTAGATTAGCCTTAAAGGGTGTCATTAGACCCCTTGAAGATATTCATATGAAACTTTCATACTTATTTTGTCTAATGATTCTTGAAAATCAGATGCCAGATATCTATTTAAGTTGTCTATGCACACACGTTTAATAGGGTTTCTTTTAAATCATCATTGGAAGTTTCTTTTAGCTAGAATCCTTGGGGTTTCTTTTAGATAATCTTTTTTTGGGGTTTATATGAGCAATTCACTCAATAATGCAAGAATATGTAATCAATGATTCATTTTTTGAATTTAAAATCCTTTTATTTAATATATTTATCTTAAAATATCACAAGCTTAATACAGGATTCGAACAGGGTTAATTGTCCTTTGACATTGTCTATTAAAATCCCCATAAATCTATATTCATTTTATGCAAATCTGTAGATGAGAATACATTTACAGTACATGATTTCACAAGTTCGTGATTTTCAAAATGTAGAAGCATACATTCTAAATTCTGGAAATATCTTATTGTAAACCAAAATTAGACATGCACCAATACCTGCTATTGAAGGTACATAAAGTGTGGTGTTTATAAAGTTCGTGCAAAAAGTATTCTAAATTTTCAAATCTGGCTGTAGTCATCTTTCTGCTCTATAAGATTGTAATTGTTTAATTACATGTCTTACATTTTATTCTGATATAAATGATAAATATCAAAAGAATTTATGAATGTGATTGAAGAAGTGATTGTATTTGTGGATGTAGAAATGATTGTATTTGTATATGTGGCTTTTATTACAAAATGTGTACCATGGTGGATGTTCTTTATGGAAAATACATTTTCTATATTACTGTGAAACAATGTGTTCATTTTTGTCATCCTTCAGGCGTTAAAATCACTCCTACTGAACATAGTTCAGGTTGGGATGTGTAGAAACCATACATCTGTGTGTTAATGGGTCTGGGCAGTTACTCCAATACCAGTCATCCAATCACCAAGATTAGCTACCAGTTTGACCACGATATAGCTGTCTTAATAACAAGGCAAATATAAGTTTCCAAAACTTCAATATTCATTAGATTTATTGAATCAAATCTCATAGTCATAATAATAACCGTTTTTGACAATTGTACAACTGAAAAGTCCAGTAAAAATATCTGTGCTCAAGATTGAATTTTCAGAATGATGAAACAATGTTACATGCTCCATTGCTCCCTCGCCTAGCTGCCCTTATATACATGTATATGTAACTGTATACACAGATATATTCCACATTTCATTACATAAGAGCATTCCAAAGTCAACATCATATTGAACAATGAACTCGAGCCCTATAGTTGAAAATAGTAAAAACTGCATTTTGTGGATGCTCTGAAAAAGTGCATGCAAGGGTCAGGTCACTTAGTTCCATCAGAGTATCCACATGAACATGTCGAGGAAGCCTTTGTAATGAAAAAAATATCATTGGAAGACATTGACTGCCATTGAGCAGAGAAAACAAATTCAAAACATTCCATTGTATGAGCAAAAAGTCAAATATGTCAAGTAATGTTTTTATTTACACCGTGGGTATCAGTGGTACATGTACCTGTTGGACAGGATGTGTGGTTTGCTTCATTACAGTGCAAGACATTTAAGCATAAATGAAGTCCTTTGAAGAAGGATGGTGCAAGAATCCTTAGCAATTTATGAAGCTTTCCCAAAGTGCTTCATAATCATGCAAATACTTGAATTCAGTGATTCCAATTGTCGCCGCAGAATTTTGGTTTTCAAAATTTTTTCAGAATATGATTTTTTGCACGGAATTAATTTTGTATTAAAACTAGAACTGTTTAGTTTTTGGGCATTCTGGGTAAATGTTAAGGTGGTCATTTTGGATTTTCCATCCTAAAATCTTGTCTGAAAAGTCTAGACTAAACATTTTCTGGCACATCATTTTCCGGATCAATTTCAAATTTTGAGGAATGATTTTTAGTATGATATTTTGGAACTAATTAGGTTTTGGGCGTTCTGGGTAGATGTTAAGGTGGCCTTTTTGGATTTTCCATCCTAAATCTTGTTTGTGAAGTCTTGCCTATGCATTTCCAGGCGAACTAATGGGATATACTTTTTGTTTGCACAATAAATCCTATCAATAAAATCAACACAACAGTTTTGTTAATAGATGGTCTATTATATTTATTTTTATCCCCTGTACAATGTTATTACCAATTTCTATGATACAGAAGTCAAAACATATTCATACCTGGATCTTCAAAATTCATATTTCCACTGAAGTTGTTAAATTGTTATTTAAGTTGTTATTTCTGGGTGCTAACCAGTATTGCAAATAATATAATATAACATGTATAATACTTCCTAACTGCCTCTGGCACACATCACATCTTTACTAAGGGTCAATATGTGCCATATTAAATCAACCAAAATATCATTTTTTGACAAATACTGTATTTCAATATTTGCTGTATTGAGCCAAAGAAACTTATATACAAAAACAATCCCAGGAAAAAAGTATTTTCATGCAATTAAACATTAAAACTTTAAGTGGAACACATCTGGGCGTGAAACACTTCAATAAGCTGAAAAGCATTAATGTCCAATTTACAGTTGCTTGATAAATTACAAAAGTACTTTGAAGGCACCAAATTGAAACTTGGTCAAAAGTTTAAATTGTAAATATAGCCTAGCCCAATTTACAACTGTGTAACTTTTCCAAAATAAAGTAACTGAATAATTCATCCCTGGACAACTCAACTCCTGGACAACTCAACTGTAACTCAAGTCCACAATGTGGATGGCTAAAGTACTTTTACCCATGAAAAAGCAAACTGCTCCATACTTCACCAATAAACAATCAAAAATGTATCACCTCTTAAATCCATCTCTGGTTATCAAGCTGATTCATGCCTTTGTTCTACAATTTGACAAAAACTGTTTGCAAGGATATTCCTTAAAAACATTTCATTTTTTCTTACACCATTTTCATTTCACATTTTATTTCATTTTGCATTTTGAAGTGCTCGACTATTCATATAACATATATATTTACATTAATTCAATATGCTTATTCCATACCTTAAATTGAATTTACAGATTATGTTGAATACAAAACATTGAATATGTTTGATATGGAGCTTGTTTTTAACTTGACAGTGTGCAAATATTTTGTGCAAGATTGCTCATTTGATTCTTCATCCAACAAGTCAATAACTATTTTATTATGCTATACTAAATGTCCTTTACTATTTCAAAGTATTAATACTGTAAATCGCTTTAATTTGGCAGATTGGGCAAATTTTTGGCTGCTATTTAATTTGGCAGATTGACCGCTCAGTAAGATGCAGAAAATGGAGGGCTAAGCTAAGTACAAAAAGTTTTAAAAAGATTGGTAGAGACTTTAATTAAATGGCAGATTGGGCAAATTTTCAAATTGGAAGGCCGCCAAATTTATTTACAGTAATATCTGCAATAAAATGGTGTAAAATTAAATGGCACCACAGCAACCCAACCCATCATTTGGCAAGCATAATTCCTTATAATGACTTCATAGCTGGTAGATATCAGAGTCCAAATATCAAAATATATCCAATATCCCAAATAAAATTAAATCAATTTTATACTGTATTCATCTTTAGTTTTGCTACTTTAATAATTTGGCAATTTTTGACATTGGACATATTGGCATCTATTTAATTTGGCGTTTTTTCAAGTGGATAAATCTCATATCTATATCTATCATATACCCTCCCCCTAATCCAATTTTATTGTTGTTGAAAATAACAATTGAAAAATTTAAATTGCCCCAGCCATCTTATAATCGGAAGTTCACTGAACAAAAAACAAGTCAAATTCCCAGGGATTTGGTGATTTTTTTCAATTCGCCAAAGACAAATACAGTATTAACATTTAGGAATTTTTGACCAAAGCAATCATCATAGCGAGAGGTCAGTCAAATAATGTCAGATTTTTTATTCACTGAATTCACTTACAATGTAGACACATTAAATGATAAGAGTTGTAATGACTTTTCTTAAGGTACTACATGTACTTGGACAATCCACTTTAAAGCTCAGATGGTTATGAACTTATGGTTGGATGGATTAGAAGTAGACATTTCACATTTTTATAAATGAGACAACATAAATAGTAAATACATGTAAGTAACCCTATCCATTCAGCCACCAAGGTACGCTGCCGCTTATTCTGGGCTAAAATTAGACATTTAAATATTTATTTGTTCTAATGTCCACACATGCCCTTGAGAAATGTTGAAATATAAAAAACAGTGTACCTTTAACTTAAGAATCCAATTCTAAATCAATTGACAAATTTAAAGGTGCTGTATACAATATTAAACAACAGTTATAATAAAAATAGTCAAAATTAACAGCCACTTAAATCTTTCTTCTTTTTGCGATGAAATCTAGTCTCCTGTGGATCAAATCCTTGCTCCCGTGCCCCATAGACAGCCCAATGGGGGGTGGGGGCCATGTAGTCCACCGCAGTGAACTTTTCCGCCCCTTTAGAGTCTGTATAGAGGTTGTTTATCTTATGGAACTTGGGATAGTCAATCCAGGTATGCCATACACCATCCACCTTGAACTGGAAAAGGAAAAAACATTTTGAATTATTGTTGCATTGCAAGTTTTGCACAACATGAGTGCCTAAAAGGGTTAAGCATTTACTAACTAGTGTTTTAAGTTCTTAATTTGCGTCAAATCTCACTGAATTCTTTTAAAATCCAAAGCCTCACATCCAATGCTCCATGCATACTCAAATGTAATGAAATTGTTAAACTATCATTGTCTCTAATGGCCTAGTTTCTACTTTAAGGACTTGTATCAGGTCTACTTTCTCTATGAGAAACAGTGGAACCAGCCATTTACAATATATAAATAATTCCTACTTTCAAAACAATTCAAAAATGATTACAGCAATTCAGTAGTTCTGTGCAGTACATTTACAAGGATTTTTATCCTAAGCAGCAGTCAGTTTTAACTAAATAAAGTTTGACGTTGTACATTTTTGGGTCTTGTTTAAACCATTTCAATGATGCATATAACTCTAACGACAGCACACTGGCAATATTGGACTAATGTGACAATAGTGACTTCGCTCTAATATGGGAAATCTCTTCTGGATCTAACCCATATTCCCTGAGTATCAGTCTGACTACCCTACCACTGAGATGCAGAATATTACAAGGTATCTTCTTGTGAGAGATGAGAACACAGTATTAGTATTTTTGATCACATGGTTCTGAATCAGCCAATCAAATCAAAAGATTTCTAGCAATGATATAATATTACTTGGTACCTTCTTGTGAGAGATGAGCACACAGTTTGAATGTTCATGTTCAGCTGCTATCTCATAATCTGGCAGTCTGTCTGTAAGCTGCTTGACAAAGTTCACTACTTCCTCATGCCATGGGACATTCTCCATAGTGAGGCTGCTTGCCTTTGATTCGCCACAATATGTTACCCCCTGGAACACAATGCGTGACCCCATATAGTAATGTGCAAGACACTGTTTAATTCACATAAATACAAATTATATTCAACTACATGAACTATAAAATATATGGGATTGTATAAGAAAAAAATAAGAAAAATACAATATGTAACACCATAGATAACAATCTTAAATTCCCTTTATACAATATGTAATCTAATAATACAATATGCTACTCCAAACACAATTGAATGCTATGAGTGATTTTAACGTTTAAACAATTATTTACCTTGACCTCAATAAAGTCTGGTCTGCCAAGCTTAACTAGTTCAGAATAGTTATCTAGTTCAGTTGTGTTGAAGCTTTTCACCAATGTCAGTCTGTACACTGTTCTTTGACCCTTATAATACAAGAAAATTCATTCAGATTACATCTCAAAAGTAAAGAAGGTAGTTGGTAGCATGAAAAAATGCCAGTACCTGGTAAGGTATTGTAAACTGGTAAGAAAAGTGTAACAATTTGTTACAAATTTCAACAGCTAAATGCTGATTTCAGTCACAAAAATGGTTACTATAACAACATACCACTTCTTATTGGTGGTAAAAAATGAAGACATTGGAAAGAAATAAAGTTGTTAGGATTTGCAATCACAATTTAACAAGTCATTAACCTGCAAAATGTCACCACCTGTCATTTGTTACAGATAATGACCACCGTACAGCGTCCACAATATATCAACTCTTGTGGTGTTAACATAATCAGGGCTACTAGTTTTTTTCACGCCACAGCAGAAAAATGCAGAATTTTTAGTTTTGCAACGCAGAATACATTTACTTAACTTGTGTTGATTTTCCAGAATTTTCTAATAGCCCTGCATAATAAAAGTAGATACTTGTAAATCAATTATTTCAAAAATATTGCAATTCATCAATATTTCAAAATAAATCATTTGAATTAATTTCAAAAGTCACCTTATCGCCTAATTCCTTTAAACTATCCAAAAATCTCTGCCAGAAATCTTTGAATAAGGGTCTGTCTATTTTCTTCAAGGACTCCTTCGTACTTGCATCAACACTAACATAAAGCTGGGTGACTGGGACAAGATCTCTGAAATAATTGAAAAAATAATTTTGATGACTCAATCTAAAATATACAATGCACATGGATAGGACTCTCTGAGAAAGATACATTCCATTGTTACTTGGTACATGTACACTGTAATATGTCATGTACACTATTTCAATATATTTACTATAAATATTGTACATATAAATAAAATCAGCGTTAGATTCTTGTGTTAATCTGTTTATCTAAAATTTTTTGTATTTTCTGTTTTTTCTCTGATCGTCTCTGATCCAATGTGCCCTATTGGCCTCTGAGAGTTCATGAAGCAAAGCCGGCCGTCCCATACAATGGAGGTCCCATCATATAACACATGGGTGTACATTGGTCTTAATTTACATTTTTTAAAAAGAATGATCAATTTCAACAATCTTACCTTATAGCTTCAGGGAATTGAGCATTTGTGACAAGGAATGATGAAATGCCATCATTGTGTAACATTGTCACAAATTTGTTGATTTCTGGGTACATGATTGGTTCACCCACTAGTGACAAGGCACAGTGTATTGGCTTCAAACCTTCCTGGAACCTCTCAGGCTGCACACCAGGGACACCTTTAGAGGAAAGAAGTAAATAAATAAGAGACCATTTAAATTCATTTGAGTCAACTGTTGGACATTTAACAAAATAGGCAGAGAATGAATATGAATGGAATATTATTTATAACAATCTAATTTTTCAAAATATACTCTCAACCTATCTCTAGACATTGTTGCACTTAATGGAGCTGTCACACTAAAGCCATGTGGGCTCACCATTTGCCAATATGTGAATATTAGGGCAGACAGTAGAACCTGGCAAATGGTGGACAAAAACAAATAATTTTGCAGCAAGATATCTTCTATCACACCAAATACAAAAATCGATTAAAAAAAATGAATGCCCAAAAATTAACCACTCTTGGGGAGCATGCGAGCAAATACGGATAATGTGACACCTGCTTAAAGTGTAAATAAATATTTACACGAACGGTACCAGAATTAACGTGTGATGTTTACATCATTTAGAACTTGTATTAACAGTATTTTGACCCCATCTCAGCACCGAACAGACACTTAATTCTGCAAGGACAATGAATATCTCATACCTTTGAACTGCTTGATGAGATTTGTGTGATTTTTGATAGCACCTTCAAATATTTCCTCAGCAGGATTCATCTTCCATCTCCATTCAGTACCAACTGGATTAGTATGATGTCTGGAATAACAAGGCATAGGGTGAACAATATTGTACCTAAAACATGTGGGCAGTGTGGGCTTGATGACCGAGAAAGCAAGATGGCCACCGAAAAGTATCAGTTCTAGAACTTCTTATCATGTAACATGTGAAGAAATTTGAAGTAAATCCATTTAGTGGTTTTCCTGGAATCGCAATGACAAAATTTATCTAAAATCTTCCAAGAATGCTGCCATGCTGTAAGTCCGTCAAGTGGTTTTCTTGGAATCATGATGACAAGTAAGTGAGAGCTTTTAAGTGCACATGTACTCACCTCCAGCAGAATACACACTTATTAGCACATGCCAAGCTGGGGGTTGTCTCCATACATCTGTGACTTTCTATACCATAGAATGTATGTTTATAACACCCACCTCTACCACGTAACATGGACTGAAAGAAAAACATTAATGAAATACAATACATACAAAACACCTGCTTGCACAATTCAAAAATAAAATTCAATTCAAATTATTATTAAAGCAACACAGTAGTTCACATGCTTTTAATTGTAGTTTTCAGTAAGTAATTTAAAGGTACTTGTAGATTACATTTTTGGGTCACCCCATACAGTATTATCAAAACTAGTTGTCATTGTACAGTGTAGTCTACCTTAGTCCAGCGGCACAGTTTCACCCCAGAATGTGAACCAATCAGACGATAGCCTTGTTTCTCTAGAGATTGCCTTAGTAACGGAGTAACCATCTCCCTGGGTTCATTGTTTTCTTTATCTTCATCTTCTTGTTGCCTACGGACCTGGTGAAAGAAATTCAGAAGTATTATTATTTTTATTTGTCCAAATACAATCAATATACACAGTGTCCTGAAAGTATGGAACCCCCCTAGGCAGACATATACCGATGTCTCCATAGTATGGGTCATATATCATTTTAAAGCTTGTTCAAAGTTACATTGATTTGCCAAGTATCATGGTTCAACTCACAAATGGGAAAAAATTGCAGTCATTCAATCCTAGGCTCCCATACCAAATAAAATGCCCAAAATCGTCAATGCCATACCATACCTGATAGCCATACATGTCTAAATATAGGACCAATGCCATACCAATGCTGACTGGTACAAAGTACAATATTTCCCGAGAGAAAAGCTGATATTCTAACTTAAGAAGGTCCCAAAAGGAAGGTGATCTTTTAGGAAAAAGTTCCAAAACAACCTCAAATTCAGGATGTGTGTAACAACTAGACCAATGCCATACCACAAGTGTGAGGTAACATATTTTCCACGACCATTCTCGTACCAGAAAGTGGAAAATCCAACCATTGCCATACCTCAAAAGTCATGATGTGGGGGCATTTTCATACCAGATCTTATAAGTTGGGTCCATTGCCATACCAAATGTCAAACAAGGCATTAGCATGACAAAATGTCACCACCTAGTTGCTCATAATATTATGAGTTCAATCTTAAGTCAGATTAGAATTTCCGAGAACTTCTAGATGATTTTGAAAAAAATAAATTGGTCAATTTGAAGCAAGTTTGAAAAATATCTTTTTTGACCCTGATAAGGTCATTGAAAGTGAAATCTCAAATCTAAAGTCAGATTTGAACTTCTGAGAACTTATTTTGAAAAAGAAATTGGTCAAGATGAAAAAATACCTTTTTGACCTTGAGAAGGTCATTGAAGGTCAAATCATTGTTGACCTTGAGCATGTCATTAAAGGTCAAATCTATAGTCAGATTTGAATCTTTGAGAACTTGTAGATGATTTTGAAAAAAAATTGGTCAATTTGAAGCAAGTTGAAAAATACCTTTTTTACCTTTTTTTACCTTGAGAAGGTCATTGAAGGTCAAATCTCAAATCTTAAGTCAGATTTGAACTTCTGATAACATGTAGATGATTTTGAAAAAAAATTGGTCAATTTGAAGCAAGTTGAAAAAAGACCTTTTTGACCTTGAAAAGGTCATTAAATTTTGAAATCTTGAATATAAAGTCAGATTTGAACTTCTGAAAACGTGCGCCGAGGTTCCCTGTCAAGGTTTATATATAGTGAACCCCCAGGGTGCAGAATAATGAAATCAGCAAAAAATATCCCATTGTGAGTATTTTGAACTGTATAGTATCAAATAAAATCAGGGGGCAAGTGTGGCACAAAAGTGGCACATTACCATCATAGAATTTGGTCCTTAGTCCATGCCTACCTTTGCCTTTTTCATGCTGCTGACGACCTTTCCTAAATCTTCAAGGTCAACGAGTCCATTCGACTGCTTGACACCTTCAGTTGCTCCATCTATTGGCTCAGCATCAGACTCATCACTACTAGACTCAAACTGCAAACAAGATTTCAAAAACTTGTAGAGGCATTTCCTAAAAAGGAATGTATTCTCATTCAGTTCTGATGGTAGCTCTTCTCACAATCTTCATTTTCTTGAAAATACTTAGGAGAACATTTTAAGTAAAGTGAGATTTTATTGGACAAAATTGGCAGTTTTAAAAATCAAAATGAAGGTTGGTTATGGGTCTGTCTACTTGTACAAACACCAACAACCATGATAATTCTGAGGGATCTCAAGAGTGATAGTTACATCATATACATTTCATGTCATATAATATAAGAGATCAATGAATCATACATGTACAATCGCATTACTCAAATAGGACATAAAATGAATAAAATATCATTCTTCTTATCATGGGCTTTCAATTCTAGCAGCTCTATTTTTTCTGCTTAATATCTCTTGGAAAAAATAACTTTTCGTTTTACTTGAAATAAACTTGTATTATTTGTATTATCTGTTGAGAGGCAACATATAAATATTTAGTACAAAGCTGCTTTGAATGGAACTGGCTCCAAGACTAAATTTAGGCAACTCATTTTATAGTTAATTGCTCAGAAGTGAAAGTGAAACCCTGGAATAAATTTGGTATATAACATTTTCTTAAAATTCTATTTTATTCATCTAAAATTCCAAATACATTTAGGAAAAAAATTATAAGATGATTTGATAGATAAAAATTGAGTGTTGAATTTCTGAGAAAAACTCTTATGGGTTATTTAATTTAAAACTTATTTAAATAAGTGTCTTTGAAAACTTGATTCTTTGTTTCTTTTGAAACTTAACATTATTTCCCCAGACAATAGAAACATTCTATTGGTCTTGGGGATTTATAAATTTAAATCTTATTAAACAAGATGTTCTTAAATTTTGCATTATTATACACCGCTGCTGTTAACACAACAATCTAATTGGCCGAGCTCAGTCACATGACGTTGAAATCTGAACCTCCTTTGGATTTTACAGGATTACTAATTGACCAAATACCCAGTTAATGGCGGCCCATATTTTCTAATAACTGCAAATAAAAAAAAAGATATTCAAGCTTTAAACTGCAAAATAGAGTAAAAAGGAATAAAATTAGCAAAGGAAAAATTAACCTGGAATTTAGTTGATACTTAAAATTGTATAAAAAAACATGAAATTTTAAGGTTTCATCAAATTCTAGAGAGAAATAATATGAAATAAGCATGACATAAATGGCAATATATTTAGAGGGAAAAGTAAGTTCATTCCAAAATAGTTTCTCAACACGGCAGTACGCAACTGAAAAAAAAGAGTTTATTACTCGGCAGATTTGTGAAATTATCACAGACAAAAACATTAGACTTAATTTCATGCTGTCATCAGGAATTGATTCTGTTTCCTTACAATCAACAGATGTGAAGCACCACTTTGCATGGCACTTTTCATATGGCAAAGAACTGGTACATGTAAAAATTCAGCAAAATACTTAAAGAAGCAATAGTGAAATACGTTATAGGTGCTGACATAATATCCTTGTTTTGTGTTGTAAGGAAATGACTGGACAGAAATGTTCTCAAATAAAGGAATTATACATTATCTATTAACAGAGATAAAAGAAAATGGATAAGCATAACATTTCCAATTGATGTCTCAAGAGTGAAACAAAATTTAAACAGAATCAGACCAAGGAATCCTGCATAAGGAAAAGTGAAAATTAATGAGCTACTTAGTTGAATTAAAAATAAGAGTTTCATATTCAAGAGAATCGTAGGATAATATTTCTACAGGACAGTGTATTCTAGGATAACACTAGGACTCTAGGACAATACTTTCAAAGACAAAAACTTCTTGAAAGTCAGAAAAACATGGCTTCGAATTCAACTTCTACCACTTCTAATACTCCTACAACAGTTAACACTCCTACAGAAGTTGAGACTGCTACAGAAGATATATTTATACTTGATCAAGGTAATTATAAATTCAACACTTTTCGACTAAGCTATATATCCATTATTATGTCTTGACAAGCTGTCTTTTTTATTCATTTAAAGTTTCAGTTTTAGCTTGTTATTTAATACAAACAGTAAGACCTTTATAAGTGAAACACTCTCTGCTCCTCCAAGTTCCACTCCGGGGGTCCACTTAGAAATATTCCACTTACAGAGGTTCAATTAAGGAATAAAGACCAAGATTTTATGATTTATTCCGTAATATATGACCAAAATTGTTAAAGACAAAAATTGTGTAGCAATTGAGGTCTTTGGCAATGGCCAGAATAAAATTTGAGGTCATATATTGACCATGAATCATAAAATCAAGGTCTTTGTTACGATTCTAATATGATAAACACACAAGAAAAACAACTATTTGCATTTATGAATTTTAGCAGTCATACATACTTGAATATAGACCAGTAAATCCATTGATCTAGTAATTGTGATGTCACATATCATATCAGAATTAACATTATAAGTTATCATATTTTGCTCTAAAATCATAAATTAATATCTAGAAAATGAAAAAAATTTTTTTTTCGTTATTCAAACTACATGAACCAAGAGAAAAGGGGCAAGCTGGTGTCTAAACTATCAAAATTTCTTGATTTGATTTTTCATATTCTTTTACTGCAAATTGAAAGGGGAGCCCATACAACCAGGAAGATATCCTCATTTTATTTTTCTTGATTTTCAGTGCTGGAATTGGGACCAGGGATATCAATCTCATACTGGAATGTGATCATAATAAGTGTGCTACTTGTCACACTAATCTTGGCAATAGTCGCACTGATCACAGCATGTTTACGTGGAAATGGATCAGAAGGGGCCACCAAGAACAATAGTAATATGTCATATCAGCAAGGAGGTCCTCCAAGAAGCAGAGAGAATAGACCAAGACGGGTGCATCCACAAGGAGGGAAGGGGTCTTATATACAGTAGATCCAAAGACCCCCTAGAAACACAATAAGCAGACCATAGATGTCTAAATACTGTACATAATTATTAAGTGATTATCTCCAGAACATCTAGCAATTGTACATGTATGTGGATGTACGCAACTAATATTTTTTGAAGTGACTTGCAAAGTAAGCCAACAATGAAGAAAGTGTTGAGGTAATAAAAATACTGATTCGAATGTACATAAAGAATGGTACAAAACTTAAATTAATGCTGATTCATAGGTGTTATATGTAAATGAATTTGTCCCGGAAATTCATTTTGTGAATGAAAGAGAATTCCCATAAGCTAAGAATTCAAGGAAAAAACTTTAATCAAAAAATCAAATTAAAATTTTTGGGAATTTTTACAAACCTGATTTTCTTTTGTCTTTTTGTTGCTGCATTTGCCGCCATTTTGTTTACACTCGCAGGCATGGTCTTTCAATGGTGGAAATGTGCCCTCTGCCAACACATCTAGGAAATGGCTTTTCCAGCTTGCAAAATCGGCTTCTTTACCTAGTAGGAAATAATGGTAAAAATAATTGTAAAGGGTTGTAATTAAACCCTATGATATATTGAAAAAAGAGTGTACTGTTTGTTCAAGCTAATAACGATTTTTCAGAGGTCACCAGATATACAATATACAATTGTTGACCTCTCAAGAGGTCAACCGGCAAAATTGTATACCGAGACTGTAAACTGAGAAACTATACTGTTGACAGAGACCGAAGGTCGAGGTATATGATTTTGATGGTTGACCAAATGGAGAGGTCTACAATTGTTTTGTTAGTCAGAAGAAACTAATAATACTCATATATACGACAGTCATCAATCATGGCTTCATTTCACAATCTTTTCTCTGAACCACGCCAGCAATAAATTTTTAAGAAAATCTGAACACAGTGGAAGCTAAACTCTTCGGCACATAACTGCGTACTCACTAGACTAGTAAATATCACTTTCATCAACGTTTACAAAATGTCCGTCTACCATGTTTTTTTCTGTAAACATTGTGACGTCATATTTCCCATAATTCACAAGTGTAGTACAGTAACATATGCAGTCAATAATATGATATCCCATGATGCACAAGTGAAGTACAGGCAAAAATGTTGACCGCTAATTGACCAATCAGATGCGAGTATTTACACTGAGGTACTAACAATACTGGATTACTATATGAACATATTCTTAAAAGGTTCAATTAAAACATAATATGAAAGAGTATATTAAAAATAAACATTTTTCAATATGTTGAGACCATTAAGGCCATTAAATGCTCCCTACCACCGTGTTTGCTCTCCGAGACATTCTCATCTATGAGACCAACATGAGTGATCCTCTTGGCAGACAACTGGTGGAGACATCTATCTACTTCTTTACCAATCTGAAAAAAATGTTTGTGTACTTTAAATGAATAAAAGCAGATTCTCTCAGACTTGCAAATAAAAATTAAAAAGCAGGTAACCAGAATTGAATTGCATCTTAAATTCTGAAGCCTGGAGGATATCTGAAAATAAATGATTTATTTAATATATATGACTTCATTTATGTTCATTATTGATCAAATGAAAAATGTGACCTCCAGAGAGATGGAATACCACATCCACTAGGCCTCCTGCCCAGAAAGTAACCACAAATGGAGAAATATTTTAATGAATGGAGTCAAAACTAGGGCGCTGATAGTTTATAACTTCTTGGTCAATGAGCCCTAAGAACAGATACACCCCCCTCCCCCATGTGGTTTCTGTTAACCATCAGATCCCTAATGATTGGATATGAAGTTAACTTTTTCTCATGCAAATACTTTAAATCAACCAGTTCTGAAAACTTATTTACCTTATTATAGTTTCCCTTATAGAGGGAGTTACCCAGGGCAACAACGCCAAATCTAAGGCCTTGAAATAATGTCTTCTGTACACGGAAATCATCTGCAGTTTCTGTCAGCCATTTACAGAACCATGTAGCTCCCTCTGGTGGGACGCCATCAGTGTAGGTTGAGATGATGAACACACAGATGAGATTGGCTAGATTCTGAATGTCAAAAACACAATCATATATTAAATTGTGTTGTATTTCATTCACTCCTCCCAGTTTTTGAATGCAACAGAGCACAAACAGAATAATCAACAAAATCTTGGTAACTTTATGGTTTCATAGTTCTATTTCTGCTGGTAAGAAGTTGCCGAAAAAATATTTTCATTTGCTTTTTGCCATTTTATTTCAAGATGTCAGTTCAGTAAGACATGTTAAGTCAAACACTTCTGTAAATTGAACACCTCTGAGTGGAGCTATTACTCATTAGCTTATATGATAAAATGATCTCTGTAAGAGTGCCTCCCAACTGAAACTCTATTTTGAAGTATCAAAGCATTCAAAGGTATAGTTCCTGAAATGGCATTTCTGGATCTAACTTATTTACCTCCTCTGGAAACCCATCTTCAGGATCAAAATCTTTGAGGTTAATGACTTCAGTGTGGACCTCAGGAAAACTTTGGGACACATCCTTCTGCAATTCTTCTGAGAAGTTCTGAAAACAGTAAATAACAAAGCATTGACATTACAAAAAGTCACCACTTGTAGGTTATTGCAAATTGTTACAGACACTGAACTCAGAATGCCAATTGTCCACAAAAAATTGGAGACTGCAACAATATGTCACCATGTACCACTTCTGGTGGTGACAGTGATATTAATTAATTAATTAATCAATTAAGAATATTTTATTGTCCATGTTTTCCTTACATTATTTTACATGCAATGATACCAATAACATGACTGGACGAGTTAAAGATATTGGTGAATCAGAGAGAAAAATGTGTTTTCTAAAGCTTGCACAAACCCAAAAAAGTTCTGATTATTATTATTATATCTTGGTTACCGCCATATTTGGCGAGCAATACCGTATATATATATAAATATTCCGTACTTTACGTATTTTACACTCCAAGACAGAGCCAGAAACCCCTCCTTGGAGGAGCCCTGTGTTCTTTTATATGCACAGGTACACAGACATACAGACTTGGAGGAGCCCTATGTTCTTTTATATGCACAGGTACACAGACATACAGGTACACACCACAGCCTTTTATACGAGTCGTGAATCACTCAGTCAAACACCCAGAATTACATAATGCACAATCAAACTTGTCTGAACCGGGAATCGAACCCGGGGCCAAGCGATATTGGTAACCTTGACTCTGCCACTGAGCCATAGCGGGTGGACTAGATAGAATGACAATAATTTCAAAATAGTTTGGAAATATTTGAGTTAAAATGTTAACAATTATTTAAATCTTCATTGGAGAAAATGTTGGCTGAAATTATTTAAAAAACACATGATGTCAACAGATCTTTGAAAGATCCTATGTACCTTGTCAAATTATTTAAAAAATAGTAGATATTTGAAATGTAATACCTTAGCTGTGCCAGTTTGTGTTCCATAGAATACTTTCAATCTTAGTTCATCTTCTCCAGCATCTTCAGTATTCTTGACTGCATCATTGGTTGCTATAGTAACATCCACATCAGGTACCTAACGTTGGTATAAAACAAATTTTAATGCTTTCAAAAGTCTGATAGATCTAACTGATCAGCATCAGCTTTTTCTGATAAGAGGAAATAATTGAAATTGCAGCATACTAAAATCCCTATAAACGTTATAATGTAATACAACTACTAGCTTTTATTCATAATGATCAAAGAAATTCCTGAACAGTTGCAGATATTAAATTAAGATTAATTTCCTCAAGGTCATAAGATTAATGTCTCAAGGTCAAATGAGAGGTCAGTGTCTTAAGACCATAAATTGTAAGATCAGGAGCACTCAGCATTGTCCACAAGTATCAGTGATCTCTCAAGAATATTTTTCTAAGGTGGGTGCAAAATTCTCATTTTCACAATTCAGATCAAAGTTGGACAAAATATGCAAATTTTTGGGTACAAATGGATTTTCAGGTGGGTGCAAGCCTATCTTCAAAGTCTCAGGTGGGTGCTGCGAACACTTGCTTTAATGCTGGGGAGATCACTGGGTATGTAGTCATAATACAGTCATATTATGTAGCCCTTTTCCAATATCTATCACAGACAAGTAGCTTCATTTTTCACTTGAGAATGACAATGCTATGACTGTATGGTTTATATGAGAGAAGAATCCAAGCACAGTTTTGTAATTTGAACTCCTGGCCATCTAATGCATGTACCTGAATATCATAAAAATAAATTCGCACATAGCTAGGCAAGGTGTGCCCGATTCCAGCCAATCCAAACACAGTATTTCATATAACTGCACTGCATTATACAATCAATCACCCCACCAATGGTCATTCGTTGAATGGTTGTCAAGCTGACAGATTGAAAGTGATGCTTTGCCAACTTATGATCCTTGCAAAAATTTTCATGGAAAATATGTTCTTTTAGTGAGAACATATTTTGCAATGTGTGAAAATAATTTTCAGCCCAAGAATTGATGCATTATGGCTGATTTATTCCACTCTGGTGTTGTTTCCTAAACTTTGCATTTCTACCGTGCAGGCCTGCAAAGATTTACAGAGAAATGATTCAATCCAAAATAAATTAAATCCTTAAAAACTTACCTTTATGGTATCTTTATTATGTTTTCCAAGAGTCAATATCAGCCATAAGAGGAGTCCCCCAGTTACTATGGCAACAACCCCAGGTAATGTATATGCGTTGCCTAGCAACCACAATGTCAGAGACATCCTGAAATGTTAAATATGTAATATTATATAGCTTTAGATTTTGAAACTAATGTACACCATATCATATTGTTTCAAAAAATAATGGGCAATCATATCATACTTATTATAATCATCTGACTAAATGGATCATTATATACACTATAGTGATAAGCTGATAATTTACCAAATAGTTTCCAAGATATTGTAATCTGTGAATCTGTGAAAACTAAATAATCTGAGGCCTAGTATTTTCCAAATATCGCTATTTCATTCTTTGCCAGATTAACTAGAAAAGTGGTAATTTGAAGAAGATAAGAATTGACTGGCCATATTTAAAATTTATGCAAATTCCCAAATTTGAATCAATTCTACCAATTGGTATTTGAGTTACCACCTGGTTAGACAAACTGAAGTGACGGATGGATGAATGACTGAATGGACATCTTCTCAGATCTCCCTACTTGGCCTTAATTTGATGGAATAATTAAGAAATAAAGTAACTTTTACCAGTTGCTCCATATTATATTAAGGTCTTGGGGTAGTTATCAGAAATTTACACCAAACAGGGAATGTAAAAGCCATGTGCATTTTAGAATTTTTTGAACTAAGATAATAGCAGAGTTCTGCTTTAACCTTCAATCAGTTTTACTACTCCCATATATTATTTACATGACCAGGATCACAATGGTCATAGTCAAAATGACCCTTACCATGCTGAAATAGCTTTTTCAGCCCTCTGAAATTGTGACTGAAAAAGTTCCGAGGTGGGGCCCTAATCCATAATTTTTCAGAGAGTTGGACTGATATTTTACTATCATGGGGACTTCACTTGAAAGAAATATAAAAACCACTGTATTTACGGCCAGAAAACACTCATGGTGAAAGATATGACTGTCTAAAATCACTTGCCATACTCCACATGGACCTTTTCAGAAAATGTGGCCAATACATTGCTTTAAATGATGAGCTTTGAAAATTAGAAAATTTATCTGAAACAAAAATTGTGGTCATTTTTTCTCTATTTCTAGAAATGAATTCAAATTTTCAAAGCTCCTATCATTTTAAGCAATATGTTATCTTGAAATCTAAAATCCACATGTTTTTTTCATTTCCAGTTTGGTGTACATTTCTGATTACTACCCCGAGACCTTAAAGAATGGAATGCTCTAGCCAAAACTGTTAATTGCTGCCATATTTTACCAAATGAATCTACGATGAATATATAGCAAGTCCTTCAAAGTAGATTAAATAATGTAATAGATGATGAAATATTTTCGCGAACTGACAACATTACGAACATTTTTACGATGTGAAATAGCTAGCCACATATAGAGGGTGTCAAGTGGCGTTGTTCCCCTTCTCCACAGTATAAACTAGGAGAAGTATAAGTATACATGTTCTGGATAAAATAAATCCTAGATGACCAAGGTCAGATATTACAACCAGGGGCGTAGCCAGCTTTCATTCGAAAAATACAATAGGTGATGAAGAACACATTCTTTTTTGTTGTTCTCAATCAGAACTAAAACTGGCTCAATCTCTATATCTCAGTAAAATAAAAAGTATAAACAATAGTTTTTCTCATTTTAATACAAGTCCTTGTTAGCGCACAATGATACAATTAATGAAACAATTGGTGATTATTTTACAAGAGTTCATAATATTACCAAAGATATGTTAAACAAAACTGATGTGAAATCATTTTATGCTACTTAGTACTCAGTGATTGTTAAAATTAGATTGTAATTATTGTTTTACCATGCACGTGTACATGAATGTTTTTATTTGTTATTTGCTTTATTGGACTTCTCGATGTACATTAGATGTTCAAGAAACCAATAAACTTATTAATAATAATAATTAAATTTCTGTGCGTAACACTTAATTCCCAGTCCCTGAACATTTGATTTGATTCTGTTATGAATGATATTAAAGAACACTAAATAAGCTTTCCAATGGTATGCTGTATGTGGCTAGCTATTTCAAATCATAATGTAGTGTTGTCAGTCAGCAAAAAGAATAACCTAAATATGGTAAGCAAAATCTTTCTATCATGCTATTCGGACAAATGTGGGATATGGACCATTGGGATTCAGACCAATGCGATTTGGACGATTGGGATTCTCCTCATGTAGCCTAGGCAATGATTGATTTATATTTCAAAATTATAAAATGTTTCGGCCTAGGCAAGGCCAAGGCTAAATTAAAGTGGGGAACAAAAATAAACCTCAACCATCAAAAGTTGTCACAATGAGCTTAATTCTAAGGTTCGTGTCTCAAACTCTCCTAAGCGGTAGAAAAATAATTCCCGTTCACTTTAAGTAGCACAATAAATTAATCCAAAGCTTCATACCTGCAAATGATAGATAAATCCCTACCAAATCGAACGAATGTTTTCATGAATCGCCATGTTTGTGATCCAAGAAGGATTGACTCCCAGAATGCAACATCAGTTAACCTTATTTACTCGTGACAGCTAGGTTTCAAAATGGCAGAACGACAGTAGGGGAAATGGTCCTATCAACGCACGGGTACTCTGGAAAACTACTGACGATTTCAAATATGATAACTTCAACTTACTTTGAGAATATGAGATGAAAGATCAACCTTTCTTCTAAAATTTAAGTACTGTTTGACATTTCTCAATCTCCGAACGCTAACACTTTAAGACCCCTTAGACTTGCATGTGCAGTGGTCCTAATTATCGCACAGTCGTCCTAATTATCGCACAGTTGTGTTTCAGATGTCATTTCACGATACTGTATACATTTCTCTGTTTATAACAGATACATACATATGCCATAATCATTTTTCTATCAGTTTTAGTGTAAAATATCAACAAAATATCCATTATACACTTACTTTTTTGTCTTTATTTGGAGGGGGGTCAAACTTTGTCAGACGAATTTCACTTTTTGCGCAATAGCATACATGACAATAGCGGAAGTAAACAATTCTTAAAAAATGAAGAGATATTTCTAAATATATGAATAAATCATGAAGATTGGTAGTAATGGTGTTGAACTGTCATAATCATAATCATTATATATTTATCACCTGGATTTTTCAAGAAAATATATATAGGTGACCCTGAAGGGGATAATTTATATAACTTTAAATGGATTAGTCCTTATTACATAGTCCTTTATTAAAGAGTTCTATTGATGGGCTGGTTACGATGGTGTCATCAAGCTTATTCCATTCAACAATGGTCCTTGGTACAAAAGAGTATTTGAGTATGTCAGTGTTGCAGGAGTATGTGGTGAAGTTCAGAGTATTGTTATGGCGTGTCTTGGATCTGAGGGGGGTGAAGAAATCTGAAGATGTGATTTCTACCTTGTCATTTACTATTTTGTACATGAGGGAAAGTCTGCTATTGCTACGTCTAATGTCAAGTTTATCCCACTGGTACTTATCATATAACTTGGTGATCGTGCCTGGTTCTCTAGCATAGTTGTTGTCGACCATACGGAGAGCACTATGTTGGACTTGCTCTAGGGCATTAATGTTCCTTTGGGTATGGGGATCCCAGATTGAGGCACAATACTCAAGGTGGGGCCTAACGATGGACTTGTAGGCCTTTTCTTTGAGGGATGTGGGGCACCCTCTGAGGTTGCGACGCACAACTCCAAGTGCTCTGGTGGCTTTGGAGACTGCATTCCCAGTTTGTTCATTCCACCTGAGGTCATTGCAGATGGTCAAGCCTAGGTATGGGTGGGAGGGTACTCCAGAGAGGATGGTGTTACAGAGGGTGTACAACTGTTTTTTGTAACACTGTTTTAAAAGATGGTGGGTGTATATTTTAGCTATTTAGGACAATCGTGCGATAATTAAGACCGTGCGATAATTAGGACCACTTCCCCTAGCATGTGTCATGTTGCATTCTGGGAGCCAATCCTCCTTGTGGCGTAATCAGGCTCCAAAATCACCTCAACATTTGAAGAGTTAGCATAGCGAACATGTAAATATCCGCTTCAAATTTTTAAGTTCTTATTTATCATTATGGACACAAATTCCACTATATTTGGACTTACTAGGACGGAGAAAATAGAGCACTGAATAGTGAATACACTGAGGTAAGAATTTTCGAGACCCTATCTGTTGCAAGACTAACGCCTGGCGTAACCGTCACCATGTTATTCAGTGTTTTTTAAGTAGCGCAAGGATCCTGCCATGACCGTGGTAATGTTATCGTGAAAGCCTGGTATAATCGCGACAATGCTGTATTATATTGCAATGCCTGCCATGACCGTGACAATGTAATATAGTTCTGCAAGGCTTGGTATGACCGTAACAATGTAACATAGTACTGCAAAGCCTGGCATGACCGTGACAATGTAATATAGTATTGCAAGTTCAGGTATGAGAGTTGTAATGTAGAAATTTACAATTAGGACTGCTATAACCGTGACAATGTGTATTGCAAAGCCTGGCATGACCGTGACAATGTAATATAGTATTGTAAGTTCAGGTATGAGAGTTGTAATGTAGAAATTTACGATTAGGACTGCTATAACCGTGACAATGTGTATTGCAAAGCCTGGCATGACCATGGCAATGTAATATAGTATTGCAAGGCTTGGTATGACTGCCATGGCAATGTGATATAGTATTCCAAGTTCGGGTATGAGAGTGGTGATGTAGAAATTTATGATTGCTATAATTGACCGTGACAATGTGTATTTGAAAACCTGGCATGACCATGACAATGTTTTATGGGATTGCAAAGCCTGGTATGACCGTGACAATGTAATATAGTATTGCAAGGCCAGGTATGAGGGTGGTAATGTAGAGATTTAGGCTTAGTTCTACTATGACCATTATAATGTATTGCAATGACTAGTAAATATGTATGGCATTAATGCCAGGAATATCCTTAACAATTTTAAGTGATCCTCATTACAATTAAACAGTTTAATACTATGATCATGGTGTTAACTACCTTAATCATGTCAAAATCAAAATTACTACTATACATTAATATTCACATTCGCTTATAAACCACAATAAAGGCTACGGTCGCGCCAGGCTTCCACGATAACACTTCCAGGGTCATGACAGGCATTGCAATAGAATACAGCATTGTCACGGTTATACCAGCCTGTCACGGTTATACCAGGCTTACACGATAACACTACCACGGTCATGGCAGGATTCTTGCGCTACTTAAAAAACACTGATTAACATGGTGACGGTTGTGGCAGGCGTAAGTCTTGCAATAGATAGGCTAGCATGTGGAATTTTCATAGCAAAGTGAAAAGCCATTTGATTTGATTTGATTGACGGAGAGAGAGTGACAATTTACAGTCACTGTTTCGACCAAAGCTAAATGCACAGAACTGAAGAATATCAGGAACATACTTACCTTCAAGATCGCAGGTTAAACCGGTTTATTTAGAATAGTATGACAAAACAAAAATAATTTCACATTTTCACGTTTTCCAGTATCCAATCAAATTTGTACATCAAGCGCAACCTGGCAGGCGTAATCTGGTAGACTTTCCCGGGAAAATTTTAAACAGATATAGCCTAATTTCTACAAAAAGAGGAAATGTGACAATGTCCCTTTCTACCCAAGATGAAGAAGAACAGTTTGTGTTGGTGGCCAAACTGGACAACGCAAAGAACATGTCTAGCATCATAAAAGCCATACACTTCAAAGATGTAAGTTCTATTTTGATTTCGTGATTCAAATTTCAATTCAAAAGAAAATGAAAAATATTTGAAATTGAATAATCAGTCACAGTGAAAGTCAAGTGTATTGTAACCTAAGCTGAGCCACTATTCGGCCGTCAACTGAATATTTTTCTAGGAAATAATGAAGCTGACCATGCATGTCACCCCTAATCTCAGTCCCTTAGCCATCATCACAGTAGTAACCTGGGTAGTAACCATACCCATCATATCAGCGCTTACCACGCCATCTCATTCTCAGGTAACCAACATCTCAGTTTTTGCACGGTCATTTCATTTTCTGTTACCTGTCAAATCAGTTTCCATCCCATCAACTCAGTTTTTCCTACTCATCATCTCAATTATCCGATCAAATATGTACTAAGAACCATCACAGTTCATATGTCTATCAAATCACAACATTTTTACAAGGACCAATTAGGACAGTCGTGCCAGCAATTTTGAGTTGACGGCCCAATATTATCACCCTAGGCTAGATCATACAAGATGTTATTTTTGTAGCTTTGCGGTAAGAGCTAGACTACATGTAGCCTACACTGGGAGTCTACATGTACACTGTACATGTACATGTACAGTAGATTGGGTTTCAATAAATTTATTGACATCTTTGGGCCCATAGCAAGGGGAGGTTTGATGGGTTGAGCGAACCCCACCCTGGCCAAAAATTCTTTCCAAATTGCCATTTTTTGACCAAAATTGTCAAAAGTGAACCCCTCCTGGTATTTTCCAAAAAGTGAACCCCCTCTCCCCCTGGGAAATCCTGGCTACGGGCCTGATTTTGAACTATCAGAACAGCTGGTTTAGCTAGGCAAAGAAACTGCGACCAAAATTTTGCAGAAATATATTTTACCGGTTTTTCAACTGAAACTGGCCAGAAATGATTGAAAGTACTGTATCTGTATGTTGCTACATGTACCTCATGCACTGATGAGATTGACTGTTTCAGTTTTGGCTCAGATCATACATGTAAGCCTCCAAAAATCTTGGTCCATGATCTTCATGTGTACTTTAATATGTGATACATTCCTTTTGCAGACAGCAATATTTTTTGCCACTAAGAATGGGATCAAGTTGACTGTTGAGGAGTCAAAGTGTCTCCAGGCCAATGCATTTATCCATGCAGGGGTTTTCCAAGAGTTTATCATCAAAGAAGAGCAGTCAACGTTCAAGATCAACCTTACAGTCTTACTGGTATACAGTTTTTTACATATTTATTTATCATAACTTTATACATTAAATGGCTGGGTACATATGTACATACACCAATGGCATTATAACTGCCCATTGGTGCACATGGAATGCCTATACATGTACATGTAGTTAGTAACTAAATACATGTAGTGCCACAAAATAATCTTTCTTTTAGGTGTTCCATTTACAGATTTCAATTTCAAATGAGAAAACAGGCATTTGGAAAGTGTTCCACTTTTATTATTACTACATGTTTCATTCGGCATGTAAATCAATAGGTTAATTAAAAAGCTAATTATTGGCATATCATTTAGTGTCCCTGTCTCCTAAAATATGCCTAGTATTAACTCTTTTGAGACTTTTCCTTACAAGTGTATATTTTTAAAATATTGAGGTGACATTTATGTACAAACCAATGGGAACAATAACCTACAAGAGAAAATTTAGTGAACTGCCATCTATATGAGTCTTGACTCCCATTGGAATGTATAGGCATATATTTAAATTGTGCTAAACCATTTTAAATTAATCTTAGGATTGCCTGAACATATTTGGAAGCAGTGCAGTTCCAGGGGTAAATACAGCTTTGAAGATGTGCTATGGTGGCTATGGTTGTCCTCTTACACTAATGTAAGTATGGGTACCTCCCATGGAACCCCACCCACACTACTGACATGCTTATTGAGTTTTTATGTCCATGTGAATACGCTTTATACGGATTTATATGGGAATTTAAATAATGTATTCTATTAAAAATGTGGTCTGTACTTTGATATTCCTGCTAGAGAAAGTGGTCACTCTGTACATTGAAATTTCTGTCAGCAATACAATGAAAGTGGGCACCCTGTACAAGTGTACATATAAATTCCTATGCTCACTGAAATTGTGTCAGAGATTATAGGAAAGCAGTCATCGTATATATTTGATTTCCTTTTACAGGTTAGAAGAAAGTGGGGTATTGACAGACTGCAGCATTAAAACACTAGAACCAGATGAGACACTAGATTTCAACTTTAGCAGTGCTAATGTAGTGAACAAGATAATCATGAAGGTAATGTTGCTCAAATGACTGTTCCACAACAGGATGATATTAATATTAAGTATCATCCAAATATGGCAGACAATTTTTTTTGATATCTGTAAACCTTCAATTTTAGCTCAACCAAGTAAACACATTTTTGTCATGTCAATTATCAATAAACTACTAAGAATTTACCCTTTGCATTCGTTTGACTTCACTTCTTAAAAGAGAGCTTCGTCTTCACTCTTTCAAACTTAAATAAACCTGTGAACTCACCGCGCCAATCATTGTTCGTCGGCCAAATTTGACCGACGTTCTATATATGGTCATTCCTTCCGACGTCATCGTTGAGCCCGGAATTGACCAATGACATGCGCATATTTAATTAGAACGCATTCGGCGTATGTTTCTTCAAGCTAGCTGATTGATGAAAGAAAGGTCAGCGCGTAGGTCAAAAGTGATTTATTACCCAAACTGTCACCAGGACCCGTCGTGGGGGCAGGGCTAATAAACTGTAATATGGTCTCTACTAGGCAGAGTGTAGTTTAACTAGACTCTGCACGCAGGGTACTAAGAATTAATGTTCTCAGAAAAAATTAAAATAAAGACTCTAAAAATTGGACAAATTTAAAGAAAATAGCTTCACTTTAGATGGTTTTGACACAATTTGAAGAGAAAATGTTTAATAGCAAGATTAGTTTAATGCTGGTTGGTAAGTGAATGAAGGTAATATTCATGTTCAGTGCATGAATGTACATCTCTACATAAAAAGTAGAAGAATATGCTTTCATTTAACTGACTGAACTTATCCTGTGTAAAAGTGTCCTGTTTTACCTCCCCTATGTCGCTGTACTTCTGAAATATAAACATGCATCCTACTCCAGTAACTGGATTGTGATAAACTTGAAATAGTTTCTCGCAATGCAAGATTAATATCCCAGATGCGAGTAGAAATAATTTTGATTTACATCATTAAAAATTCACAATTCAGTCAAACTGATGTCATATTTGGAATCTACCTGTAAAATTACATTTAGAAATAAGATACATAAGGGTAATATGAAAAGTGAACCACTAAAACTGATGCATATTCAAGTTTAAGGGAATTTTGTAATACCCTGCCATGTTAATTCACCCGAATCAGCCACCTGGTGGCAAAACTGGTAACTGCCTACTCGCATCTGAGTAATTGAAATTAAATTAAAATCAGACCCTGCATGGTGGATGGGTAGGTATCCACTTAGGTAGGGGCGGCAGATTAAACAAACCCTCTATTTTACAAATTGATGACTTTTATAAATTGACTTTTGTAGACTGAACCTCTGAGGGAAGCATTCAGTGAATTAGACATGACAAGTGAAGTTCTACAAATTCTTATGTCCCCAGACAAACCATACTTTAGAATGTCAACATTTGGTAACTCGGGGAGTACACATGTGAGTAACGTATGCATTTGCTAGTATGCATGTACATTGAAACCCATAAAATGAAACACCTCTAAAGGTGGAACACCACTGCTAGTGGAACACTTTTCCCAAGACCAATGTGAAATAAACCTCTAAAAATGGAACACCTCTCAAGTTGAACATTTTTAGAGGTCCAAAAGGTGTTTGATTTAGACAGGTTTCACTGTGTATAGTAAAATATTACATTGCAATAATTGAGTTTGAAATATTTAACATATCACCTGTTACAAATACCTGAACATAATTATACATCATTATGATTCATTGTAAAAATGTCAAAAAATCTTAACCAGCATGTATCAGCTTGTGAGTTCAAAGATTATGGCTACAAGCTTACTTTTTATGTCTGTACCACAACAAGTGGTGCCATATTGTTATAGTCCCCAACTTATTTGTGGAGGGTGTTCAGAGTTCGGCGGTTGGCATTCAGAGTTTGGTATCAAATGACAGGTGGTGACATTTTGCTGTTATATTTGCGGAGGTCATAAGATTTTGACAGTATTTTGCAATAAAGATTCTAAAGAGATTGTAAATTGATGGAAGCAATCGTTTCAAACATCATACCAGTATTTCATTTACTATTCCTTCTTTTTCTGATAAAAGAATTTAAATATCCGATCGAATATACAGAATGTAAAAGTTTTTAAAGACATAAAATGACGAAATTCAGCAGAATTAAAAAAATGAATTTTTGCAAGTTTTAATGTTTAGACACATAAATTATTTAAAGAGATTATCCTGAAATTGAGTCAGAACTGTTAATGCTAATAAAATAGGCAAAACATGGAGAAATGCCAACATGTGCATTTTTTCTCACCTTACTCTACACTGTCACCAGTCTTTGTTGCCCCTTTAAATCACCTGGCAAGTTTTGAAAAAGAGACAAGTATGTCAGGTATGAACATTACTGTAGATTGGGTTAATTTGGCGCTATTTAATTTGGCGATTTTGCCATTTTTGGCATATTGGCGGCTATTTAATTTGGCGGATATGCAAAAAAATTGTTAAACTTACCCGCTGTTTGCGAATTATCATGTAAATGGGCATGTTTGGCAATGTTCATTTTATCTTTTGAGGACCAATGGCGATATTCACCACGTTTGTACATATTTGTGAGATCATCCTTTACATTTTGCCCCTCGATCGATGCTGCTCCTATACTGCGCTTTTCCTTTCTAGTTTTCCCTGAGTATTAATGAGTGACTGACCAGTTCTGAGCCAATTTATGAGAGACATTTTTTCATATTTTTGGAAAAAACTAAACCGGAAGTGACCTAGATACACTGGACGAAATACCCTAGATAATTCCCGGGGATTCATTCTAAATTTTGGCGAAGATTTATATTGGCGAATTTTTCAATTTCGCCAAATTCGCCAAATTAAAGCGGGCGCCAAATTAACCCAATCTACAGTATATATTTTTTGTTTTCAGCAAGATTTCCCCAAAGATTCTGATATGGTAGAATCATTCGAGTGTCAACAAACACAAACAAACAGGTATTGCATTAGAATATAATTTTCATCTAAATTAAAACCATCTGTACTGTTGTTTTTAATGCAAAAGTAATATGTGTTGAATGAACTTCCTTTGTTGTATAGTAGGTAAACATTAGAGAGTTTAAGCTTACAAATAAGATCAGAATGAAAACATATAACCTATGAATCGTCCATATATACATTGTAAGTAGTCTTCTCGCTTGAATATCTGTTCAGCCTCAGTTTTATGATTCACACCATCTCTGGCCTGAGGCCTTTATTGATTTATGATTACACTTAGTTCAGGTGTACCCTGCATGCAGAGTCTAGTTAAACTACAAGACGAAGCTCTCTTTTAAGAAGTGAAGTCAAACGAATGCAAAGGGTAGTTCAGGTGTACCTACACGTACTGATCTGTTGCATCAGATGAATCTCAATGAATCTAAGTAAAAGAAATAAATGGATATGCTAATATTTCTAATAATGAAACTGAGATTAAATAGATTAAATACAAGACAAACTAGTTCAATGAAAAAATCTGCAAGGTTATCATATGGACAGACGACAATTATGAGATGAAAACACGGATATTGAGAGTCAGAACTAGATAATGGCAACTCTGCGGAGTAGCAAATCCCAACGAACAAAATATCAATTACCGAATTCCAATCAATTATACTCATTACTTTGGTTAAAATTGAAAAAATTAGATTTTAGAATTGCGAATTCCTGCTAAGCAGCCATTTTGAATTTTCTGAGGTACAAATCTGAAAAATAATACCATAATTGTGATCTACTCCAAAAATCCTTCAATTTGAGTATAATATAGCCATACTTTGAAGGGATCGAAAAATTATTGCGAAATCGTACATTAGACGGCCATTTTGAATTTTACGAGGCTCGAATCAGAAAAAAGATACAATATTTGCAATCTACTCTTAATTGCCTTTCATTTGAGTATAATAAAGCTATACTTCAGAAAGATCTAAAAATTAGCGAAAATTTCTGTTTTCCTGACCCCCCATACACGGCCCCTGGGGTTCAGGATGAAAAACACGGAATATATGTGAAATAGATAAATGTTGTGAATATACTACCAAAATTTCAAACAATAATATTAATTACTTTGGTTTAGAATGAAAAATTTATGATTTTTGCGAAAAAGTCCCGTCATTTTTAAAGCGGCGGCCATCTTGAAAAAATTTTAATAAACAAATTCAACTCAAAAATTCCTTAATAAAAAAACGTTTAAGGAAAGTTAATGGATTTTCTTCATAGAGATAAAGATGCTCCTTGAGCCAAAGAAGGAATGGTTTACAAAAAACTACCCATGACATGTAGAGAAAAAGGATCATCTCTCAACAAAGCATATACCACCAGAGACAAAATGTTCAAAATCAATGAGACATTTTCACTGATCCATACATCAGTAATGCCTGGGTCACATTTGCTCCGATCCATCGGCCGCGCCCGGCTGATTGAGTGTTTTGTTTAATATTGTATTAAATTTTGAACAAAATACTCAATCGGCCGTAACTTCACATGAATTTCACAAACAAGAAAATCTGAAGCTGAATTGGTATCTGTAGTAGACTAAAGTGCTTATATCTCTCTGTTGATTCATGTACTTTCAGTTTATGTTTACATTGTGAAAAACAGAGCAAGTTTAAACTCTCTATTATCTCAAATCCTTTTACTATTAAATGCACTTCATTTATTTTATGTACAATTGTACATAAATAGGTCCTTTTGTATGAGCCCTCCATTTATTTATGTACATTATATTCTTATTTCTTTATTCCAGGTACACGTTTATCTCTGTGTATGCTTGCTGCATCTGTTAAAGCCCCCTTGCAATCTCAAAAAGAATTCCTTACAGGGTAGATTACAAAGGAATCTCATCTCTTTTTTCTAGGTACAAGCTCTCTCTGTTAAAGCCCTCTACTAAAGCCCTGGCAATCTCAAAAAGAATTCCTTACAGGGTAGATTACAAAGGAATCTCATCTCTTTTTTCTAGGTACAAGCTCTCTCTGTTAAAGCCCTCTACTAAAGCCCTGGCAATCTCAAAAAGAATTCCTTACAGGGTAGATTACAAAGGAATCTCATCTCTTTTTTCTAGGTACAAGCTCTCTCTGTTAAAGCCCTCTACTAAAGCCCTGGCAACCGCCACTAGAATCTCCATCAGGACGGACTACAGAGGATTCATATCTCTGCAATATATGATAAAAAATGATGACGGCCAAGTGTGTTTTGTTGAGTATTATGTAAGTAGACTTTTTTATAATTGATTATAGGAACTATAATGGTGATGATACATTTCATATATTCAATGATAGCAATTATTACAGAGATTGAGTAGATTATACATGAACATAACAATAAATATATCATAGTGCTCTCCACCCAGAGGTTTTGAACATTCCACTGCACTACATGTATATGTCACTTAGTTGCAGTATTCTAAATTCAAAAATCAAAAAAATTCAACTTCAAAATTTTCAAACATGGTGGGAAATATGTGTTCCTATATTCTGCTCATTTTTACTCTTCTCCAAATGAATTTGTGAAGGATAAGTCACACATTTTCTCTGTTAACAATGTTAATATTTTAAGTTGAAATATAATGAAGTTTTGAATATTTTTTATTGAAAAGTGTATAGTAAAACCCACTAAATTCTTCGCCATCTATTGACAGTCCTTAAGCAAGGCCATAATGATTGAGGACATTCATTTATTGATTCATTCTTATTGGTATATATTTTCAGTGTTCTCCTGATGAAGAAGTGAATGACTGAGGACATTGTGATTGGTTCATTTATCTCCAAGGTGCCAATTCAAAACAAACTGTTCCAATGCATGTACCTGTAATCTCATAAACTAACTGAGACATTTTACAGCAAGTGGAAGGAACATGTACAAAGCTTTGGAAGTGATTTTTTGTTCATTTCATGGCAATGTTATTTGCTGAGAGCTTTTAGTATAAAATACACTCCCTTTTTTATTCAAAAATATTTATTCTTTAAATTATTATTCACTCTACATTTGCCAACAGTTATCTATTAAGTGTATCAATGTGAAAAAACTTAATTTGTACTTGGAAATGAAAAAATCAATGTAAGATTTTTACTCAGTTTTTACTCCTTTAAAGTTTTGCAAACGGCTACAGAAGTCTCCCTTTGGGCCACATGTAATAATGTCAAGGGTTTGTAACAAATACATCAATGTCCATCGTGGGATCCATAGCTTTTACTCTCCTTTGGAATAGACAGACTTTGGGAGAACGAGTGTAGAAAATGTTTCCTTGAACCCTTAATGTATGCACCAATAACTGTTAATTATTTACAGATTTCTATTGACCATAAGTATCATGGGAAGGCATTACCTGCAGCTGCATGGTTACATAAGCAGACAAAGCCTAATGAGTGTGACCAAACTAGGTTCCTTTCCAAATAATCCAAGTGTGGACATTTGAATGATACTTTTTATTTCTGACTTTTCTTAAAATTGAATTAGGCACGTTTTGGTGAAAGAATTGCGACCAAACCCGTCTAATAGGAAAGTTAGAGCTTGCCAAAGCTACTGAAATACCCAAATAACGCAGATGCGAGTAGGTAGTACTTTTCACCACTAGGTGGCTCGTTCGGGTCAGATATAAGGAGGTCTGACAGTTTTTCCTCAAATTGGTTTACTAATGTGAAAAACACATTAAACAATCTTGGCATGTCAGATGTTTGGATAAATCCGAAGTCAGTTACACTGTAGTTATGCAGAGTTTATCAAAAAAGTAAAACTAATTAAGGATGCAAGATCAGTTTTTACAAAAGTGGAATAGTGACAAGACAGTTAGTACTAAAAGTTACAACTATGAAATACTTAAAACAGAATTTTCATTTGAACACTATTTAGAATTTATGCCAGATAAATATAGAAAAGTTCTAATTATGTACAGATTGTGTAATAATAGACTTCGAGTTGAAAGAGGACGTTATAAAAATATTCCAAGGGAAAATAGGTTCTGTGATTTATGTGGTAAAGGAATAGCGGGAGGAATAGGTGATGAATTTCATGTCATTTTAGAATGCAAAGCTTTAAGTTATATTAGAAAAAGGTACCTTCCTAAATGTTATTTGACAAATCCAAACACGCAGAAGTTTGAGAAATAATTAATGAATTCGAACAAAAATTATACTAATAAAACTTTGTAAATTTTTAATCGAGGTTGGGCAAAAAACGTACACTATAATATATAAATGTTATTTTAATGTTTATTACATGTATAAGTTAAGTTTGTCTTTTGTACTCTCATACCCTATAAGGGGTGCATTGAGAAATCAATACAATATTGATAAAAAAGAATTCATAAGATTGTCAAAAGTGGCTGATTGTCATGAAATATAGCATGTTAAAAAGGGAATTCCATCCGTTAAATGAGAATCTACCAAATAGAGCAATAAAGATTAATTTCCATTTTCTACAGTATTAGAGACAAGCTAATTATCAAAATTATATTAATTTCGTTATTGGCATAAACATCCGGCTATCATCAGACCCTACCCTACAATGCCCTAAAGCACCTTGATTTTTGTGCCAAAGGGGTAATTTATCCGTGGCCCAAACTAAAAAAATTTAACCTTGAAAAAAGTACTATTGAAAAAATCGAACATGTATTAATATCACATGAATTATGGGGTAAAATGTTTACCGTCCATCGACTCCAATTTTATGTTTTGTAGGGTGATTTAGAATGTCAACTCAGAAAAATCCGAATGCACCTTCATATGGTGAATACATTGCTAGTGTTGGATTGAAATGTTATTTGAAGACTGAAAAAGTGTCTGTTTTTGTTTTTTTTGCAAAGAAGATATAGTGATTTCTTGTGAAGCCCACTTGAAATATACAGGAGTCAATCTAGTCATTACGCAGCCTAAAACTAGCCTTTGCGTTACCTACCTGTGGTAATTTATGAAGCGAAATAGCTACGTACAAAGGGTTGAGCATTACATAATTTTGAATTTTCGGCAGCAAATCTGGGACTCCCTGAGTGCTTAGAAACTAGATGATGATTTGCTGTGTTTCTTCCTATGTAAAACTTGAGGTCTGATTATCAAAATTGTGTTCTGTTAATGATCGTTTTTATGTCACCACCAGAATATGCGGTGACGTATTGTTTAGTCTCGGTCTATTTGTATAGGGTGTTCGGCTGTGGGGTGCTGTAACAAATGACGTACGGCGGTCGGCGTCTGTTACAAATGGCAAGTGGTTACATGTTGCATGTTAATGCCTCATTGTCATCCCTGTTGTTCTTTCAAAACTACTCCAATAATTTGTAAATGATATAAAAGTGACCTGAACAGATGCTTGTGTAATGAGTAAGACTCTCAACTAAAATGACAGAAAAATAACTACAATCAAAGTAATACTTTTGCACATGACAACAGACACTATTTTGTCAATGTACTGTAGTGCCTATGAATGTTAGTAAATCGACTTCCAGATTATCAACAATAATACCGTAATAAGAATAGTTCCGTGTGTACTTGGCTCACATGGTGAATGATGGCTAAAATGAGAGAAAATAAAAAGAAATGATATAATTTTTGCCGATTTTTTGTAACAATTATTTCATTCAACTTCTCTTTACAAAGACATGGCTTTTTACAATGCAGGGCACCTGAAATATTTTGTAAAACTAGGAAATGGGCCAAAAGTGAATTTCCCGAGAGAGACAAAAATGGTGACCATTTTGAAAATAGGCGAGCTTTTGAATCAGGAGTCACAGTTTTCTTTTCTTTATTGATGTTGGACAAAAATATTTTAAAACGGGAATCCTATCTACAGAGGATTTAAAAAGAGCCACATGTTAACAGACAGAGGTTTTAACTCTTGCCGCTATTATGGACTGACTGAGAGATAGATGGACAAATCAATGTTTACTAAAATGGCTGAAAATAAAAAATACGGATATGATTTTTTGCCGATTTTTTGTAACAAAATTATTTCATACAACTACTCTTTATATTGACATGGATTTTACAATGCAGGACACCTGGAATTATTTGTAAAGCTATCAAATGGGTCAAAAGTGAATTTCGCGAGACAAAAATGGCAGCCATTTTGAAAATAGGCGAGCTTTTGAACCAGGAGTCATAGGGGAGTTTCTGTATTGATGTTGAACAGAAATAACTTAAAACAGGAACCCTATTGACAGAGGTTTTAAAACGTGGATAAGTGGATTTCGCGAGACAGATGGACAAATCAATGTTAACTAAAATGGCTGAAAACCAAAAAATGGATATTATTTTTTGCTGATTTTTTGTAACAAAATTATTTCATAGCACTACTCTGGCTTTTTACAATGCAGGACACCTGAGATTATTTGTAAAGCTAGGAAATGGCTCAAAAGTGAAATTTGCGAGACAAAAATGGCGGCCATTTTGAAACTAGGCGAACTTTTGAACCAGGATTCATAAGGGAGTTTTCTGTATTGATGTTTAACAGAAATAACTTAAAACAGGAATCCTATCGACAGAGGTTATAAAATTCAATTCAATTTATTTCATAATTCTTATATAATACACTATAAAAACAAGCCGCTAGACACCCTAGTGGGCATATGTTGCGGTTTAACAGAAATCATTAAAATTACATCTAGACTACATATAAAAGAAAACACTTATATTATGTTACATGTAGGTATATAAAAATGGTATTTACAATTAATCTAAGGATGTACAATGTAAAAATGTTACAAAAATCAGGTACCAGTATAAAATCAACAGTATAGTATGATATTGGTATTATACATTATCGATAGATGAGTAGTTTTTTATATGAAGATTTGAAAATATTTAGAGTGGAGCATTTTTTAATATCATGTGGTAGAGCATTCCAAAGATTAGGACCTAGATAGCGAAGGGAAAGTTTAGAGCATTTAGGGATATGAAAATGTGCCACTATTGTTGACGGACGGACGCACGCACGCAAGGACATACAGACGGACAAGTGAGCGATTACAAAACCTCACCATGTGAGCTAAAACAACCGTCCCCATCACTTTACTCGGTCATAACAAAATTATAGATGTCTCGAATAGACCATTCTGATACTCAGACCATCTCTGCTATGCACAAGAACGTTCTAGAAGGACACTGAGAGAAAGCCGTGATATCTCACGATGCGAATAGACAATATATGGTGAAAAGATGGTCTCTTTCTTGTATGTTATAGGAATCAAATAATCATATAGGCTAATTGAGCAATTCTCAGTTGTATTTATTGTTATATTATTTTTACTTACGAGTATGGTCGCATACTCTAGTTATCAAATGAATTATATTATTCCATTACTAAGCCCCATTGAAGCACACAATGCGTTTGTGTGAAGAAATACAGTGCATCTAATGAACTATGTAATGTTGACCACGCACTCTCATAGCTGCCTGGATTTCGTTGGTATGTTTTTGCAAGGAATTTCCAGTACTAAATGGAATACGACCCCTGTCTAAGATTAAAGATTTTTTCATTATATAAATGCACAATTAAACGTGATGCCATACATAAATAGTGCGAGCAAAGATGTTTAAATGTATTGTTGAACATTTAATACTCGAAATGATGAAGTTCGATTAAATGTTAGTCTAAGATTAACTCTGACATATAATTCTATTTACCTAAACGTTATTGCTTGCTTCTCGTTTCACAAAACTGAATTCATTTGGCGTTTTATATATGGGCTTAAACTACAGGGTTTTTCAAAAGGATGCAACCCACATACTTTACAATGCATATCTTTTAACCAATGAAGGTTGAACAATCTCTTTTGCATTTTGGCAGAAGTAAAGGTAGTTCAATGTCCTTTAAGTTGAGCAAGTTTCATCAATATACACACTACTATACCTAACACCTAGAAATGCATAAGATACTTTGTTTGTCCAATTGTATTGTTTAGTATATTTTTGAAAGTACCTTATTAAAATCTAACTTTCAACCGATAAACCATTAATAAGGAACAGACATATAAAAACAAATACATAATCATTACAAGTAAGCCAAATGGGTTGCTCATGAACACCAAATGCAAGGT